CTGCTCTGGAATCCCAGCCCAGCCACGTGCTGCGCGGGCTCTCCTGCCAACGGTGTTTGTTCCTGCGTTTAAGGTCTGAACGGCTCTGACCCGATCCCCTCTTCTTACAGAGCCGTTTTCAGCCTTGCCTGGCGCATTACAGCCCATCGCTGGCAAAGGCAGGACGAGCTCTGCCCAGCTCTAGAGCAGCCAGAGGTCAGCAAGCGTTGTCGCTGGGAAGCCAGTTAGTAAATATTTTAGGCTTTCGGGCCATATGGTCTCTGTCACAACTACTCAGCCATCGTAACAGGAGAGCAGCCATAGACAGCACACGAGCAAATGGGCAAAACTTTACTTACAAAAACAGGCCATGCCCGGATGAGATTTGGCTCTCGGGATGTAGCTGTCCAACTGCGGGACAGACCAGACTGTGTACCAGTCCCTCACACACTCATCATTCCAGGGTAGCGGGGGGTCGGGGTGGGGGTGGGGGTCTCATCGTGCCACAGGACCCCGGTATTTCACCGAGGAACATGGGGAGGCACACACTTTCTCAGGGTATTGGGGTTCACCGTGTGCCCTACAGAAGCAAGGGTAAGTTCCCTCAGCTCCTAGTGCCCCTGGGGAAGAAATGTTCGATGCCCTCCTTGTAGGGCACACACTGAGAGTGGGATCCATTGGGAGAAGCAGCATTGTCCAGATAGATCATTTCAATGTGGAAAACGATCCCTTTTCATTAGGCATGTATGCTCTGAGTCTGGAAAAGCAGAAGAGACATGAGACAGTGTACGGGTCAAACTGAGTCACAATATAAATACGGGGTGTATAATGGGGAAGGGCTTTGTACGAGAGAAAGGGAGGTAGGAGGACTGTCTCTGAAATCCCGTCGGGGGGAGGTGCCTCACTGCTAGTTCCAACTGAAATGCCTATTCCATAGCTCATGATGGTGCAATACGGGGAGCCAGAACAGTCCTGCAGTTGGATACAATTAATGTGACTCTGAACTTGAAAACAGGCTGAATTGAAAGCATTTACTTAGGGAAAAGCCTCTGACCTGGGTGACTTGGGGTAAAGCATATTTTCTCAAAATATTTCCAAAGGAGCAGAGCAGTGAGGACAAAACTAGACTCCAGAATCTGGCAGAACCCTGCCAGGATGTGGCGGGAAACACGGTGCAGGTGATGAGGCCGCCGCAGGGCGGTCTGAACCAGCCACCCAGTGGGGGTGGGGGCGGGCCACGGGCAGACCAAGCCATTTCTCTTTCTGTTGCTCAATTTCTAAAGACGTGTGTAGAACAGGAGGCAACAGGAGGCTTGTCCAGTTGTTTCCAGCTGTGGGTCCCAGAGTGGCCGAGACGGAGAATACCATGATGGAGTAGCAAACTCACCCTAAGCACAGGAGGCAGCAAGCAAGCTGGGAGGAACTGCGGTGTAAAGAAAGCACAGCAGGGCCTGGATTCCCCAGGAGCCCCTGTGCCGCCCTGGGTGAGCCTCCTACCTCTCGTAGCCTCACGCTGCTCATCTGTAAAATGGGAACCATAATTCCGACTTCAGATCGCTGCAAGGATCGAATGAGATGAATGTAAAAGTGCATTATAAACTGTGAAGGGCCAAACGAACAACAGGAACAAGAGCTAATGATTACTGACCGTGGCCTGTGAGCCTGGCAGGGTGCTCACAAGTGTGCTTTCCACGCCTGTTTCGGGGCATGGCGGTCCCCTGAGGATGCTGCCCCAAAATGTCCATGCTTCATCCCAGGAACCGATGACTATAATATAGGGACTTGGCGGACGGGACTGAGTATCAGGAGAGGGGAAGTGACCTGGATTATCCAGTGATGCCATCCATCGCAAGGGCCTTCGTTAGAGAGAAAGAGGAGGTCACAGAGCCAGCAGAAGTAAGAGGTAGGAGTGACCAAGGAAGGGGCCGAGGCCAGACAATGTACGTGGCCTCTACAGGCAGCCAAAGGCCAGGCAGCAAATTCCCTTCCCGATGCTCCCAGAAAAAACTCAGTCCCGTGGACCCATTGTAGACCTCTGGCCTCCGGACTACAAGGGATAAATTTGTGTTGTTTTGAGCTCCTGAATTATCAGTAACCTGTTGCAGCAGCAACAGACAACAGATAGAGGCATCCTTCCCAGAGCCAGGCTTGTCTGGGCTCCTACCCTGCTGCCACCACACGCTTCCTCCAGGAAACAGAGACGATGACAGCAAAGTGCCTGCCTCACGGGGCGGTGGAGCGACTCACGGACATGGTACCAGTGGAACCCTTGGCCCAGCGTCTGCCTGGCGTACAATAGGCTCTCACTTAATACGGGCAATTATTAGCTTCTTACCATTTAATCGCCGCTGAAGCTGCATGAAATCAGTGCTGTTATTACCGTCCCCCTGTTGCAAAGGAGGAGACCCAATCAGATCAGGAAAACGGACCTAGGGTTGCAGAGGCTACAGTGGCAGAGCCAGAACCCCAACCAGGTCTCCGCTTTCAAGGCGCATGCTCACCCACTCCGCCCACTGTGTTGGGGTTATGACAACAGCACCTCTGTCAGATGCCGCCTCCTTCGGCAGGGGCTCAAAAACCAAACAGAGCACCGTGCTCCCTGCACAGGCGCATGCCGCCAAGGCTGGGAATCAAATCAATTTGTGGTCGTTAGGGAAACGAAAACCCTAGCTGCCGTGGAAGTCAGTGTCGAGGAGGTCACCAACACACTGACGCCCGTGGGCTGGCCAGCCCCGTGCGGCAGGTCACGGAAGTCCGAGGACTGTGTTTCGTCATTCTGGTCCTGGGATAATTGCCGTTATCGTGAATGTTTTATAGCCATCGTTATGGCTCACATTTAAATATCAGTGTGGTAATGCCTTAATAAGTCATCGCCGCCGGACCGCTGCCGGACCGCGGCCGGATGCAGTTAGTCGCAGCCCCGCATATAACTGCACCGTCTATTCAGCTCAATTAAGGCTGGCTGTGAACTCGACCTGGTGTTGGGTCCACAGCCAGCCCGGCTGGAAGGAAGCCACTCTTCTGCAAAGCCGCCTTGCTTTTCCCCTGTGAGCAATAAGGAGGATGCTTAGATTTTCTGGCTGGTCAAGTGGAGCCGAGAACTCTGGGATGGGTAGAAGGGGAAACCAAGGCGCCGTTTAAAGCATTTCTAATCTGCTGGAGAAGGGGGTAGGGGGGCATCCTTCTCGCCCCCAGGAAGCATCCTGCTAAGGCAGGAGAGCCAGGTCTGATGGGAGTGATAGATTCTCCAGCTCTGTCTGGTGAGATGTTCTGAACGCTCCCTGAGTGGGTAGAGCTGGGATGGATTCACACACACACTGACACACTCATAGAAAAGATAAGCCACATAAAACAAAACAGCTCAGTAGGTTCAACTTCATAAAATGCAAAGTGCCTGCACAGGTGCATTAGTAAAGGTGCGGAGTAGGCAGAAGCAGGCAGTGTAAATTTGGTCTGTTCACTCCTTTTTACCACAGGATATGTCTAAAATAATGCCAGACACACGGGAGCTGCTTAATAAATACGGGCGGGAAGGAAGAAAGCGCATCAGGTTCTGTGTAAGCAGATTTCCTCTTGGGCCTGTTGGCCAAACAAATGCCACGAAGGCCGGGGATTGTTGAGGAATAGCCTGACGCAGGGGGTGCGATCACCGGAATCCCACTGTGAGTGAGGGTCAACGGGGCTGGAAAAGGGGTCTGGGCCGGGCCCCTTGGCGGGGGTGGTACAGACGAAGCTCTGTTTCTGTTTCCATGGGGGTGGGGCGGGTGGGGAGGACAGGAATGACAGGGACAGGACCAGGCTCTCTCCAGCACTGTCAGGAAAGTGGGAGCCTCCGTTCACCAGCCGCGGACTGCATGCTAAGCCTTTCACCCCCGCCTCCCCGTGTGGTGGTGCCGTCACCTGCCTCCATCCGCCAGTGAAGGGCCTGTGGATGAGAGGTGTTGACAATTAGCCCAAGACCACACAACTAGGCTGTATAAGACTTAATTTGAACCGCGTGTGGGTCACGTCATGGGGCTGTAGTAGTGCCCAAAACAGAAAATGTTAGAGGGCACTTTAAGAGGAAGATCATGTGTTCATTAAGAGCCAAAGGCCAAAACATCTGCCCAGCCGATGAGCAAAGACTGTTCTGCCTTCGTGCCATTTCCCCCTCTGCAGATGGCCTCCCCTGGGCTTCTGTAACAGGCGTCCATAGAAGGGCAGGCCCGGGGCGGCACATGCCTGCAGCCCGATTTCATTCTTTGGCGGTCTTAGTTCATTCTGGTCCATTCACGGAGCCCACATCTCTCTCTTTGCTTTTCACTTAAAAGAAGCCAGTCAGTGCTAATGTCCTGCTGTAGGAGTTCCCATCCCCTGGTCATGGAGATGCACGAGGAAGGGGAGACTTCATCCCTGCCCTCACAGACTCACCAAGCGCCAGAATAACCTGTCCACGTGGCACCCTATGTAGGCAGTATGTACATGGGGCAGCACAAGGAGCTTGGAGCAGGATAATGCTGGGTTCAAATCCCATCTCCAGAGCGTAGCGGCTCTGGGTCCCTGGGAAAGCCACCTTACTTCTCTGTGGCTCAGCCTCCTCGTGTGTAGCATGAAGGTAGTGCCTGCCTTGTAGGGCTGTGTATGACTGAGCAAGATGATGTGTATCTGTTTCCTTCTCTCTAAAATGGGGACAGCAATACACACGCAACCAGCATTGTAGGTGTGAGAATTAGAGCTATTGTGACGAAGCCCTCAGCACATAGCAGGATTTCAGGAAGTAATATTATTGCTCCAGGTGGGTCAGTAAGTATGAAGCTGGCAGCAGGGGGAGGAAGGACCCACCTGAAAAAGGGAATCACGGATTCTCTTACTTCTGGGAGACCCATCCACTTGTCTCCAGCTGCTCCACCCACTGCCCCATGACTGGTGATCCGCGGTCCCTCTTGCAGTCACATCCTTCCCTCCCCCACTTCTGTGAGCATTTTGGTGCCCCTCAGGCCGCTCCCCTGCTGACCCTCTCCCTTCTCCCTCTGTCTCCGCAGCACCCTCAACAACAACAACATCAGCCGCATCCTGGTCACCAGCTTCAACCACATGCCGAAGATTCGAACTCTGTGAGTAAGGGTCCTTGTCTCCTCCCCCATCCGCTGCCCATCGCCTGCAGCCCAAAGTGTGGCAGTCGAAGCTGCGTGTGAAGCCCACGGAGCTTTGACTTGCTGGGCGGTCCTTCTGTCCAAATGCTACCTCCTTCCGCTGCTGACTGAGGGGGTGTTGGTGAGCGAGGGCAGATGCGGGAGCGTGCAGGTGCCGTCCGTGGTTCTGACCCACCCTTCTGGGGCAGACAGACTCGTTGCTCTTCGTCCTGGGAATCTTCCTTGTGTCTTCCAACTCGGTGGGAAAGTCTGTTAGTGTGTGTTCTCACAGAGCGTGTAGAACCGGGTCGTAACGACTCACCGCTCCCTTAGCCCGTGTCATGTGACCCCCGGCGGTTCTCCCATATTGCCCGTGATTACCGTAGTTTTCCCCTCTGCGGCCCGTGGGGGAGAGGGCGCCTTAGCCCACCCTCCCTGCCCCCACCCGCCGCACTCCCCTGCTCACCTGCGTCCTGGATGATGTTCTGGTAGAGACTCGGCTCTTTATCACCCGTGTTCGGGTGGGCCCAAGCCTTCAGCCTGTGTACTCAGGAAGTAAATCTCCCCGTAACATCCCACACCCAGAGCCGTTTCAGTGCCCTCATTCCCTGCGAGTTCCCCTCTACTCAGCCAGAGACCCTTTTGTAGATTCGTCCGCCAAGTTCCAAGGAGGCTCACACCCATGCTCTTCCTGTGGGTGGAGCCTCAGGGGTGTTCACATCAGCACTGTAGGGGAGAGCCAGCCCCTCCGAGGTTTCAGCCAAATACACTCAGGACCCAGGCCATGGGCTAGAATTCCTGCTGCGCCCTGTATTGGCTCTGGGGCCTCTACTTCCTCCTTAGAAATGGGGGTGGGGTGCTCAGATGAGACTAGACATGTCAAGTGTCGGCATGGAGTAGACAGCAAATGATGACAATGTTTTATCGTCATCATCATCACTATTTAGCCAGAAATCAGGACTGACAGTACTAGGCAACCAGCTTCTCCATGGCCCCTAAGCAACACGGAAACCACAGAGAGATGAAAATCCTTAGAGCGGCAGTTCCCAAAGTAGGGCCCCTGGGCTAGTAGCGCCAACAGCACCTGGAACTTGTCGGAAAAGCAAAACTTGAGGCCCCGCCCCAGCCCCGTGGAATCAGACTCTCCCGGGCGGGGCCAGCCCTCAGGAGATCCCGGTGCTCTGAGGTTTGAGAGCCCCTGCCTTGGTGCGAACGGGACCTCATCTCAGGTGAGAATGAAGCCAAGACCCACGGAACCATTTACAAGGAAGCAGGAGGGAGCGCCCTCAGAAGGACACAGAGAGGGAGTCGGCAGACCTGAGTTTCACGGCCAGGTGTACATACCGCCTACTCCGGGCGGTGTCTTCCTCCCTCTGTGCTTCAAGGAAAGAGAGTTACATGCTTGCCTCCCAGGTTTTGGGAGAAGGAAATGTGCTACCCAGGTGTGTCTGGCCGTGGGGTGCACACAGACACTACTGGTTATTAGGAGGAAGAAGAAAAATAATCTGGGTCCCGATCCCACCACTGTTCCCCAATTCTCCCTTTGATCCCTGATGTGATAACATAATGCAGCCACGAAAATCCATCTCTGCCCTGCTTTTAAATTGGGGTGGTGCAGTGATGGAGTTTTAAGGAGAAACCACTGGGTCCTCAAAGACCTCGTCAGAGTACCCAGCAAACCACGAAACGGGCTGGAGAAGGACACGCCTCCGTGACCTCTACTTCTCCTCTTCTTATCTGAGCTTAGGAGCGGCGATAACAGAAGCTGGGCCAGGTCCACGGGAGGGGGCGTGGCTAGGCCTAGGTCTTTGGTGCTTTGTCTGGGTGTGGGGGGTGGAGAGTGGGCGAGTTTATTCTCCTCGTTTCTGTTGCCAGTCTTCGCATGGTCCTGGCCACTCATCTGATGAGTTCGAATCAATCAATCAATCTCGTCTGTTCTCTTTGCTCCCTGCCTTGTGCCATTTTCTCTTTAGTTTAATTTCGGAGATGGCTCTGTGCAGAGCTCCCTGGGGACTTGAGCTGACTAATCCCCCTTCACTGTAATTAAAGGGGGGGGCGCCTGGTGCTGGAGAAGTGGGGAGCAGAGGAGAGAGGAAGGAAGTCATAAATGGGATTTCTAAAGGAAAGCTTTTATATTGAATTCAGAAAGCCACATTTTATAGAAAATGAACACTGGCTCCCTGTAAAAGGATTTGCTGGAAATTTAATTTCGAGTCTGTGGCTAAAAGGCACCTTTTACAAATTGGCATTCGTATTCATTCACCTTATTTTCCGTGAAGGTGGTTTTGCCAACCTGGGGTGTGGTGTCTCTGTCGGCGAGAAAGTGCAGGACAGCGCACAGCAGCCGCCCCGCCACCCCAGTGCCTCGGCGTCCAAATCCGAGATGGCAGGCAGCCTTGTACATTGGGTGGGGAGAGAGGTCTGGAGCGAGTCTCCTCCCGACAAGAGTAACATCGAACATGGCTTCAGAGATTTGTGGTGCGCCAGGCCTTGTGCTAAGCACTTGTGTGAATCATTTCAGCCCTCACAGCCACCGTGGGGGGGGGGGGGGGTGTCATCATTCATATCCCCACTTACAGAGGGTGAGGCCTAGCATTACATCACCACCCAAAGTCACGGTCATAAAGCGCAGAGACAAAGTTATATTCGGACAGTGCGGCATCAGAGCCTGAGTGCATCCTGTTCAGCAGAAACAAACAAACAAACAAACAAAAAACGAAGAACAGGTTGCAGGTGAGCTGAGGGAGGTGAGACCAGAGCTTTCCGTGTGGTCAAACAGCCCCTGGAGACCACCCGCCCCCAGTCATTGCCACCCCGACTCACCAAAACTGCTGACAGTAATTAAAGTAATGTCCCTTCTCGCCCAGGAGAATGAGAAATACTCCTGGCAGCATACAGCTCACATCTTAGGATGAACACGATTGTTTTTCTTCTAATACTTGTCGTTGGGGCGATTTTACTCAGTCTGACCCCCCAAACACGGTATGAAAGGCAGCTGGACAGGCTCCGCTCGGCTCCACCCGCCCGGCATTTCCGGTGCCTCGGGGCGTGACAACCCGATGGGGAAGCTGAGCCCACCAGCTGCCCCAGGCTTTGACAAGAGCCATCAGGTCATTCTTGGCCACCTCTTCTCCAGGGTCCCACTTGGGAGAGGAGAAATCCCTACCAGGACAAAGGCTCAGGGAGCATCTGTAGCAAGGTTAAGGGGAGAGGCGGCTTGGGGCTGGCCACGGGGAATGGAGGAGGAACCAGCCTAATAGAATCTTCCAAAAGGGGAGGCTCTGACATCCTGATGATCTCAGAAACGAATCTGCTCCGTCAGCACCTGACTCACCTGAACCCTCACCTCTGCGCTCCCACTGATCTCTCAGCCCTGATGGGACCTGACGGGAGTTTGCTCGCAGAGCCCCGGCTCCTGGGCCCACGCTCGTTGCTGCAGAGTGAATCCCGTTTGCTCAGCTCCCACTCCTCACTGCCTGTCCCAGCGGGAGCCAAACTCACTCAAAGGTGCTTCCTGTGGGCGCACAAAAGACCCCTGGCCCCTCGGCCTGCACGTGCGGCCAGCCTGCCTCTGCCTTGCCTGTCCCCCCGGCGGGCTCACTGTTGCCATTTTCCTGGGCAGCCTTTCTCCCCGGCCCGTGTGTCTGGCCATGGAATCCCCGGTCCCTCAGGAGACCGGTCCCTTTCACTCACGCTTCTGGTTCCCGGGAACTCCCTCTTCTCCCCATGACCTTGAGCAGAGAGGAGCCAGCTGCGAGCACACCCACAGACCCCGCTCTGGCCCAGCGCAAAGCGGTCATCCTTATGGAATAGCCAGAGGACTGGCTTTCCCCTTTAGACCTGGGGTCCTTCCCCCAGCTTAGCGTTTTGCACCCCCCCACCCAACCCCTTCGCACCTGCTGCGCCTCTCTGGAGCACCTTCGGCAGCATGGGGTGGGGGTGGCGTCTGAGCTTCGAAACCCAAAGGGGAGAGTTGCTTAGAGCCCATTATAGGCAGCGTGTCTCAGGCCTGGGAGCCTATTAAAATGCGTTTAACCTTAAATATGGGCTCTGAAGCACAAAAAGAAATTTATAAACTCAAAATCAGTCATTTTAAAACAAAATCATAAAAGTCTTTCCAAGTTTTTTTCAGCAGAAAAAAATGACATCTTCTGTGAGAATCGTGTTCCTTTAGTCGGTCTGATATGATGGGGTCTGGGGCCCCCCGAGGCTGCCGGGGCCCCCGCGGAGCTGTCCTGCAGGACGTGGCATCCATGCTGGGCAGGGAGGCTGGCCAGCATGCGGCACAAGTTGGCGGCTCCTGGCCAACGTGTAGCGATCGACGTTTAACTTCCGCTAACTGGAGTGTGGTCAAGAGCCCTTCAGCTCTCTCCATGGCAGGCACGGGGGTAGCCTGGGCCGCCACTCTCCGCTGCCACTCAGCGTTAACTGGCTTGACACAGAGTGCTTGAGAGTCCCCAGACGCTGCTGGCTGATTAGCGTGTCCCCAGGACGGGGTGTTTGAAATGTGCACCAGACAGCCGAGTAAGGATCTGGCTTACTGAAGCCTCGTATGACTTAAACTCTCCTGCTACCACTTCCAATGACCTAGGGTTGTAGGGAACGTGCAAGTGGGAAACCCCTGGGGAAGGCTCTGCAGAAGCCCCTGGATATCCTTAGTATGCCCCCCAGTTACTGGAAAGGAAAGTCAAGTCATTTAACCATACAGGATTCCCCTTGGAAGTGGAACCTACCAATCACTCTATGGAATCTTACTCCCCCCGAGGGCAAGAAATTAATCTGAAATCACAGCTACAAGAGGGAGAAAGCCAGAGTCCTGGAACTGGTTAGAAAGTCTTTCCAGAGGTACTTCAACCAGCCAGAATAGCAGATATACCAGGTGGACTTGACCTTGGGAGGGGGATACACCTTCTCTCCATGCCTTCTCAGCCTGCCTGGTGCCCTCAGTGGTGCTGCTTTGGGGCTCACCGGGACACACACAGAGGGTTCATTAAAGGGATACTCAGGGAGAGAAGAAAGGGTAAACGCACCTCAGATCTCAGCCCCAAGGCCCCCGTAGCTGGGCATGGAGATCAAGACGCCGTTTGAAGCTGTCTATCACTTGTGCTAGCTCAAGTACTAAAGTTTGGCTGCAATGAGGACTGTCACTGTGATCATGTCACTGTGATGACGCCACTCCCCCACCCCCCATGTGCTGAGGCTTTCCTGAGCGGGAAAGAAAAGTGCGGAATTACTGTTGAGAGAGTGAATTGCTCCGAGCCCCAGAGGCATCCATTGGGTGGGGCCTGCGTGTGAGGGTGCCTGTCGTTTGTGGCCTGGTGATGTCAGCGTGGAGGCCCCTGCGGTGACCGGGGTGCAGAGGGAGATGCTCCCGGGGCTCCTGAGGACCCTCACGCTGGAGAACGGGGAGGAGAGGTCTGGCCTCCCCTGTTCAGCTGGTGGCAGGCTCCCCTCTCCGCACTGTGACAGTGGCTTCCCTCTGTCCCTTCCTCTCCCAGGCGCCTCCACTCCAACCACCTGCACTGCGACTGCCACCTGGCCTGGCTCTCAGATTGGCTGCGGCAGCGGCGGACGATTGGCCAGTTCACACTCTGCATGGCACCTGTGCACCTGAGGGGCTTCAACGTGGCGGACGTGCAGAAGAAGGAGTATGTGTGCCCAGGTGAGACTGACCTACCCATGAGCTCTCCTGACAGCCCCTGGCCTTGAACAGGCACCCCAGCCCAGAGCGTGGTGTGGAGCCCCTAGGTTCCCCCAGCACTCTGTGGTCGCCCAGAGAACGCAGCACCTTGAGGGGAAGGGAGGGTTTGCTGTCTGTCAAAGGAACAGGCTCAGAGAACCCACGAATCACTTTCTGTGAAGCCCCATCATCCGTTGTGCCGAGAAGCCTCCCACTGTTAGGGACTGCAGCATTTGCTAAACATGTTCCTGTCACCCAACGGCTCGTAGAAATTGGGGGACAGGATAACGGAGGCTGTGGGGTCAGCCTGTGTGGCTGGAAGGAACTCCTAGCTCTGCCCCTTCCGGGCGTGTGACTTTGGCAAGTTAACCTAGCGTGCCTGCAAAACGGAAATAATAACGGTGCGTAACTCCAGGGAGGGGCGGGAGGACTGAGAGCACTCAGCACTGTGCACAGGTCTTGGGGAGAGCTAATAAGCGGAGCTGAATTATTACAGTTCAGTGGGCCCACAGAGTGCGCCGAGCAAACGTGAGCGTTTGGGCCGTGGGCAGTCGACGTGTGGCAGAGGCAGGCTGCCCGTGGAGCGCGGCGGGCAGAGCTGCGCGCACACGTCACCGCGGGCAGCGCAGCTCCCTGGGCTCAGGAGCGGGCTGAGAGGCTGAGACCCTCCCAGAGGAGGGAGCAGCTTTTCAACCGAGTCCTAAATCTGCTTGCTTGTTTGTTTTTTCTTTCCATTGACATCCCCCAGTCCCAGCAACTCTCCCTTTTCTGGTGGAGCAAAAAAAAGTAGAGCTAATCCCTTGATTTCCTTAAAAAAAAAAAAAAAAAAAAAATAGAGGACTTCGCCACAGAGGCGTTCCTGCTCTGCAGGGACCCCGCCCTGGAACCGGGCCCCAGTGGCCTCTAAAGGCTGGGAGTCGGGTGCAGGAAGGAAGGGAGACAGGGGGAGCTTGGCGCTTGTGCGGGCAGCACCTCTCGCCTTTCTTAACAACTGTCGCCCGCGTTCAGCGCTGACGGTTCGTTGAGCCGGAACGTGCTACAGGGCCCAGGGAGACCAGGGCCGCAGACCCGCCCGCTCTTACGCAGCGCTTGCGATTCGTTAGGAATTTTCCTTGAATTCCATGGCACCGCGTCCTCCGCTGCTCGTTCCCGTCGTGTTCCTACTTCATCAAGTTCTTTATTATCCAAAAACATTCAAACACGTCTCAGAGCAGCACCTCGATCATTTCCCGCAGACGCCCACTTAGAAATCGCTTCCCGTCAAACACATTTAATAAAACCGTTTATCACACAAGCACCCAACTCCAATATAGCGACTGTAATTACAGTAATTATTAGGCAAAGGATACAATACCGGCCTAAGTGCCAGTGAAAGAAATAATTACAGAGTGCAGGAGTCACCCAAGAGCTAATGAGAAAAACCGATTGGAGAGAACGTTGAGACGCGTCACTGTAGGGGGGCGCCAAGTTGAAGGCCGCGCAGAGCACGAACTCCACTCCGTCACGAAAGCGCCCTCCCGTCAATGGAGCGGCACGATGTTGCTTCTCCAGCAGCAGTCAGGGTCCAAAGCCCCGGGCGTGGGGCGGAGGGACCCTCGTGGGTCCTGGACCTGCCAGCACCCAAATCCCCATCCTTCGAAGGGGCCAGATTGCTCAGGCAGGTTCATGGTTACAGAGGAGCATCCTTATCGCCTCCTCTGTTTGTAGCAGCGAGGCCCACGTGACGGTCCCTGCAGCTTCTTAGTGCAAAGCCAGGTGTCTTCCGAGCACCAGAGGATTTAGTCCACAGACTCCAGACGTGGACAGGCTCTTGATCTCCCCTCTGTCACCACAGTGTGAATTGAGGGGACCACCACATCGGCGGCCCCCGTGCGTGAGGGATTCTTCGGATGCTTCCCGGGGTGTCATGGGTGAAAACGGAGTGCTGTGCGGGTTACTTTCTGCCAAGGCCAAGGGCAGATTTAATGGTCTGGGGGAACTGGTGTACTGCACGCCCATGATAAATGAACTGCCATCATTAGGGGGGGCAGGACGACCACCTTGCCCAAAAGTGCTACCTCTCGAATAATTAACGGTTAAAGGTCGTTTCTGAGGCTGGGATAAAGGGGTGCCAGAGGATGCAACGGGGAGCAAGACTCAGGCCGTGCACCCCAGGGAGGTCTGAGAAGGGCAGTGTTCACGTGCTGACCCCTGCCCCTGCACACCCGCAGCCAGGGTGCAGACCCCACCCCAAGGCAGAGAGCCCAGTGAGGCATCGGGATGCGGTGGTCTGGTTCAGACCTGGTGGTGGTCGTTTAGCCCCTTGCTCAGGCTGTTCCCCCAGTAGCTTGCGGGAGGATGACTTCAGCCAAGACAAGGAGGGAGGCAGGAACATCTCTTTAAGAACAGAGGTTATGACCTCAGGAGAAAGGAAGGGCGTGGGGCACCACTTAAGCCGTCCCTGCAAGGAGGGATGTTCATCACCAGCGGCCCCTGTCAAAGGCGTATCAGAAACCCGCCCCCCGGGCCCTGAGATGGTATCGAAACACTCATCAAACACACCACTGCAGAGACGGGGAAGGCATGCTGCTGCGGGCCTGCGAGGGCCCGGCCTGCCCAGCTCCCTGCTGTGTCCCGTCACACTAAACGCGGCTGTCTGGAGCCCAGCGCTGCTCCCCAGGAGCCCGGGCTCCGGCTCCTCGTCACCCCACCCAACCCAGAAAGTCACTAGCAACACCGTGACAACGTCCATCGCCGCTGTCCCAGCACCCTTCCGATCCAAGGCATTTATGTATTTTTCCTCTGGGGAAGCAGCTGGGACTCTTTCACCAGGGTGAGGCGCTCTATCTTATTTCCTTACTATTAATGTTTTTCTGAGGTATACAAGGGGACGGCTTAGTTTCCTTCAGCTAATGCTGAAGTGATTTCTCTGTTAGCTCTTCTTGATTCGAGAGGAAGGTTAGGGCCCCCGGACTAGAAGGGTCTGCAGTCCCTGCATCGTGGTGCCAGGACCAAACCGGGACTCGACCCAAGTTCACGGAACAGCCCAGAGAACAGGCTCTGCTTTGGCCATTCGCGTGTTATGTGAGTTGCAAGGTTTGGAGTTTTTTTCCCATCCTTTCCTAAAGGGCTTTTGGAGGGGGTGGTAAAACCCTAGGATTTACCTTCCATGTGTCAATCTTCTGGTTCCTTAATCTGACAAAGTATTGAGCAGTCACTCTTTGTAAATCAAGAGGATTAAACATCGGGCCCCCCGAGTCAATCACGTCTTCCCTTTGAACGTCTGTGAACTCGCCGGGCAGTCCACCCGCCTCACAGTCGCCTGCCCCTGAGTGTGAGACGTGTTTCCGCGAAGGTTCGTCTTCTCGTCCAGGCACCGGGGGCCTCGTCTCACACTGCTGAAGGTGCCCCGTGCCTGGAATGGTGTTGGACGCTCATGGCCTCTCCGCCAGCCTGTTCTCGCTTATTATCAAAAACGAAATAGGTGTGTCTCCCTGGAAACAGGAAACTTTCCCCCTTGGTTAAATTTTGTTTTAATTTGGGGCCAGTTACTAAGTATAAAGATAATTAAGCTAAGCCTGACTGGCCGCCCATCTCCTTAGGAGGTTTTAATTAAAACACCATAATTGGACATTGCAAGAATGAGATTATTAGGTTTATAGCCATTCCCAAAATTATCATGCCCCTGGTATTTAAATCACGTTCATTTATATCCTCGTCATAATTGCTCAAGTCCCATTGTCGTCGCAGTCTGCTGTTGGCTTTGGAAAGGCCAGAGGCCACCAGGGACGCTTCATGTGAAGGCTGGCGTTCACGTCTTTCCACGCGCCCTCACGGCCTTCGGAGTTTTCGATGCCATGCACTCTAAGGGTGGCGTTCCCTCTAAAGACAGAAGGAAATAAGCACAGCTCTGACACGAGAGTATTCGACCATCCCATTGTGGCTCATCCGATCCACATCTCGGCCCCAAACCCTCTCTCCCCGCCCCCTGAGACTTTGAGACTCTGGTGGTCTTCAGCTTCATGGCAACGTAGAGAGGGATTTGGGGTGTCTTTCTGGCACAGGAGATGGTAAGAAGAGCATCTTGGACAGTTTGCTTAACCTTCCTCTTCTTCCGTTTCCTCGTCAGCATAATGGGAATAATAGTAGTGGAACCCACGTCACGGGTTTTTAGGAGGATCCGGTGAGGTCATGCACACACAGCACTTTGCGCAGTATCTGGCACGCAGGGAACATTTCTGCAAGCGTTGGCTACTTCTGTGAGAATGACGGTCATTTTTAGCTCGGCCACGACGGTGCCCCTGGGCAGGAACCCTCGCTCGCAGGGCTCTTGTTTCCTCACCGTGTCCATGGCCTTTTCTAGATCTGAAGCTCAGTGACCTTGGCCCCACTCCTCCGGGCAGATAGTTAGGGTCTTTCGCTTTCTGTGTGATGATCGTCCCCGTTTGCCAAGTAGGAGAACACAGGAGACGTGGAGGTGGGTGGAGCCACCCCTGGTCATTCCCACCACCCCACTCCCCCTCCCCCACTCTCCTGTCTCTCAGAACCAGAGGGGAGCTGCTCGGTCAGCAGAGGTAGCACGGTTGGCTCCCTGTCCATGCCGGCGACCATGGCGCTTTCCCCACGAGCACTCTGGGGACATATGTCTGGCCTCGAGGTCGCTGAGTGCCTTCCCTTCCCTCCTTGTTCGGCACGGAGGTAGCTTTGGCTCCAGATAGAGATTCCAGAGTGGAAGCAGCGAAGGGGGAGAGGTGGGCCCGGCCCCAGAGGGGACACAGGTACTTGCCCACGTCCCCGTCCGTGTCCTATTCTGGGTGAGCACGTCCTCCCGCCCCCTTCGAGAACGTCCTCCTCAGTCCCCAGGGGGAGCTCCAAGAGCGGAGCTCGGGCACTCATTCAAAAAGGAAGACAGAAGAGCGAGGCCACGCGCACTCCTGAGTTTGTAACAGGACACCTCAGAGAGCCCGTGGCGGGGGTTCTGGGTGCGAGGCCATCCCTGGGCTGTGGTTGAGGGGAGGGCCCAGTGGACAGACTCGCTCAGGGACAGCGAGGGCCCCGGGCCCCGTGAGAACACCTTGCACAGCAGGAACGCACGCGTGCAGGCGGGCAGGCCAGCCCCGGGAGGCCCCGCCCATGGAAGACAGGCAGAGGCCCTGCCTGTCCCAGTGTGAAACCTCCGCTCCCGCGCCTCTCTGCTTCTCAGCGTGTGGTCGCAGATTTGCTGGGCAGGGACGGAGGTGCTTCCTCACTTTGTGCCCCTGGAACCCCCCTGCCCCCTCCCTACCCCCTCCACCCTCCACATGTGTGGACAGGAAAGGCCGGGAGGATGGTTTAGCCAGCAGAGTTTAGTGGAGTGCCTAGGACAGCCTGGCCGTGGCGGTGAGCTTGGTGGAGCAGGGTGCAGAGCGAGCTCTAGGGGACCGGGCAGGTGGCTTTGGTCCCCGCTGAGAGCTATGGCAGAAGGCCTTTGACTTCGGGCATGAGAGTCCCATCTACCCGTAGCGACTCCATCGCCCCACTCTATGGCTGATCCTGTGGGCCGGAGCCCAGGACACTCGGAAGTCGGGGGCCCTCCGTCAGGGCCCTTCCAGAAGGATCTCTCACCTCCGCAGCTCGGGGACATCCGGCCCCGTGTGGGCAGGGCTCCTGGGCCATTTTCACTCCTGAGTTCGTGCGCTCTCTCCCCCAAGGCGTGTGTGTCGAGTCCAGTGTATTGAGCCAAGCCCTGCTGTAGGCACTGGGGACGTCACAGGAACGAGGCAGAAAAGGTCGCTGCCCTTGTAGAGTTCGAGCTGTAGACTCAGTCCGTTCAGAGACAGAAAGCAAAGGGGAGGGGCTTCCACAGTCTCAGCCCCCAGAGGCACCCCACGGAAATGGGCTTCGTCCACCGGGCACGGGTCAGAGGAGAATGTCCAGGGAAGGGGCCCCTCTTCCAGCCCCGTCCTTAACCCGAAGTGCTTTGCTTCGGCTGGAGAGAGTGATGTCCTCGCCAGTGTGCACGCCCGGCTGGGGAGCTGCCAGCTGGGTGCTCGCAGAGCCTATAATTACCTCTCTGAGTAATTAAAGGTGTTGTTAGTGACCTTGTTAGGGACTCTTTTTCAAAAGCTTTTTTGAAAGCCTTGACAACATCCCTGGAAATGTAGCTGCTCGCTCGCTGCCTGCAGAGTCAGAGCCACCCTATGAAAGAGCCCCTCCTCCCCTGAGGACCCGCAGCTGCCACCTGGGTCTGGTTTAGACGGAATGAACTCCAGCACAGCTGTCCAGCAGAGCTCCTTTGAGTAAGAAAACAAAAGCAACTTCCGAACTTCCTGTTACTCATAGGAGCCCTTGAATATAGTGTCTTTCTTTCCCCGTTTTTTTTTCAAAACACACCAACCAACTACTATTTTGACAGATCTGAAGAGGGACAGCTACCTGATACCCTTTGCCCCAGTGAGTGGACCTGCAGGGGCTCAGACAGAGGGACAGGGCGGGTTGGCCGTCGCCCCTGGCGCCGGCAGGTGCACTTGCCCCCAGGTGTGGAGGGCCGGGCCTGGCGGTTCTCTGGGACACGGCCTGCACTTCAAAAGCCCTGAGGTCTGCGGTCCTCCACCCCCCCTCCCTGGGATGTGGGTGAGGGCACCGGAGCCCCTCGCACTGCAGACCCCCTTTGCCCCCTTCTCAGTGGGGCGGGGCCGAGGAAGGAAAGGCACTGGCAGGGGTCTCACTCCTGCTTCTGTTTTTGGAAGAGCAGGAGCAGTCAGTCTCAGAGCCAGGAGGGACTTCAGAAGTCCGAGACCCAGATCCTTATTTGCTGAGGTGGCAGCACAAAAGCTCAGAGCGGGCGGGTGCTGTGACTTGCAGACAGCGGGCAATAACAATAGCAATAGTACCAACATTAACAACAGCAGACGTTACTAAACTCTGACTCTGTGCTATGCGTTCTTCTAAACACTCCACGTGCCTTAGCTTCCTTTGCTTTCACAACACAACCGTGCTCTGAAAGAGCATTGCCATCCCCCACCATTTTACAGGAAACGCAAGGACTCCGCAAGGACTCCCCCAGGTGGGAACAGAGTCCCTAAGAGAGCGGGTGCCGCCTTGGGGGACTTCAGTGTAAGGCACCTCTCTCCGGTGTTCTCCGGGGTCTCCGTCGGGTCCTCTAGTGTGACACTGGCGAGTCTGACGTCCTACACCCTGGCCGAGAGTGTTCTTTCAGATGTTCAGCTCAGAGGATGTTTTCCCGCGTGTACGTGTGCGCACGCACGTGTTGGTGAAGGAGACGCCAAGGGAGATAGGGACCTTTGACCGCGGGCTGGCCCTTTTGGGCAAGGCAGACGTTCCAAATGAAGCCCTCAGCATCCGTTTGCGTCTCTGCAGGGGGGCCGCCCCCCCAGGTGTGGGGACTGCTGGGCATGGGGAGTGGACCCCCGCTTCTAAGTCTCACTCACTCAATGTCCAACGAGGACTTGCCCCAGGCCCGGTCAGTCCTCTGACTCAACCATTATCGCTGGACTCTCTCTGCTTCCCGGAGTCAGCTTGTCCGGCCAGTGGAGGCCAGACTCCGGTCACTTCTCTGCAGGCGTTCTCTGCTTGGTGCTCAGTCTCTCTCTAGCGCCCCCAGCCGGCAGTTCCGTGCCTGAGCCAGCAGGAGGTCCGCGGAGCCGTCTGAGGCCGGTCCTGCCCTTGGCCCTTTGCTCTGGGAGGAGGGGCGAGGTCCTGGGGGGAGGGGGGGCTGGGTTGGGTCTACCTTTTGGACGGCAGTGCCTGCATTTGAAAACCTAACCACAGGTTTGAGACTCTTGCCTCCCTTGGAAGAAGTAATCGTAGCATGAAAACTCACACAATGTCTTTAAAACGTTTGAATTTACTTCTCGTATTAGAGATTCGATGTGACCACCCCAGAGAGGGATTCCGATTCTGTGACCCTTGGGAGGCTGAGTTGGTCTGGGGTGTCTCACGTTTGTCCTCACGTTCTTCCTGAAGGAGCTCCTCGGAGGCCAGGCTCTTGGGTTCCCGCCACTTTGCTTTAAATTCACGCTGGTTCTCCACACCAACTAAGTTAATACTCCAAAAACATGCAGTAACTTATTAGCCTTTTCCCTGAGGCGGTAAGTCTTCACGGAGTGTTCTCGGGACAGAAAAGCTGTTTGAAAATGCCTTGATGTCACTGCTGCTGATGACGTTGACCCTTGGACAACACCAGTGCCCCAAACGGGGAAATCCTGCCACCTTTTCCCCTCCCCCGGCTTTGATAGTGACTTCCAGGCGCTAGAGAACAGAGTGAAGGTGTGTCTGTCCTCAGCGTCCAATTCCCAGCCAAAGTCCCAGCCCGCCAGTGTCATCTGGACATTGGGGCGCCCTGAGACAGTCGTCCTGAGACAGTTGTCCCCGTGTATGCTCTTCGCGTGTCTTCATGCATGACCAACTGAGAGTAGCACTTTCTCTAAAAGACCAGGATGACCGGATGGCAGAAATAGTCAGGCCAAGGTCATCCTCTTGGCTGAGCACGTAGCCAGTGGCGGCTGTGCCCCCGAGATGAGAGGTCAGCTGGTGATCACCGTTCAGGTAGCCTGTCGGGTAGCGCTGCCCCGTGGGGAAGCTGGTTAAGGGGCGCAGACGCCCAGGCGGCTGCTGACCCGGACGTGAGCTGACCTCTGTGCTCTGGCCCCGCAGGCCCTCACTCGGAGCCTCCGTCCTGCAATGCCAACTCCATCTCCTGCCCCTCGGCCTGCACTTGCAGCAACAACATCGTGGACTGTCGGGGGAAGGGCTTGACGGAGATCCCCGCCAACCTGCCAGAGGGCATCGTCGAAATGTAAGTGCCCCGTCTGCCCCCCGCTGTCCCTGGCAAGGCCGCCCCTCTGCCTTGGCCGGTGCTCCAGCAGGCTGGCGGCGTGTCAGGCCGTTGGAGCTGACTGTGAAAAACGCTCGGGAATCTCTTTGCTGTCCTCCCAGGCTTTCCCAGTATGACAGCTCAGTGGGCAAGGGCGCAGACTGTGGCCCATGGGCCTAATCAGCCCACCACCTGTTTTCGTAAATAAACTTTTACTGGGACACAGCCATACTCATTTGCTCAGGTGCTGTCTGTGGCTGTTCTACTAAGGCAGTAGGGAGTAGCTATGACAAAGGGACCTACGGCCATCAGCCTCACGTGTCCCACTGGGTCCTTTATAGTAGAAGTTTGCCAGTCCTGCCCTGGGGTCACTCAGTATGCGTAGACCAGTATCCTGGCTCCACCATTTACTGGCTGAGCTATTGGGCAAAATAATTCCTCTTTTCTGTCTTTAGATTTCTCATCTATGATGATGTGATGATTCTAGTATTCTCAGTGGGTCGTCGTGAAAACCAAATGAAACACGGCACGTGCGCACGTGATATGACCCTTGTCCCTGGGCGAGTGCTCCTGAAGGGGTGGGGGTGGCGGCTCTCAGTCGTCGCCAGTCAGATCATTGTCCCCCAGATTGATCCTTCGGTGGAGACCAGGTTGTGCGTGTTGGTGTGTGGGCTCAGGCGTCCACGTCCCCAGTGGGACGCGTCTGCCCGTGTAGCGCCCTCCCGCCCACTCTCCCCTCGGGCATGAGGAAGGGCCAGCGTCTCGCCCTGGACTGAGTGCAGGGCCAGTCACCATCGACCCCGAGATCGCTCTTCATACGACAACAGTTGTTTTCATTCTCTGCCTTCATCCTTAAGTGGCTTTATTACAAACATGGTTAGACGGAACTGGCCCGCTAAAACCATCATTAGATAAAATCCCTCCAAGTAAAGGACACACACCTCCCTCGCCTCCCTGCTTCATCTTCTCCTCCTCCTCGTCGTCCTTCTCTGCAGGCCCCACGTCCCTCCCCACTCTTCTGCTTTCCTGCTGCTCGCATTCTAGTGGTGATAAACAATCTAGCAAAGCGAAGTAGATTGGAGAATATCTCAGAAGGTGACCGGTCCTGTGGGGGCAGGGGAATCGGGCATGAGCAGGACTTGAAGTGAGACAGAAACCAGCGAAGGTCTGGAGGAGGAGTGTTGCAGGGAGAGGGGAGGGCGTGCGCAAAGGCCCTGAGGTAGGAGTGTGCCCAGGGTCCCGAAGGCCAGTGTGGAGTAAACACAGTGGAGAGGGCTAGGGGTTGAGGTCAGAGGGGTGCGAGGGGCCAGATCGTGGAGATATTCTAGGGACTCTGGCTTCACCCGGATTGACTTGGGAAGAAACATATGACTTACAACAGCGGAGCTTTAGTTCCTTCTTCCTTCATCTGCTTTGCCAGCTTTTCTCCGATTTCCTTTAACGCCTTCTCCCCGAGCCCCAGTGGACACGATCCCCAGCTCCACAGCCCCTTCCCGCAGACGTGTGCGACTTCTGTGGTCCCCGTCCAGCTTCCCCCAGCCAGAACCGACAGTGAAGCCCCTTCACGCACTACCATAGCTCTCCTTCACTCCTCGTGCGCCATGGCGCTCGCCTCGAAGAGCCCCTCTTCCCGTAGAACTCCCTTCGGCCTTGCTGCCCCTCCTGCTCATCCCTCCACTTCCCTCCTTCCCCGCTTCTCCTTACCCCTGCCCTTACTCTCTTCCCTTTCCACTCCCTTCTCCCTTCTCTCTGTCTCCCTCCCTTGACTCTTCCTCCGTCTTCTCCTCCTCTCCCCACCCATGGCCTTTCCACTCCTCTTCCCAGCCTTATTTCTCTCTCCATGCAGCCCACCCTCTGCTCTTCTTTATAAGAGCCCCCCTTTCCCTCTCCATCCCACCAAGGTAGAGCCCTGGCCCGCCCCAGATGGATGGGTGTTCGAGACAGAACTCCTGCCAACATTCTGTCATCTCCAGTTCCCGTGGACTGTCCCTTTCTCACTCCATCCGCCAGGCTTTCTCTTTGGTAGGCCCAGGTTTTCCCTTGACCAGGCCTCAAACCACAGCCTGATGGAAGAGGCCAGTCTAGGCAGTCAAGTCATGAACACTGACCCCCTCACCCAGCCCTGATTCAGGAGCTCTGAGCCTGCCCACAGTCCTCTGCGGCTCCTTAGCTGTGACCCTCAGACAGCCGGCTCCCGTGTCTGGGAGAGAAACTGCAGATCTCCTTGTCAGGGGCGGGGCCCACGCAGGCCAGACCAGACCTGGGCTGCTGAGCTCGCCCCTGGACGTGGAGTTTTAAAGGGGATGGAAACGAGCCAGAGCAGTGATTTTCAGAAGGCTCTCTAATCATTTCTGTATTTCTCCTGATGTGGGGTAAAGTGAGAGAAGCAAGACCAAAGCGATCTTTTTCCATTGAGCGAAATTATCCCATTTCAATTTAAAATAAATTATCCAATTTATTTTTAAAATAAATTATCCAATTTATTTTAAATTCCTGGACATCCTTATTCTGTTATTGTTGTTATTAAAAATACCCTTTGTTTTATAAAATGATAGCCACTGAAAGCAGAATATGCGTGAGTGTGTATGTATATATGTGTGAAATATGTGTTTAATTATATGTGTAATTATTGTATAATTATAAATGCATTGTCTATAGAAGTATGTATTGGGTATGACACAGAGAGATTGCCTTAATTGGCAAAATTAAAAGTCTATGAAATCCAAAAGTCTGGGAATGAGCCACCTAGCTAGAGTGTCTCCAAAACTAAACAACCACAAAGAACACCCAGGTTCGTAACCATGTCCAGGGGTGTCCAGCGCATGGCCCGCAGGCCACACACGGCCCAGCATGGCTGTGAATGCAACCCAACACAAAATCGTAAATTTACTTAAAACCTTGGTTTTTTGCTCATCAGTTTTGTTAGTGTTTGTGTATTTCATGTGTGGCCCAAGACAACTCTTCTTCCAGAGATGCCAAAAGGCTGGACACCCCTGGTGGACCATGCATTCAGGCAAACCCACATTCTGTCTGCAGCCCCGACTCTCAGCCCTTGGCAAATAACCTTTCTGAGCCTCGGTTTCTTCACTGAAAAGTACAGAGGCTAACAGCACCTTCTTCATGATTCTTGTGAAGGTTAAGCAAAGGTGTGCTGTCGAGTGCTTAGCATTGGGTCTGGCACATGAGATTAACTACGCTAGCAATGATTGCTGTTATTTCAGTACTACAAATTGTACTCCTGCTATTACTGTGACCTCCGCTTTCATTAGGCATGGGGAGAGGGGTTAGAAACCATGTTGTAGGAGTAGGAGTTACCTGTCCCGGAGGTCCCCCCAGAGAGCTAGGTCAGTTCTTTGAAGGTTATGGTTGAGAGAAGAGGTTCAAGAGCTAGGCTAGCCACTTACATGATGTTCTGAGCCGGGTGATAGCTTATCTTCATGCAAATGTAGGCAGACATGCAAATAAGGCTGCCCCTGCTTCTGGGGTGCGGGCGCCCGTGCCCACGCCCACCAGGCGATTGCCCAGGGCTTCTCTTGCTGGGCTCGCCTCTTTCTCCTCTGTGATGAAATGAGGCTGAGACATCAAAGCAGGTGAGGCAGGACTATGGTTAGGAAGGTCCTGGGAGAGGGGACATGTAAGAGAGAAATTGAGGGGGAAAGCTGCTTGTTCCCAAAAGCAGCAAAGCCCTTGCTCAGGGACCTGTGTGTTGGCTTAAAAGTCTTTAAAGCGGCTGAAGTGCATCGGCTCTGCAGTGAGAGGAGACCAGCAGAGGGGGAGGCTGAGAGAGGAGAAAGAAGGAGCAGGGTCGAAACTGCGGGCTGCACCCCAGGGTGAACAGGAAGTGGCTGGTGTATCCCCTGGAAGTCGGCCGAACGAGGCTTTTTCTTTTTACTATCGAGAATCCCGCCCTGCGTTCATAGCCACCTACGCAGTCCACACTTCTGCTTTCTCCCTGGGGATGCTTGGTGCCAAATCAGACTCTGTACTCCCTGCTCTCGGCTCTTAGCCAGCAGTGATGCCCCTAGACCTTGGGGGGGCTCGGCACTCTCCAGCGTTCCGGGGAGGGAGCTCTCTCTCGTGCAGCGCAATCTGGCAGGCTCTTTTACTCTTTCCCAAGCTGGGCTCCTCACCCAACAGAGCCAGTTCCTCTAAAAATAGGTTTCTACCAGGGAACCCGCGGTGAGACGGCTCGCTGCAGCTTTTCCTCGAAACTGCGCTCCCATCCACCGGGCTGTTCTGGCTGCTCCCTCTCGTTTCTCTGAACCAGCTCCAGCCTGCAGCGGGGACAGGTTCCGGGAAGAGCCAGAGACCCACATGTCCCTCCATCCTGTCATCTTCAGTCCACCCTCCGGGTCCTCAAGGCGGTAGAGGGGCCATCTGTCTGGTCATCTTCCGTTTTCGCTCTCCACACAGTGTCACCCACTGTCCCGTGCCCTCTGCTGCGGCAAGTAAATGCATTTGGTGGGGAAGGGCTGTGCGGGAGTTCAAGGGTCAAGTCATAATGAACGCATCGGCGGGGGAAAGTCACCCCACGTTCCACCCAGACTCCCCCCAACCCCACCATTCATCTGGGGCAGGGAGGCAGCTGCTTGACCAAAGCAAATATCCCCCAGGTCACCAGGGGTTTAGACAAGAGAGAAAGAGCTAAAAAAGCAAAACACAAGGGCAGCCAATGAAACCAAAGGGCCAAAGGGCTCTGGAAATCTCTGACAATGGGGATTCTCAACCCGTGCTGAGAGCCCCAGGTTTCGGCGAGGCTGCCCCAGGAAGGAGGGGAGGGAGTGGGGCGGGGCAGGGGCAGGTGGTAAAAGGGAAAGCCAATCCGGGAGCAGCATAATTAAGAATAGAGCCTCAGGATCAATGGTCCTGGGTGTGAATCCTGGTTCTGTCTCTTACCTCGGACACATTTCTTTACCATCTCCTGCCTCACCCCGTCCTCCCCCTTGAAAAGTGGGGTTCGTCGTGTCTACTAGAGATTTTCTATGAATAGTAAATAACATAGCATGCAGAAAAGTAGCACAATGTTTGGAATCTAAATGGAATCCAAGAAGAAAAACCTTATGCCCGTGTACGCATATGCACCACGATAGAATGATTAGTCTTAAGTCCCTATACTGTTCTTCATTCATGTTTTTCTGAGATGAAAGAAAAATGTCCTGTGTTGGAGGCATCTGAGCATGTGCACATAATAAGAGCAGGTTTGTCTCTGTGTGCACACCTCCGTCTCCTGTAGGTAGTGCAGGTGTTCTGCAGAGCCGGTGAGGATGGCTCAGGTCACCTGTGCCCGCATTCCTCACCCTCGCGGTTAACCAAACATATAACCTCGGTGGGGATGTCTCGTCCTCACTGCCCTGCCGGAGAACCACAGCAGCAAAGGTAAAGAAAGGGAGAGGCCAGGAACACGACTCTGATGGGAACCTTCCCACCAGGAACACGACTCTGATGGGAACCTTCCCCCGCAGCCCTAGCCGCAAGCAGAGAAGCATCAGGAACTGAACTTCTGGGCTGAGAGGTTGCCTTTTCTCCAACCAAACGGCCCGGGATGGCTTTCAGGAAGGATAAGTACAGAATGTCCTTCCTTCAGCAGGGTCTGGACATCCTAACGAGAGTTCCCAAGTCACGGGGAGACTGAGACAGATGGGAAAGTCTTAGGAATCATTGTGAACTCTCACCAAGGTGACTTTTGCCTAGAGATTTTTTGCGAAGGAGTTTAGCCGAAGGGTTAAGAACACAGGCATTTGAATCAGACCAATCTAGGTTCAAGCCCAGGCTCTGCTGTCTACTAGCAACTTGATATCAGGCAAATTGGCCTCTTTGTACCACGATTTGTTCATCTGTAAAATGGGTGTATTAATAGTACCAGGGGCTTTGCAGGGTCGTTGAAGGAATACAAAGGGCTGGTGTGTAACGAGCACAGTGTCTGACATAACAAGGCCTCAGTAGATGGCAGACGGCCATCGTTACCACCGCCTCCCCCATCTCCGCCAATAGTCTCTGCCCGGTGACGTGCCGCCCTGCCAGTCTCTCTGGCACTGTGTTGACATATGTATTGCGAGCAATACATTGTGTTCAGTCACATGTATGCAAGTGGCAGATTATTAAGGGAGCACCAAGTAACTGGGGCAAATCAATACAGAACACAAACGGCTGAAATTCCCGTCAGGGGCTCCCATTGTTTCCACTGGTGCCGAAGATTGCTTGGGTGTTTGCTTTGCGTGTTTGTTTTTATGCTGGTTCTATTAAATCAGCCGCAGCCTGAGGAATGCTTGCCAGACACAGAAGGAGCCCTGTGCCAGTTAAGTGAGACCTGAAACAGCTATTGGCTTCAGACACACCCCCGAGGGTGCCCACGTTTGTCCTTCACACTGCACTGCTGTCACTGGGAGCATGGACCTCCGCAGGCTCAGGCCAGGGCATGGGCTGGGCGACGTGGGAAAAGCACCAGGGGTGCCTGCTGCATAGAGACCTGTGCGTGCAGGGCAGTGGCCCCGAGGATGGGCACAGGCAGTGACTGGAAGGTGGAGATGCCCCCGCTCCAGAGAGTGGTCGGCACGGCTCAGCGGGGGAGAGCTTGGGCCTTCGGACTGCATGCGAGTGAGTTCGAGCCCCCGCCGTAGCTCTCCTTGGCTCTGCGAATCGGGGCCAGTGACGTGACGTCTGAGCCTCCATTTTCTCGTGTTCCATGTGGGGGCGGTGACGGCAATGGGCTCCGCCTCCCAGGGCCATGAGCACTGTTGGACAGGCCACATAAACTCAACCTGATGCCTGGCTTCCGAGCACCGGGGACACGTCAGCTCCTGCTGCTGCTGTTGCTACCCTTGCCTCCACATCTGAAGTAGCTGACTCTTCCCAGCCACCCTCCCCCAAGACGAACTCTGATGCCCCTGGAGCAAGGTTCACGTACGTCCCCTGCCTTCTGCGTCTCATCGGGGTTGGATGTCAGCCGGCACCTATAGCAGCACAGGAAGCGGAGACAGAGCAGGGACAAGACCCGCCCCCCCGCCGGAGTGCAGGCCTCAAGGGCACAGGATGTGCAGCGACGTCCCTGCAGGGTTAACAGGCTCAGGTTGGAATTCTTTGTTCTTTGTTCGAAATGCGCATCTCTGCACTCCACTTGCATATCCTACACACAGTCACACCCACATTCCACCTCCCTCAGTCCCCGCGGCCTCCTTACGCAATCTCTGCTTCCGCGGAACCGTGTGATGTCTCAGAAGGAGCCCTGGGGTCTTCTTAACCGCAGGTTCTTACCCGCTTGAACTTGCCTGTGACTTTGGGAAAGCCACTTTAGTCTCTGGGCCTCAATTTCTCCTTTTTCAAAAAGACGGAGAGGGCAGTGTGTTCGGTGGGCAGAGACAGAGAGGTGTCCGCTCTGCCACCCGCCAGCTCGGTCACTTTGGACAGGCTATTTGGTCCCTCTGGGTTTCATCTCCTCCACTCACAAAATAGGGCCAACACAGCTCGCCTCGTAAGCGTGAGGATTAAAAGAGATAACAGACGCAAATCAGCTCGACTCCGTAAATAATAGCTCCTCCCGTCTGGCAGCAGTGAAACGTGGCTGCATGGCGGACCGTCCTGAGAGGGGTTAAATCACCCGATGGTGAAGCCCTTTGGGGACAGGTGTCTCCTCCTGCTCCCCGATTCATCCCTCCCCGGGCCTGGCAGCCATCCCTGAAGTGGAGGGTAACTAATTACGGACTGCCTGGACTGCCAGTTGACCGCACGCTCCGCGCTGACCTGACTCGCCTGGGCTTGTGACCCCCAGCCGGGAGCAGCGGGTCGCGTTGCCAACCCGGGGGGCTGCCGTTGCTCACAGGCAGTGGCTCCCTCCAGAGGCACATCCGGCCTCCACCCTTGCCAGAGTGGCAGGCGAACCGCAGGATTCCTGGAGAGCATGTGCTACCTGACTGGCGGCCCCAGAGACCCACGGAGCTGCTGCCGTCCCTGGGAGAGCCCAGCTGAACTTTGCCTGTCTGGACAACGAGGGTGCCCTGGAACTTCTCCGTCGAGGCAGCCTTCCCGCGTCCGCCGCTGCAGCCAGTGGCTGTGCCCCGTAGCCCACGCCTCTGAGACCTTGTGGCATGTCCTGTGGCTCACCGGCAGCCAGCCAGGCCCCTGTCCAGCCAGCCTGCGCCCACGCGCCCAGCAGCGCCCACCCCCGCCCCCTCCAGCAAGCCACAGAGGCTTCCTCTGCCGACCGCGGCAGCCTCATTTATAGACTCTATTCATCCGGCCGCCAGCCGTGGTCTGGCCTCTCCCCTCTCGCCCGCCCTTCGTTCTCCTGCCCCGCCTCCCCCTTCCTTCGGTCTGGAGAGTGATTTGTCTGTGTTATGGGTTGGCCTGACAAACCCTGGCACATTAGCAGCTGAGATGTTGTTTGAAATGGGAAAATTGCTGGCAAACTGCTCCATTAGCCGTTCCAGTAACAAATACTCCGTTCCCCCAATGAAGATGAGATCACAGAGGCACGAATTAATACGACTGTCTCCCCTGCCATGCAGCGGGGATTACTCTTCAAGATGGATCGGCTCATCCCAGCCAGGCGTGCGCATCCACGAGTCGGCGCCTCCGAGGGAACCAGGCCCTCGCGTCGCTTCCTCCTGCTCCCCCACCGCCCCGCCCCCCCCCCCACACACACCTTCTTTTGTGTCTTCCCAGCGGAGGGTTCGGGGAGCGTCCGTGCCAAATGAGGAGGTGATGAAAGGAGCCGCACCTCAGAGACGAGGGAGATGGATGAGGGGGAGACGCGGAGCCCTCAGCCCGGGCTGGCGTCATTCATCACCTTGAATGGGGGGCCCGCCGCCCGCGCCGGCCTCCTCCCCGCCACACCTGTTCCTGGTGACAGGGAGCCATTCGAGAGACGAAAGGATAAAGGATGAAAGGGCTCGCTTGCTCGCTCCCCGCGGCCCCTTCTCTTCCGAGGAGCTCTGGGCCCTGGGCCCACAGCCTCTCTCGACTCCGCGAAGTAATAGGAGAGGAGGCACTTCAGGAGAGTCTGAAAGATGTTAAAACCTAAGATTCCAGCAGCAGCCCAGGGGAGCGAGTGGTCCGGTCGGGTCCCCCGGGGCCTCCGAGGTGTCAGGGAGCCAATTTGATGAGTGTCAGGCTGAGAGCTAGAGATGTGAAGGCTCTTCCCCCACCACAGCAGAGCAGCCCATGGAAACCCAGAAATAAACAGTGAGTCATCATGGTGTACACCTGACACTGATGCCATGTTACATGTCAGTTAGTCCTCAGAGAGAGAGAGAGAGACAAGGAAGGAAGGGAGGGAGGGAGGGAGGGAGGAAGAGAGGGAAGGAGGGAAGGAAGGGAAGGAGGGAAGGGAAGGGAAGGGAAGGGAAGGGAAAGAAGGAAGAAAAGAAGGAAGGGAAGGGAAGGAAGGAAGGAAGGAAGGGAAGGAAGGAAGGAAGGACCCATAAGTGAAGTCACCCACTGACATCCCTGCCTGCCCAGGACCCCAGTAGCAGCGTGTGTGAATGAGTGACATGCTTCCATATAAGCGTTGCTGGCCCGAGCTCCATGTCTTTTCACTCTTCCTCCTCTTTATCCTCTTGACTTTGTCAGCGCTCTGTCTGGTTCCTTCCAGAGCCTTTTCTGAAGGAGCTGGCTGCGTCTGAAGCCAGCTGACTAGAAGCAAGCACCAGATCCTCAAGGAGAAATCGTCCCTGTCGCTTTCTCCAAGGGCTGGGTGCTCCGTGCATCGGAACACGTGTGTGGCTTTCACACCGTGTCTGCCTGGCCCCCTTGACCCAGACTGGGTGCCACGCGATGGGAGAGACCATCCCGTCCCCGGGGCCCTCAGCAACCACTGTCCGGTGGGTGGATGGTGGGTTAATGGGCTCTTCTCTGCTCTGTTTCCCAGACGCCTGGAACAAAACTCCATCAAGTCCATCCCTGCTGGAGCCTTCAGCCAGTACAAGAAACTGAAGCGAATGTGAGTTTCCGCTGGGGAGGGGCGAGCCCTCGTGCTGTCAGTCTGGGTGATGACACGTCCTGTGAGGTGGCAGCCTGCTCAGGCGCCGGGCTGCATCATGTGTGTCCTGGGCAGCTCAGTGTCGGACCCAGAGTGTGCTCCCGCGATTGGGAGGGAGGGTCGGGAGCGTTGCATGCAGGTGGTGAGGTGGAAGGGTGTCGGCACCCATGCGCTTGAGAGGACAGCCAAGGACCCTCCGACTGGAGCAAAGGGGAGGGACCGGGATGGGGGGTGGAGCTCAGTTGACCTGAAAGCCCCACGCCCCCTTTTTTATCTTCCGCTGGCTTTGGAGATGGAGGCCTGAGGCAGGAGCTTCCGCAGAGACGTGACTGTGGGCCCGTGCCCTTACAGCACTGCCACCAACACTGGCACAGCCACACACACGTGCATCCGACAAACACTCGGTGCACACCCGCCATGCGAGGACCCGTGCTGCTGCGGTCTGCGGGCAGCACGGGGGGTTACACAACATGGCTCTTCCAGAGCTCACGAATTTGCACGGGGGAACACAGGAACCCCCCTGGGCGAGTCCTAGAAATCGCTCTGCTGGAAAGTGTGACGAGGGGAGAGGGTGGTGGAGGGTGGTCTTCAGGAGGGCGTGCCCATGACGGCCTCTCTGTGCAGGTGGCTCGAATGAAGGGAGGGAGTCGTGACAGGCTCTGAGGGGAGCGCACGCGAGAGGCCGAGGGCAGTGTGCATGGGCGTGTGCGCGTGGGGAGTGAGCACAGGGGACAGTGGGGAGTGAAGTGGTGGGTGGCGTTGGAGACGGAGGCAGGGCCTAGAGCCCAGGGGACCCCTTAGACCACGGTGAGCCTTTTCTGTCCGTCTAAGTGCGATAAGAAGGCTCTTACCCTCCGACAGTCCGCCCCTCCGTGACTACCCCCAGCATCCCCGTTACCACCACAACCGACATCACTGCCACCACGACAGCCTCTTCACGCCAGTGACACTAGACCTGCTGCACCTTCCCTGCCACAGCCTGTCCCCGCCACCCTTCCACACCACGTGGCTGCTCTGTGAGCCACCCAGACCTGGGCACTCTAAGGAAGGCCGGCGGGGCTCAGAAATGGCCCCTTGCTGCCCCTGCATGTACTGAGACCCGGGGAGGGAGCCGCCCGCCCCTCTCCCAGGCTGAGAGTCATTTCCCACAGCCCAGTGATGAGGGTGCGGTTTTCACTGCCCTCCTCACCCTCTCCGGCCCCTCGCAGCGCAGGTCGGAGAGTAGGCCGGTAGGAACGGGTGGGCGGGCGGGCGCGGATCTGTGGTTCCCTTCTGCTGGGGGCCGATCCGTCGGGCTCCCTCAAGGAGGCGGCCAACTGGCAGAGAGGTTCCGTGCCTGCCAACGCCTTTCGTGCTAAAAATAACACCCCGGCGAGGCAGCGGCCTTGGTCGGCTTTACCCTCAGCTCTCAGGAAGCCAACTTCCCTTCTCCCTGGAAATCCAAACCAAACCAGACCTCCTCCTGGTACAACTCCAGACGTGGAAGCCGACATAATGAGGCTCTTCTTCCCTCCCCTGGCTGCGCTCCTGCCGGAGGAGCTGTATAAATATAGGCCTTAATATTCAACACCCCGGGCCATTAATCTCCTGGGCTCCCTGCTTCCCCAGCGCACCCCCCACAGCCCGCCCCCGATTCATTTTTAAAGCCCAGCTCGATTATGCAGCCAGATAGTAATTTCGGTGAAAAATGGCAAGTTCAGTCACTGCCCCAACCTGTACCTCTTGCATGATTTAAGTTACTGCTCTAATTTTTCAGCGAAGTCCAGGTAATTTAGAGCCCGGCTCTGTGTCACCGTCCTGTCCTCATCCTGGTGGCCTCGCCATGAGCCGTGCATTCAAAATTCATAAGACCTGCTCAGTCACGACCTGGGCAGCGCGTCTCATTTTTGACCACGTCTAGTGGCATTTATTACGATGCCCTGCTTTTCCCCAAGTGAAGGGTGGTGGGGAAGAGAGACCACCTGAAAATGTTCCGACGAATGGAATTCCAGAAACCCCTGCCCGCGTGTGAGTGTTTGGGAGGACTAGGGTCCCTGGTGAGAGTGGATTGTAAAACCCTGAGTGTGGACTCCTCCTGGGGATAGTGGCGAGTTTATTTCTATTATCAAGAAAAAAAAAGGTCCCCCTCCACTGTGAATGAACCCTGCCTTTCTCTTATCTCCAATTATCTCCAATCATAAGACAGGGACAGAGGATTCTCCCTGAATGAATGCCCTTGTCCCCACCTATTTCTAGTGGTCGGCTTAGTATAAAACTAGGTCCAGGGAAAAACTAGTATCCAGGTAGAGAAGCCATATTTAGGGAGAGTCGGGGCCCTGGAGGAGAAGACCCCTGGGCTCACGGGGTTGGGGCACTGGTCACGCAGACGCCGCGGCACACCTGCGTCGCTCAGCCAGGAGGGCGTGTCAAGGTCTCACTCACACTGTCACAGGGAGCGCAGAGTTCCGCAGGCCCCAGTGGGGCCGCGTCACCCACTCTGATCTCCCGCCGGATCCTCGTTGGTGCGGGAAGTTGCCGCTTCTGCCCTGGACAGCCTGCTGTGGCCACCCCCCCGCCTCAGTCTTCCTGTCTGTAAGTCCCGGGAGACCGGGCCGGACCCGGGACTGCCCAGATTCTAACCCACTGCAGCCTGGAGTGTCACTCGGGGGCCCCCCGCGTGGAAATCACCTGGAAGTTCATAGCACAGGCAGGCGGATGTGTAGCAAGCACATCGGGCTTTCTGCGGGTGCACGTGAACAAACACTCCAGTGAAGCTTTGAGGTTGAGAGTGGCCCAGACACCCAGAGTCTGCTCTGGGGCCACCCTGATGGTCGGGAGGGGTCCAGCGTGGAGGCAAGGGGGCACCCGAAGTCTCCTCCAGTCCGCCTTCCTGTCCAGCACCCGTCACAGGGAAGTGCGGGTGGGCTGGAGAGGCCGGCTCGCGGAGCCTACACAGCCGAGCCAAGTCCCCTGTGACTCCAGGCTCCGCCCCTCGCAAGGCTGCGGTTTCTTCCCCGCAGGGTTAAGAATTAAGACAAAATAACCAAATGACCGCCAGGGTCAGTTCCTGGCTAGACTGTCACCTTTCCACCTCTCCACTCCTCACCCTCTCCAAAACCAGGGGACGTCACACCTTGCGCTGTCGAGGGGTGGGACCTAGTCCAGTTGGGGACTGAGAACCAGGCGGCCCTCCCGAGGCTAAGGCGGGAGGAGGGCTTTGCCGCTGATCCCAGAGCCTCCTCTGCGCACCAGACACCGAAGGACCTGGCAGGGACATCGGGGTCAGGGAAAAACAACCACAACAATGAGACAGTTGCCGCCACCGGTGTGATCTGAACTCGGGCCTCGTCTGCCGTCCTGAACGGCCTTGCCAGGCGGCCCCACAGACGGCGAGCCAGACCAGGGTAATCCGGGGCATTGGCTTGTTAAAACCCTGTACGAGAGGGCGCGCTGAAGGAAAGCCCAGGGTGAGCTGACGAGTGGGAAGCACAATCTGTGGATTTGTGAGAGGCGATCTCACCAGCTAAAAGGATCAGCTCGACAGCTGTGCCCAAGAAGCCTGACCCTGGGAAGCCTCTGTCAGCGAGCAGGCTTCGGGGGCAGGGAGGGCAGGGGTGGTCACAGGCCCTTTGGACGGCTGGCAGGAGGAGGAGACACAGGCCCCAGGGGTGTGCTTAAGAGGCCGGGGGGCTGGGGGTGCCAGCCCCGCTGGAGGCAGCTGCTTAAGGATCTACTTAGCTGTGCTTTCCTCCCCGTATTCCCTTGTCCCCTCCTTGTTGACCTGCCAAGACCCCCGCCCCCACCCCTCTTCTGCACAAAAGCAAAGGCCCGGTGATTTATGTTGTTAAAGAGAACGAACTGGAGAGGCTCCTTGTCGAGGGAAATTGGAGCACCGCCCTTGCAGTGGCAGGAGCCAGAGGCCATCCCTGAGCTAATGACTCCCAGAGAAAGGCTGCCCCTCAGCAAAGTGCCATTAGCAAGAGCCAGAGGCCGCTGCTCAGGGGCCACCGGGGTGGCAGCAGGGGGCAGCCTCCTGGCTCTGGGGAGGACCCGGCACCTCCCCAGCAGCAGGCCAGGCAGTGGCCCCCCCCAGCACCCCGCCTTCCCCTTGCTCCCACTGTCCCTCAGCCCGGACGCCGCCGTCCTGGGCCCGCTCCTGTGTGAGGGGCACTGCCAGCGACAAATCCACGTCGCAAAGCCACCCCGTGAGAATCTCATGTTCAGTCACACATCCTGGGCGGGACACCGAGCCAGACAGAGCCTCACGCCCGGGTCAGAACCTACCTGGCAGCTCAAGGAGGACAAGTCACCGGGGAGGTGAAGTGACTCGGGACGCTGGGGGAGAAAAATAAGCGTTTGCTGAGGCAGGAGGCAGGCGGGGATGCTCAGAGGACCCCCGGCCGTCCGTGCTTGGGTGAGGGGTGAGGGCTTCATTTATGCCGTGATTGTAGCTGATTGTAGACCTGGACAAGGCCACCACTCAGCTGGGCTCCTTTCTCACCTGCAGACAAGGGCTCACACGTGCAAAGACATGTCAGAGTCACGGTGCCGTGGGTAGGCACGCTTGGAAAGGCAGGAAGAGTGACGCACGTGCAGTGCCCTTCATCCTGGGCGGGTGCATCGAATGCTCCCGAAGCCCCGTCTGTTGCGCTGCGAATGAACGCGTTGGTTGATTAATTCTCACGACTTTGAGTACCTGACACGCTCGACCCACACTCAGGACTGGCCGTGCTAGACCTCTGAGCCGTGTCCTCTCCCGTTCATGTTTTCAGAGACATCAGCAAGAACCAGATATCGGACATCGCCCCTGACGCCTTCCAGGGCCTGAGATCGCTCACGTCGCTGTAAGTGTGGTGTAGGGGCACCTGGGACCGGGGCAGGGTGTCCGTGCATTCCAGGAGGTGTCTATGGTCGAGGCTTGGCGCGCCCTTACACGCTTGTGGCAGCCCGGTTAGAGAAACAAATATTTCTTCAGGGGAAATTGATCTCGGGGAATATTTCTACAACCCACATGCATTATTTCTATTGATTAAGTGCCCAGTAGCCTTCCCAGTTATTGGCTTTTAATCCAAATGCATCTTCTGCTCCAACCACACTCGTCCCTCCCAGCCCACAGGCCTTGGCAGTGGTCTCAAGAGAGACGGGGAGAGGATTGTAACGTATGCTGATGACCGTGGGCCCGTTTCCCCGCAAACGTGGCCTCGCCCAGGGGAGCACTCACGCTCTTCCCCTGCTTCTCAGGCTTTCTCTGCAAACCAGCCCATGGCCGTGGGTGGGGAAAGCACCAGCCCCATCCTGTGCGTCCTTCCTTCCTCTGGGTCGGAAACCCTGGGGCAGCCCGCCGGGTGGAACCGCATCCTTGCTTCCCGGGGGCTCAGGAACCCTCCGGGGCACGAAGGGATGGCGCTGGGCGCTGTGTCCCGGCCCTGTCACCGCCTCCCCGGGAGGCCCTGGGGTCGGCGGTGCCTTTCCTGCCTGGCGCCCGTTTAATGGTGGCGACGGTCTCGGTGACTAAAGTCACTGGCGGCCCTTCCTGAGCACTGACTCCTTCCCGGGTGCTGTCGCTTCCTCCTCTCCACGACCTACGGCACCGAGCCCACCCTCGTCGCCCTCTTGCAGCTGGCGAACGTGGGTGGCCTCAGCTCCACAGAGACCAGGGTTTTGCTTGTTTTTCACCTGTTTTAATCCTGGCTGCATCTCTGGCATCAAACAGTGCCTGGCCCGCAGTCATAGTTCAAAATTCCTGGTGCGTAAATAAATGTCATTTACCCAAAGTCCTCGGTAACAAGGGGGCACGTCAGGACCGGGACCCCAGCAGCCTGACTCCGGAGTCCACGGGCTCCGTGCTCTGCTGCCCCTGAAGGTGACGCGAGAAGTAAACAGTAGGATACAACAGAGGTATCCTCGGTTGGTACTGTTTATGTCATGGGGTGACCTGCCCGCCCGGGCGAGAGCGAGGATGCACAGAGTCCATGCTCTGCCTCTGTTTGCCCAGTGAACGAGCAGGCAGGTAACAGGATACATGCCTCCCCCCACCCCCCCTCCCCCCGCCCAGCCTCATCCACTAAGAACCGGCTGAGGACAGGGAAGGCTCTTGGTTCAGCTGTTGCTACTGCTTGCAGCGTAAATTAGTTTCATTTATCGGAGGGAACATCTGGCGGGGATAGCAGAGACAGGAGGGTGTGTGAGATTGGTGTCTGCTCGCGGTGCTGAAGATCACAGCGGAGAAGCGGGAGCGGCCGTCTGCCACTGGGGTCCTGTCCCTGCCCCCGCCGTCCAGTTCCCCCAGCTGGGCTGGTCTCCCTCTGCTGGGACTCACAATACGGTCGCCCAACATGACACTGGCACGCCACTAGCCAGCTCTGAAAGATGTCGGGGCGCTGTTTAAGTGAAGTGCCTCTCCCCGCAATCTATGCATTCCTCCACTCAGCAGATGCCTTCTGCGTGCTGAGTAGTATGACAGTAGTATGACAGGGACCGAGAGGGTGGCAGTGAACTGGGCAGACGAGACCCTGGTCACGGAGCTCTGGACACAAACACGCTCAGTCCAAACTCAGGAGCAGCCAAGGTGACGACGGGCAGGGTCCTGTCCGTTCCTCCTTTCGACACCGCCGACCGTGCTGGCCGCCGTATGCGGTTCTCAGCTCCAGGGACCCAGTCAGCGCCAAGCCACACGATGTCACCACGCAGCCTCTATGGGAGGGGCCGGTGGGGGCGGCACAGACTGCTTCTAGACTAACTATGGAGGGAGGGGCAAAAGCAGGTTCACGGTTGTCCATATGGAAAAGAATGCAATCACTAGTAAATAATTATACAAGAATAAGCTGTTTTGCGTACTCACAACTGTGAACCTACTTTCGCCCCACCTTGTGCATAAGTGATAGAAGGTGATGTGATGAGAAATGAGAAAGAGAGAAAAATGGGCTGACAGGTAGTGAAAAACATTAGCCAACATATTCAGGAGACACTCCCCAGGGAAGAGGTGCCTGAGCCCCCCTGAAAGGCGTGAAGAAGGCAGCCAAGGAAGGATGGGGGGCAGGGGGGGAAGCCAGGTGGTTCTCCACCCCGATGCCACATGGTGCGCCCAGCCGTGTCAGCCTGCTGGGGCGTGATTCAGCCCCCGAGGCTTCTGGACATCCCAGCAGATGCACGGCCACGACGTGAGGGCCCCTGCCCCAGAGCCCTGGCCCCAGCCCTCGGCCCCAGCGTCTGCGCTGTAGAACTCAGGACACCAGCTGAGAGGAGCAGACAGTGGCCTTACTACGTTTGACACCGGGAGCCACCACTCCCGGACATTAATATGAATTAGAAATGTGCGCCTGAGCCGTCACGCTGACTTTTATTTAGTCATTAAATTTGTTGAAACGTTAATGAAACACACCCACAGGCTGAGCCAGACGCTTTCGGTCTTCACTCCCAGTGGTATCTAAAGATCGGGGCTCTGTGTCTCCCTCCTCCCAACATTTTACCTCCTCAAAGACACACAGCAGCCCGAGTGGGGGTTGGCTATGGCATTCATTCAGTGTGCTGCAGGGCCCAGGAGGGAATTTAAAAAAAAAAACAAACACCTGCTTAGCTAAGTTCCCTCTAACTCCGAGGAGGCTGGACCTAGCGGGGAACACAGTGTTGGCCATGGAGGAGACGGAGGGGAGGCCAGAGTGTCTCCGTGCCCATGCTGCAGCCAGCAGGACCCACTGGGCCCTGGGCTGCTGGGGAAGGCCCAGCTGGCTCCTTGCCCAAGCTTCCCACACCCCCAGAGCCCAGCCCACGCATGGGAGACCCAGGGAGCAGGAGGCAGGCCTGAAAGAGAGGTGGGTAAAGGACGTCCGAGCTCCTCGGTTTCTGGAGCTCAGAGAAGGGCTGGCGTGTGGAAGCCGCCACCCGGCCAAGGTCACAGTCCCTGTTCCCCGCTTTTCCCCTGAGAGCCGGTCCTTGACTCAGCGGTCTCTGAGCCACCCGGGTGGCACCCAGACAGCCAACACCCCGTCGAGGTGGACGCTGAAAGGGCTCCGCTCAGGAGCCCCAGGACACGCAAGGAAACGTCCCGCAGGCCGTGCTCAGCCTGATCGTCACTCGCTGAAGACAAGAGCACACGGGGCCGTCCCGCCGCCCGCACCGCTTATTTATCGCCGGGGCGTGAGTCACACTGGCAGCGCAGGGAGACGCCACAGGGGACTGTGTCTTCCTGCGGTGGATCATTTCTTGAGCCGGGCTGCCCAGGAGTGCCCAGACAGCCTGCCCCCTCCCGCCCCGGGGGCACGCGCCTGCTGTGTCACTGGTGCAGAGAAGGGACGAGGCGGACCAGCGAAGGGGACGCCCGGAGAGCCAGCCGCCCTGGAGCTGCTGAGGCGATGGCCTCCTGCGGGAGCAGGTCTCCGGGGCCGCCCATCGGTGGTGACCCGCCATCTTCTCCGGTCTCTTCCAGGGTGCTGTACGGGAACAAGATCACTGAGATCGCCAAGGGACTGTTCGACGGGCTGGTGTCCTTGCAGCTGCTGTGAGTAGGAACTTTGTCACCGTTTGGGTCTCTGGGACTGTTGGCAGGCCCCTCCCCGAAAACTTGGAGCCATGCCCCGCAGAGTTCCACTTTTGCCTTGATGCACACCAAGGGGGAACTACCTGAGCTGCCCACCCTTTGCCTCCATCCCCTCCTTTGCTGGAAGGAGAGCCAGGGAGTTGGCAGAGGGAGGCCAAGGTCAGTGTGAACAAACCCAACGACATAGCTCAGGAGCCTGGGCCAGGCACGCGGCTAACCACAGGCCTGGGGGGCGGGAAGTTAAGCGTAGTTGGATCCTACGGGAGATGCTGGGAACTCACACACCAGCAGCCAGTGCTGAAGCCGGAAGGGAGCGGCTGACGGACTCGTGCCCTTGGGGAAGGGTGGGGGTGGGGGGCTGAGACAATCAGAGGGGAGCACAGTCCGTCAGCGGGTGACTCTATCTGGGACGGTGACGGCTGGGTGGGAAGTGTGTATTTAATTTAAAGGAAGATTTGTCGCCTTGAATTTGGAGCTCTGGGATTATTTATTTGCATTTATTTCATTCCGGTCATTTGAGCTTGAACCTTTGAAGGAGATAATTGAACTCTGAGGTGGAGAGGCACAGGAAGGAACTGAGCTCACGCCGTACTTTACGATGTTATGACGGGGAGAATTATCTCATGTGTGCGCGTAGCACACGCGCGTTCCGGGGGGGTGTAGGGACACGTGTGTGTGCGTGCACACGTCCACCTTTGCTCCGTGTCGGCATCACGACTCGTCCTGGCGTCAGGGATCACGAGTGTCCTGGGAGGCGTGGAGAAACTGGCTCGGAGCTCAGAGGGCCCTGTGGCTCAGAGGGCCCCGGCCCCCGGCACAGCACAGGGTGCGAGTTCAGGGGTGTGCCTCCGTGTGTGCACACGTGTGTGCATGTGTATGTGTCTTTTTAAAATCACCTCCAAGCCACAGGCAGCGAGGAAGGGGCCGCGGGGCTCCCCGCTCCCACGTGGTTAGGAGAAGCTGTGGCATGAGGCTGCAGACCAGGGGGCCACGCTGGGCGCCCCCCCATGAGGGGGAGAGGCCAGGAGCAGGGTGGAGAGAGGGAGGTGGGCAGCACCCTTCACCTGGCGGCGCCCGAGACCCTTCACCGTGGAGGAAGTGAGACTTTCCTCCCACCCCTCTCCCCACATCTCTCCTCCCTCCCCTCCCCTCCCCTCCCCTCCCCTCCCCACGGCCTTGAAGGCCCAGCCTGGACAGGCTCTCCTCGGACAGTACGATGATGGGAATCAGGTCGCCGTGCGGCGGCCAGCGAGTCTCCAGGCACATCTGTCAGAACGGCATCAGGCTTGTTTCCGAGCAGCTGCGGTCAGGAGAAAGAAAACGCTGCCCTCGTCTCTGCCTCCCCCTCCCCTCCGTCTCCACGCCTGTCCCGTTCGGGGGTCCCAGCCTTCCGTGGGTTTGCTGGCAGCACGCGCCAGGGCTCCGCGGGGGCGGGTGGTTCGCAGATGGTGTTCTTTGCTCGTGGCAAAGAAACTGTACGTTGTAACTGCCGCCATAAGGCTAGTTAACCTTGGCTATTCATCCCTGGAAGGAAGCGTAGCGATGGCATCTGCCTTGAGGTGCGTTTGGGGGTGCCGTGGGCCCCAGAGCTGGGGTGAGCAGGCTTTGACAGTCGGTGGGTCTGGTGGGAGGAGAAAAACGCCCTTGTGCCCAGGAAGGAGAGACGTGGCGTGCGTCCCAGTGCCTGGCAGCGTGCTGTGCGTAGCCCGGATTCGGGGAACGCGCCTTTTCCACAGAAGGACCCGTGTCCCCGCCTGGAGCTGACAGCAGTCAGGAGGGAACAGACTCGCAGGACTTTGCTGGGGCCAAGGAGGCGACTCCAGCGTCACCTCATTTCAGGCCGATGGACTTGAGGAGCTGAGGCAACAGGCAAAGCTCCTCCCACCCCCCCAACCCCACCCCCACCTCAAGACCAAGGGTTGACACAACTCAGGCTGTTTCCGGAAAGAACCAGCAAGTGTGACCGTCACGGGGTTGTGACCCATGTTGAGCAGTTGGAAAGCAGGTCCCAGTTAGACCTAAGTTAGCGTGCGGCCCGCCATAGAGTGGGTTTCTCCTTGTTAGACTTGGAGGCGTTCTGATAAGAAGGCTCCGGTTAGAACACCCTGCCAGTCTGGGCAATTTCCTGTGCTTGGACATCAAGGCTTTTTGCGAGAGATTCGTGGTTTTTTTCTCTTTCTGTCTCTCAAATTATTGGCGCTTCCCAACGCCACGCCATCTTCCCTGCACGTGAGCTGCTGTGTCTCCCTGTGCGTAATCCCAAACAGCCCCATTCCTGCAGACACATCCATTGTATGGACTCACATTCGTTCCTTGTTAGTAGCAACTCTTACTACCTTCAGGGGTGCAAGGTAGTCTGTCTGCTTCAAGCAGGAAGCTGGGAGGCGAGTCCGGTGTCTGTTTGAACAAGAAGTATGCTCTGAGACTCCCTCCCAAACCTCAGAGTCTGGAGACACCTCAGAATCTGAGGTTGGGACCAGCCAGGCCACTGGCACATGCTCCCAGCTCTGGGCACTGGACCAGTAGGTGCCCAGAGAAAGGGGCTCATCCTCTCCTCTCGGGCTCCATCCGTCCCTCCTCACCGGCAGCAGGGCGGGCACTCTGGCTCCTCCCCATTCCTCTGGCACCCGGGCTCCTGGGTTCCTGGGACTTCTGTGCAGTTGGTGACCCTGGGTGCCCAGCCACCCAGAACGCCCCCGGACCCCTCGCCTTGATGCTCAGAGGTCAGTCCCCCCTCAAGCCACAAGAGGTCACTTCCTCCTCTGATGGGCAGCTTGGGCCGCACCGTTCCAGTCCCCCTGGGGGAAAAAAAGCATTCACCTAGACTCCTGGATTGCGTGGCGTGCGTAGGACAGCTGCCGAGTGGACAGACAGCCGCCTGAGGTGGAAACGCACGTACCCGTGGCCGCGGTGGATGCTAGGCCCACTCCAGGAGGTCCCACGCCAAACCAGGCTGTCTTGGGACTGGAATAAGCTGAGGCAAGCCAGGCACCTGTTCTCTGATTTTCTTGGAAGGCACACAGGACCGTTCGAGGATCTTGGAGTTTGCCAAGCAACACGCCAATTACCAGGCGGAGAGCAGAACGCCACTCCCCGCCGCTCACTTTCCCACGCCAGCTGTTTCACTAGTATCGCTGCTGCCGCCGCTGCTGCTGCAAACTGCAGCCAACACTCCCTGAATACTTAATAAGCTCCGGAGCGCGTGCTAAGGAATTTCATTTCCCCCCATCTCGTCTCAGTTTTACAGCAATGCCAAAAGGGAGGTATTGTTCAAGGCCCGCTTTACAGATGGGGAAGCCGAGGCGCTGAAGGGGTAAGCGACTTGGCCACTGTCGCTCAGCCTGGAAGGGACTCAGCACTGGACCCAGGCGGGCTGACGCTGGAGTCCGCACCAGAGACATCGGCTTCGGGCCCAGTCCCGGCGGATCTTTGCAGAGTGACCTTTGCAACGCACGGCAGGAGAGACACTGACCCTAGCCAGCCCCTCTGGGGGCGCCCCGTGTCCGTGGTGGGCCTTCCCCTCGCTCGCTGCCATCACCCCGCTGACGCTTGCCCTGAGCCCTGAGCGACGGCAGTCGGGGAGCCGCGTGGTTTGCAGAACCGGGTGAGCGGAGGAGCACTCTCCCCAGCAGTGGACGCAGACCCACCTTCCGACTCATCCTCCAGGGCGGCGCCCTTCCCTCTCCTGCGCACCTGGAGCTTCCGGAGGAAGGCCCCCGGGCACGCTTAGGCTCTGGGATCACTCCATCCTGGCTCACCCAGTGAATGGTTGACTGCTCCCTCAGGGCTCCTTAGTAACCAGGCAGCAATCAGATGGGCAGGTGACCCCACTACGTGCTGTGGGGGATGGAGGGGACAAGCCAGCCACGCTAACTGAAGCCACTGGATGTCCCGAGAGCAGGCGAGGCTCCCCGGGCCTGGATCCCCGAGTCTCAGCTTCCCGATGGTTGACTCAGGGAAAGCCCAGCTGCTTGCCCGCCCTCGCTCCTAGGGCTGTCCCGTGTCTGTGCAGTCGAACAAGGCCCTGTGTTTCAGGCCGGCCACCCAGTGGCACGGCTGCATTTTCAGTTTCCCCGGCATCGGGCATCACCATGACAACCCACAACCCGTGACCAGCACTGCAGTCATTACTGGGAGAGGCGTGAACAGTGACCTTGCCCCTAGGTGGGACTGGGGGGCTCCTCCCGCATCCTCCAGGGAGTGTTTAGCCTGACGTGGCCCGGAAGACCCCTTCACACGCTCGGGGAAGGGTCTGGGCAGGGTCCGAGGTCCCGGTCTCCAGGCAGCTGGGATCCCCAGGTTCCTCCGCGTGTCCGTCCGCAGTCAGCTGCTGAAGGTCAAAATAAACCCGCAGGTTTTTCGGAGAAGGATGAGAGCACGTTTGTCCTAAGGCAAGAGAGTGGTTTTTATTACAAGCAGTGGACAAAGAAATTCAGGATGGCAGAGGGCTAACTCTAAAGAAAAACAAATTTAAAGAGGAAGACACATTAATGAGGGAGATTTGACTCCGTTCCTGTCCAGCTTAATCAGGGGTCCAGGGCAGCTCCCCTAACTGGTGTCCATGGTAATAGTTTATGCCAACGCATCATGGTGCTAAATACTGCTGGGGAGACACAGAGAACTTTTTTAAAATAACGAAGAGTCTTTATAATCCATTGTTAAAATCGCCCCCTGCGGAAGGAGCCAGACGAAGGGTCACGCCCTGCGGTGGTCGGTGCCGTCCTCCCTCTGTCCGTCCGCTGTGTCTGCGCCCTGAGTGCTTGTGCGACAGAAAGCAGCTCCCCAGCCCTTGAGTCAGGAACAGGGGCCACCCTTCCATCCCGTGGTCTCCACTGGGAGGGCTGCTCTGGCCTCCCGGGAGAGGCTGCTGCACCCTTTCTCGGCGCCCGTTTCCGGAGAAGACCTCGTGCCGCTGCGGCTGGAATGTTGCTCTCGGCATTTCCAGACGAATGCCGTATCCGTGGGAGGAGGAAGACCGCCGTCGCCCGCAGCCCCGCCAGCAGGTGTGGAGAATATCAACACCATCGGGATGATAGCTCTGGGCCACGGAATCGCCGTGGGAACCGCTGGAGTCACCAAGGTGACTTGAATGCAATCCGTCATTAAACCCGACTCCAGATGTTTGCGTTTTCCCGGCCTCGCAGCCCAGGCCTGTGCAGCCGCAGGGGAGTCCTCCATGGAAAGGGTCTGGCCCAGGGCAGACGTTTCTGAAAACGGGCCCAAGTGGTCTTCTGCCCACTGGCCTCTTCGGGAGGATGGACGTGGTGGGCGCTCGCCACTGATCAGGGGGGACTTCCCTTCCCTCCGGGGGCCCGTTTCCCCACCCCTCCCTGCCCCGAGACCTAGTCCCTGAATGAATGAATGAAGCTGCAAGCCGGGACGGGTGGTCAGCGCTCCAGGGACCTTTCTGGCCGGGCCAGGTCCAGCCCCCTCGCGGGAGGACTTGAGCCACAGAACCCTCCGTGGCCCAGACGCGGGGCGTCTCCACCGCCACCCCCACGCTCCAGCTCCGCGATCCCCAGTAACTCCTGCTTCCTGCCCAGCTTTTCCTGAGGCAGCAGCTCCGGGAAAGGATGATCTCAGCAGCACCCCGTGTTGGCTCGCCGCCGGGCTGAGTGCTGACGCCTCCTGACACGGAACATATGGGGAAGCCGAGAGCGCTCCGAGGAGGGGGTGGGGCGCACCGCGCAGGGCTCGCGCTCGGAGGTAAATTTAGAAGGCGGCGTGCCCGCGCTCCCGACCTCCGATGTGCCACTCGCCTCCGTTTCCATTTCCGCTGACGGGCGGGTGGCCCTCTTGGTTGCGTTCTACTAGGGAGTCATTGCTGGGCTAGTGGGAGGGGCTGCGGGGCGAAGTCCCACCTCTCCCGCAAGCCTCGGGCGCCCCCCGCGGTCCCCAAGCGGGCGTGGGCCGAGCCTCAGGGCAGCGTAGTGAGCAGAGTGACCTCTGTGGACTAAGGTGGCGTGGACGAACTCTCTGCCGGCCGTGGACGAACTGCGGGGTTTGTGGCAAAGGGACTCAACGCTTCTGCGTCTCAGGGGTCACCTGTCAGATGGAGGTGACACTTCACAGGGCTGTGGGGCGATTCCACGAGTTAATAGTCGTAAGGAACACGTAGAGCGTATTATTGCCTGTTAGGCCATGTGACCCCAGCTGCCCACCTGGTCTGCTCACCTCGGCCCCTCCCTCCCTCTTTGTTTAGATGACCCCTGAGGTTCCTTTGGGCGGTGGCTCTGGGAGCAGGTGTCCCCGAGACAAGGTTGGGTCTGCTTCTGGGGACATCCGTATGAACACGACACGCCGCCAACCCCGACTCGCTGGACCCGACAGCGAGGTGTTGCTGGCGTCCGAGTTCTGAGCCTGCTCGCCAGGCAGCCTCTGGAATGAGGAAGCGGGAGCCTCCCATGTGGCAGGAGGGGTGTTGTCATCGCTGTGTCATCGCTGTCCCCTGGCCTGCCCAGAGGAGACCGGGGACCCAGGGTGAGCAGAGCGCATAAACGAGCGTGCCACCTCCTGGGGCAGCGCTGAGTGACCCTTCGCGGCTGGAGCCCGCGCTGTGCCCGTGCACGCCGCTCGGGGAGGGGGGGGGGGCCTGCCACGGCGTGCCAGCGGCAGCTTGGTGAGCAGCCCGTCACCTTCGTGCCAAGTCCTCCCTAAGAGTCGGCAGGGCTCCTGATGTCTCTGCACACCCGGAGGCAGGCAGAGCCCTCTAGGCCCGGCCAGACCAACCTCCAGCCACCTGAGGCATGCCCGGGTGCACTCCAAAGGCAGCAAAGATGGCCGCCTCCCAGAGAGACGAGGAGCAAAGAGTGTGGGTCGTGTGTCGTGGATAAGAGGCGAGGGTGGAGTCGGCAGGCTCACTCGCTGCTAGGCGGCCTCCGTCATGCCCGTCACCGTGCTGAGCAGGGCTGCCCCCAGGCCGTGGTCTGGAGAGATGACTCCGCATTGTCACTATCGTTTCACACAGCTGCCCCCCAGCGGGGGTTAACCAGAGCGGGTCAAGAAAGGGGGAGAGTCAGTCCCTCCAGGGAAGGGGGAGAAGGCCTGGGTTCGGAGTTTCTTGTAGAACCGCTGCACGCCCTTTCAGTAGTTGTTCGCTCTCTATTTGCTCCACGATGGGGTGTTTCTTAAATTCCCCACCTCTCGTCCATGCGCCGGTAGCTCAGAGATGCGTCCACGGAAGCCAGGCTGAGTGGAGTCGCCGCCAGCCTCCCTCCCAAAGGAGAGGGGACGGGGGATGGCTGTGAGGTCTGGCCGGTGGCGCCCGGGGTCCACCCGGGAGGCTGTCCGTGGCTCCTCCATCTGGACAAGCAGCTTCATGCTGTCTCCCCCTGTGCCTCGAAGCCTCGCCTTCAGGGCCAAGCATCCTGGGAGGGCCAAGGGGCCTGAGCCGGGCCCTTCGAGTTCCCACGAGCTCCCCCTCCCTGCGGGCCGCCCCTCGTGCTGTCTTTGCCGAGTAAACTCTGTCAGCGTTGGGGGGGTGCTGCCCCACCAGGGGTGTCCAACCTGAGGCCCGTGGGCCGCATGCAGCCCAGGATGGCTGTGAACGCAGCCCCACACAAAATCGTAAGTTCACTGAAACCATCATGAGATTTTTTGTGTGTCATTACACGTTGAAATATATGTAATGTGTGGCCCAAGCTATTCTCCCAGTGTGACCCAGAGACACCCAAAGGTCGGACACCCCTGCATGACACCTTTGCGATAACATCCCATGCTGAGAGATCTGGAAGCAGTAGGGAACGGGAAAGCATCTGGATCAGAGAAAGACGCCTCGGTGGTTCGGAGGGGTGGAGAGGGTTGCCAGGGTGGGGTGCAGTTTGGACACCCTTTCGGGGCAGGTCAGCATTGCCACTCCTGTCTCCCCAACACCAGCCTCCTCGGCCAGTGCCTTGCACTCCCCAGAACCAGGTCCTGTGATTGGGCTAACAAATCTTCACTGGGGTCTCGAATCTAAAGGCCAGGCCGACTATAGGCAGTAGTGAGGACTGTGGCAAACAGAGAGCACAGGTCCCATCTGGAGGTGGCAGCTACTCCATAGCTGCCTCCAGGGGACCCAGTGTTTCTAGAGCTTCAGGAATTTTTTTGAGAGAAAATAGGAAGCTGATGTGTGTGTGTTTGTGAGAGAGAGGGCGCAAGAGTCTCCCAAATTTCCCAACTGATGAACCACTGGGAGGACTGGAGGAACGCATTTACGTGTGGGACATCGCAGTGTGTTGTAGGGAGGATCCCAGCCCCAGGCCGTCAGACCAGCACCTCTGACCTGGCGTCTTTACTGAATGGCCCAGCACTTCCTAGCCTAGACACTGCCCTCGGAAGTCCCTAAATTTCCGGGTTTGAAACAAGTCATTCATTGCATGCTTAAAAAAAAAAAAAAGCCAAAAATGTGTGTGTGTGTGCGTGTGTGTGTGTGACGGGCCCATCATCCCTAACTCCTGGGTGCTTGGCCCTGTGTGTCCACTAGCTTTTCTCCCTATTTCTCTGCCCCAAAGCATCCACCTTGGGATGCCCAAGGCCAAGTGGCCGTGACCACAGTGTGATCTACAAAGCACAGGAAATCCTCGGGGTGGGGGGAGCTCCAATGGGGACAGACAGACACATGGGAGGGGTAGGTGAGGCATTCGCACAGAAGACACTGAACCCCCCCGGAGACCTGAAGGATCATAACTACGTGCGGCGTGCCCCCCGGGAACCCGTGAGACCTCAGACAAGCCCGCCCAACTCTCAGCCTCAGTTTCCTCGCCTGTCACTGGCGAGGCCGGCTCTGCCCGCCTGCCCAGGTTGCCGTGAGAGAACTAGGCTGTCGGAGAGGCGCTCCAGGAAACAGGCGAAGTGTTCGAGCCCCCGGAGCTTTGCTCCGCTGGGAGGGAGGCAGGAGGACGTCTGTGCGGACCCCTGGGGCCCCGCCCAGATTAGCCAGATTACACAGGCACCACTTCTTCCACGAGTCACTGCCACAGCTGCCTGCCTGTGCACGGCCCGCAGCAAGGGCGGGTGCACGCCTGATTCCGCCGCCTCGGGCGGCCCCACCGCTACCCACGACGGTGCCCCGGGCCCTGGCATCAAGAGCCTCCAGGGACCAGGCAGGCTGTTACAACCCCCCGGGTGGGGGGGGGGGTCACCCCCGATGAGGGAAGCTCCCAGCCAGCCTTGGACGTGGGAATTTTAGAAATTCAACATTTAGCTGGTTAGATTAGTTCCCCTCCCCCACTTCCACTGACAAGAGACCAAAACCCTGATGTTAAGCCGGTTTCGAGGGCCCCGCAAGTCAGTCTAGGGAAATGTGCTGGGCTTCTCAGCTCCATTCTGGAAAACGCTCCTATAACCCTCACAGCGTCATCTGCGCTGGGCCAGAGGGCTGCCCGAAAGGCTCATTTCTGTGATGCCAGAGAGAGAGACAGACGGACGGACAGACAGACCACGCATGTGCGTGCCCGCGAGCCTGGCCTCAGACGCACGTTTGCAGGGGCATGGCCCAGACCGCTCGTCTGAGTCCAGTGGAATACGTGATCTAGAAGAACATGGAGGACTTTTCTGAATCAGAATTGTCTTTAGTCAGTCAACTGAAGCTTGAAAACAGTTGTGCCAAATGATGGGGTTTTTCTGTGGGTTTGGGGGGGATTCCTGGGATGTCTGCATTCTAAAGCAGAAAGCGAAGCACGTGGCTGCCGTTTCCAGGCTTCCTCCCGAGCACGGGTTCGAGGGGAGGCTCCGGGTGGCGGCAGGGCGAGGCACAGCGTCCACGGGGCCGGGCAGGGCACGCTCTGAGTGTCTGCGGCCGCAGGAGTGCCCGTCCGCCTCCCTCTCTGCTTGGCAGCTGGGCCCCTGGGCGCTGCAGAGGGCACCCGCCCCCTGCAGGCGCAGCCCTTGGCCCCCGGCTAACGGCCAGGGCCAGTGCGTCACCGGCCTCTCTTGTGCTTGCAGCCTCCTCAATGCCAACAAGATCAACTGCCTGCGTGTGAACACGTTCCAGGACCTGCAGAACCTCAACCTGCTCTCCCTCTATGACAACAAGCTGCAGACCATCAGCAAGGGGCTCTTTGCCCCTCTGCAGTCCATCCAGACACTGTGAGTACACCCAGGCAGCAGGAGCCCCGAAACAGGAGACCCCCCCCCCGTGAGGGCACCGTGGGCACATCCCGGAGGGTTTCAGAACCAGCAGGGAGAAGGGGACGAGAGCGCCAGTACCAGCTCCCCTGCACTGAGCGCTCGCTCCCAGCTCAGCACTGCGCCGGGACCGCCCTGGGATGCGGACCTCTAAGTCTCCCAACAGCCCTATGAGGCTAACAGCCCTTTGAGGTGGGCGCTGTTATGATCCCCTGGCTCTGCATGAGGAAACCAAGGCACAGAGAGGTTAGGTAACTCACTCAAGGTTGCACAGCTACCACCCACCCCCGCCACCACCCTCTGATTCGTGCCCCTGCGAGTATTGCACCTCCCTCCTTGGGGGGCAGTTCCCCACTCCTGAGCGCTGCAGACCAGGGAGCTGCCCACGGAGTGAGACTTCAGGCCTCGTCTCTGGGGGCTCCAGGCCCAGGCTGAGACACTGACCCCAGCCCATGGCCTGCCCATGAGCCTGGGGGGCTCCTGGAGACTCTCTGAGTCACCTGGCACTTCCTGGCCCCGTAGCCAGAGACAGGACCAATAAAGAACAAGAACAGCTGCTACTGACTGGCCCCCTACCACGAGCCAGGCATTGTATGCGGCTTTGCAGTTTCCTGACTGAGCCAAGGAAAGCGAGACCCACAGGCTGCTCTCATGACGCTAAGGATCATAACGGCAGTCCCGCTACTATATATGGAACACCCGCCACGTGCCAGTCGCCCCGCCAGCTGCTTTATGCGCCTGGCGCGGCAGAGCTCGTAGAAATAGGATGCAGCCTTCTCTGAGCATGGACCCCAGGCCTGCAGCTTGCTCTGCCCATCAGAATCGGTGTGGGTGAGAACCAGGGGGGTCCATGGTGGGTCCTGCCCCGAGTGGGAAGAGGCTGCATCCCCAGGGTGCGGCCAGCTGCACCTGTGACTGTCCCCTGCAGACTGCAGGCCTCAGACCCCTCTCTGGTCCTGTCTGAAAACAACCCCCACGCCCTCCCGACGCCTCCTGGGGTGACGAGGGAGGGATCCAGGCCCCGGTGGCCAGCGCCCAGCCCCAGGCGGGGGGGGGGCGTGGAAGGGGCTCCACGGGTCCCTCCTGATTGCCGCCCCTCCCTCTTGCAGCCACTTAGCCCAAAACCCGTTCGTGTGCGACTGCCACTTGAAGTGGCTGGCCGACTACCTCCAGGACAACCCCATCGAGACCAGCGGGGCCCGCTGCAGCAGCCCGCGCCGGCTGGCCAACAAGCGCATCAGCCAGGTCAAGAGCAAGAAGTTCCGCTGCTCAGGTAATCAGGTTACAGGGCTGGGCCCCGCTTCCCGGCTGAGAGCACAGCAGCCCCGGAGAGGCCGGTAATCCAATCTGCAGGACAGCGAGCGCTGCGACGGCTCCTGGGGAGCATCTCTGCAAATTAGATTGGGGGAATTCAGTTAGTCCTGCAGAAAACCAATTACCTCATGGATTTAAAGTAAAACACACACACACACACACACACACACAGAGTAAAATCACGGGGTTGGGGGGATGCGTGATTTTCTCCTCACGGGGAGGAGAGATGGAACCCAGGCGGCAGCCTCTCTGCAGGCGAGGTAGAAGCTGGAGGTTAGGGCCAGCTTTTTATGTATTTTTTTTGTTTCTAAAGCATGCCCCCCAAGGGGTAGTAGAGAACTATTCCACAGACCAGGCTGGAGGTGGTGTGCAATCTTGGGGGTGTCTCGTCCCCTCCAAGGCCACCTCGGTACAGCCTTTCGACCAGAGTGCGTCACGGGCTTCACCGACGTCTCCGCCAGCCGTCTCCCCAGGCTGGTAGTTCTGATCGGTAGAGAAGAGAGCAGAGAGTTGTGCTCGGGAGGACAGCAGAGCCAGGCTCTCCGCCTCCCCAGCTCTCCCCGTGGCCTTGCTCCACGCCGTGCCCGGGAAAAGCACCGGGGCTGAATGGCAGGGGATTCTCAGCCCTGCCTGGAAACAGACGTCGCTCTCCTTGACCCAATAGCTAGGTGAACAGGCAGTTAAAAATGACTGTCATTTGTGTCACTGGCTCCTGGAAAAAACCACCCAGCTGCACTGTGCTCCCAGTGGCAAGAGATTGATGGCACGGCGTGCTGGGCCGGGTTGCAGCCGCCCTCTCAGTGTGCGCGTCAGCAGAACCGTCCTTGCCCCTACTGGAGAGGGCCCTGCAGAAGCGCACTTGTCCGGGACAGCGCCGGCGTGGGCACTGGCTGGGCGCCGCCACAGGACCGGCGTGCGGGCTTCTGCTGCCCGCAAGGCCCTCTTGTCCTCCAAGTCAGGCCCCGGAGAGGGTTGGGGGTAACACGGGGAGTCCGTGGCGATGCGAGACGCCGCTCCTAATTTGTCTTCCCCGGAATGTCGATGTCCGTTGTGGGAGCAGTTTCTCGGCTGTGCTGAGGGCTTCTGCTTCGGTTCGGTCCTTCCAGCTGTCCTGTGAGGTCGGCGGGGCCTGTCCCTGTGCGGCAGCAGAGGGAGCTGAGGGCGCGGAGGCAAAGGGGTAGCCCCAAGGTCACAGCCAGCAGTGGTGGGCCCCAGGTCTCGCCCGCTCCTCGCAGCATCTGGGAGAGAGGGGAGCGTCTGGGAAGGAGGTCCAGCTGCTTGAATGACTTTCTTTCCCCATCCAGTGGCTCCTCCCTTCCCCCCACCCCTGAACTCTTTTCTAAAGTTCCTCTCCCTGCCCAGGGCTGTCGCCTGACTCACACCTCTGGTCCCTCCAGTCCCTCTGGTCCCACCCGAGTCTGGCTGCAGCTGAATTCATTAGCTCTGACGAGCAGTGAGGCCCAAGGAGAGGAGCAGTAAGGGGGGGCGGGCATCTACCACCCTGACCCCTCCATCTCCCGGGGGTCCTGCTTTGATTTAGGGCTCCAGATTGATGCCAGGGTTTCGGGGGGCAGGGAAGGGAAGGAGTCAGCCCGGGGTCCCAAAACTGGCATCTCCCAGTCCTTGGCAGTTGCCTAGGACTGACTGTAGGCTGCAACTGGGGCAGGGTGGGGGGCAAGAAGGAGAAGGGGAAAGGAGCAAGCAGACACAGGACAGCAGAGCGCAGTTCTAGCCCCAGCTCTGCCCCTACCCACCTGCCTTTGCACTGGAGGGACCCTGGTGGCTTTCCATATGTGGGGTAGGAATGGCTGGAAATACAAAAAGAAACAAACAAGGAGAAAGGGGCAGAGTTCCTGGAATGGCCCTCTCTCAATCTCTCTCTCTTTTTTTAAATCAATACTAACCGGAAAGATTCGTGCTGTAAAGGCAGAGAAGGTTTGCAGTACGTGCGCCTGACACACAGCATTCTACGCGCTTTTGTTTTCTGTGGCCACAGAGAAGAGAAGTAGAGAGAGCCACTGCCAAGCTCCAGAGGCCTGGGGCCCAGACTGGCCTTGGCCTTGGGGCGGACAGAAGCCATAGATCTAAAGCCCCGTTTCCAGGAAGCTCCAGAAGCGAGAAGGAGGGGCGGATGACACGTAGTGGACTTGACAGATAATAACTCTGCGTTTTACTTTCCCCTAAAAGCACCCCATTGCAGAGACAGCTGATGTAATTAGGAGCCAATTTGAGGGCGGCTCCTGCAACACAGAAAGCCCCTCCGTCGGCGGCGTCTGGTTTTCCAGCTGCCCCGCGTCCGCCTCTGTCAGCTGCGCCCACCTCCCTAGGCGGCGAGATCGGGTTAGAGGTGAAGGCCGCCAGCTGGGGTGATCTGACCATCCGATTAAGTCCTCCTGAAAAGGCAGCGTCCGGTGCCTGGGACCCCAGGCCCGTCCCCGGGGGAGCACTCAACAGCGGGGAGATGTTCCCTTCCATCCTGGCCCCCACCCCTCTGTGTGGAGAGGCCCAGTCAGCGAGAAGAGACCCTCGTGGCGAAAAGCCCAGAGAGGGGAATGGGACGTGACCACACACGGCAGGCGGCAGGCCGCCTCTCGGGGAATCGGTCCGAGAGCCCCCGGCAGCGAGCCGGGCCCTGCTGGAGAGGGGGGTGTGGGGCTCACACAGAAAAGGGGCCTCAGGGAGGGTTGTCAGGACAAGACCCGAAACCAGGCCTTCTGACGTGCTGCAAAGATTCCCAGTAACTTTCTCCCCGACCCCTCCGCTTGCTTTCGTTGAGGAAACCAAAGAGAAGGAACCCCTCGCCCGGTGTTCAGGCTTGGAGACGGGGGCGAGGAAGAGCTGGGTCTTCCCCTCTGCGGTCGGCCCTCGGGGCCTGACCCGACGTGAACACAGAGTCCCCACACCACAGCCTCCACAGGGCCCCGCTCGTCTGTAAGGGGGCAGAGCGGAGTCGAGAATAAACCACAGTGGCCAACCCCAGCTGGCCGGACGGGAGGGCTTAGAGAGACGCGGGGCCGGACCCAGGGCTGTGCGGCGACCTTGGCGAACCAGTCAGCCACCGCGGACACCTGCACACTGTCGAGATGCTGAGAGCATCTCGCCCCGAGCACCCACAGCGGAGGAACAGTGTGCCCCTGGAGGAGGGCGGGGAGGGCCCCAGGCACCTGGCCCTGCAGCCGGTCTGTCGAGGGCGCACACGTCTCCTCCCAGTGGCTTGGGAGAAAGTCCCCCGCCCGCAGGTGCGTGAAAACCGCCCGGTCCCTGCAGATAGGCATGTGGGCCCCGGGCATCCGAAATGGTTGGTTGTTGGCTCCTCGTCACCCGCTCCCGTGACTCCCCCCGCCCCCCCCGCCATCAGGAAATTAGGAAGCGACACAGAACCTCGTGTCCTCCTCTTCCCTTCCTTCTCCTAGTCTGCAGGAGGCCCCCACCATGAGGAGCACCGGTCACCCCTCTGCGAACACTAGCGTGCTCAGGCTGTTGTGACTGCAGGTCTCCAGGCCCAAACATGGGTCCCCATCAGCTGCCCCTGCTTCCTCCCTTGCTGGGAGTGTGTGGTTTCTCTCCACTCCACCCCTCCCCCATTTTATCTCAGGCGGTCTGGGAGGAACATCTGTCAGCCAGAGGGTCTCTGGGGAGCCTGAAGGACTCTAAGGAGTCCCCTGGCTTATGGCACAGCAGGGGACTTTTCCCCGAAGGAGCTCATTGCAGCTTTGCTAGACCCGTGGGAGCTGTGGCCAGCCTCTCCGTTAAGGGGCTGGGAGACAGGCTGTTACGGCACCACGTGGCTGCCGGGAGGGGCCCTGGGTTGCCGAGCACACAGAAGAGGCGTCTGCCGAGGCTGATGTCGTACCAGGTCGGGCGGCGTGATTGCGTGGGGTTCCGAGGCTCAGCTTCAGGCCTGTGATGTGACCAGACACCTGACTTCTTTCATTCTCTTGGGAAGGAGCCGTTCTGCCCCGAGACTCCTGAGTGGGGGTGTCCAGTCGCCTCCCACCCTGTCCCCCCTTCCTCCCGTGTCTCCCCGGGGGCCGGACACGGGGCAGGGGGCTCCTGTCTGCGGAAGTGCTCCTGTGGAACCCACTCCTGGCACTAATCACGCTCGGTGGGGGCCCACTCCGGCTTCCACTTCTCCACGCTGCTTCCTCTGAATGCTCCTGTCCTCTCTCTGACGCTGCTTCCTGACCTTGACTCTGACCGGTCACCGCGGGGCTTTCCTTTGTGCTTGATCTAACCATGTGGTGGAACGATGGAAACGGAACATGGTTCTGTCAAGCACCGCGGAAAGCACCGCGCTCTCCTGCAGCATGGCCCGCCACCGCCGCCGCCACCGCTGGACACCTCTTCTCTGCTCTGGAGCACCGCAGCCCGCCACCCGCCAGACCCCCTCCCCGGGGCCAGCCTCGCAGAGGGCGGGGGTGGGAGTCTCGAGGGTCACTGAGCCGCTCCCCTGCGGGGAGCAGATACAGGCTGGAAAGGGCACGGAGAAGCACGCCGAGGGCGAGCTAAGATTTGCAGCCACACCTCCCGCCCCAAAGGGAGCCGCCATTCCCCAGATCTAGACGGGGTGCCCGCCAGCAGGTCCAGTAGACAGGCTCGAGCTCAGAAACCATCGTCGGATCTTCCGTTCAAAGGGAGCAGGTATACCCAGAGCACCTTCCCCACTGCTTCACGGAAGAAGCCCAAGGTCATCCTCCCAAGTGGCAGCTAAGCCAAAGGCCGTAGTGCTTGTGGCCCACCTCCCCCCACCCCCGCCACCATTGCTGGAAGCACTGGGGAGGGAGGGAGGGAGAGCAGAGCGGGCACACTGGCCCGGGTCTGAGGCCTCGGATCGAACCTGGGAGACTCCTCCTGAGCCTGTCCCCACGCCCCGTGAGCACCTCGGCCCTGGGCCCGTGCAGCTGACGTCCAGTCCGCTTCCTGGACCCTCCGAGCACAGTCCACGCGGGGGCCAGAGGTCCGTTACATGGTGCGAGGTCAGTGACACCCGGGGCTGTGCAGACACCTGCTGTCTGTGACAATAAAGAGAGGGACCTGGTGCCTCCCATTCTGCTTGTTTCTTGATAAATCTGGACCCGGTGTGACCAGTGTGACCAGGAGATTGTGCTGATGGTTCCTGCCATTGAGCCTGTGTCCCCGCCCACGAGAGACAGCCATGGTGGGAGCCAAACCTGGCGTGGGCCCAGGGCGGGCTCTGGGCTCCCACGGGATGGGCGCCTCTGTCTCCTCTCTCCCGGGTCACCGCTCGGCCAGGCGCCCCGCGTGGCTGAGTGACGGGGAGTCTCGTTTGCCTCTCTAAATCCTTTGACCGTGAGTCGAGTGCTTACGACAGGCCAGGCACTGGATGTTTTCCATCACTACCTTGTTTGATTTTCACGACCCAATCTATAAGTCCCATTCTGCAGACAAGGACATTAACCAGCTTGCCCAGGGCCACCTGGCTGCCGCGTGAATGTTCCTTATGTCCGTACTACGCAGCCTTCCCAGCTGCAGGCTGTCCCATCGCCTTGACTTATGAAATCAAAAAGACCTCGACTTGGAAGTGATAGGGAGCCGGCATTTCTTCCTTTTTTAACATTCCCTTTCAAGCTCACTTCCGCTCATAGACAATAGCTTGAGGAAGAGCAAGAATAAGCAGCACTGTTTCAGTGGGTCCCCTCTCCAGCGTGGCTACACCGAGACCCGTCTGGGGCAGAACAGATCCTCGAGCCCCGAGAAACCCCCTTCCCTCTGAACGGAGGGGCCGTCCGAGCTCCTCAGTGTTGCCCCACCGTGCCCGCGGCCAGCCCCGTGGGAGTGTGTCCGTAATGGTGCCCCTCCGTCGGCACCCCGCTTCTGCAGGGGCCAGCCGGTGGCCAGGCCGTGCCCAGCCGTGGGCCGCGGCATTCCCTCTGCATTCGGCCATGTGGCTACATTCCTAATAGACTCTGGGCGGGGAGAGCGGCTGGGACAGCTGTGTACCCAACTGATCCCCGAACTCGGTTAAAACAGTGGGTGTCTTCCGGCCGCTGGTGTCTGGGCCCCCTGTCTTCGCCCACAAGCAAACAACGGTGTGCCTGGCAGCGCTCTCTCGAGCCCACTCATGACTCAGGACCGACGGCTTGCCCTCGTAACTCTCTCTTCAAGCTGATGAGCCCCGGCGGGCCTCCTGCTCCCCCAGTTCCTCTTTCTGCTCCTCTCCCTTTCACCCCGCCCTCGTTAGGGGTGTTGGAGGTAGGAGAGAGGTGGGCACCTGTGCAGTGACAGGTTCACGGGCACCAGGTAACGGCAATCTGTGACTTCCGCTCAGCCAACTGGATGACGGAGAACGCAGACCGCTAGTGACAGCAGCCGTCCTGGGCCCCGTACTGGCCTCTGCGGCCGAGTCCATCCCTGGAAGGGAACTTGGGCTCCCTGCCAGCCCCGAACCCGTGACACCCGTTGTGTCCTGGAAAGTGGCCATCGGGCCGGGGTTCATGATCAAGTCGTGTCGCAGTGGACTTCCACCCCCTCACCCCCACCCGTCCATTAAAGCTTTTCTGTGGTCACGTACCAAGTGCCCTCACTCTGAGCTGCCCGGGGGGAGTTGGGGTGCCAGGTGACACCAGCCTTTAGTTCTGTGGCCCTTCTTCAAACCCTCCGAGATCTCCCCTGTGTCGGCTCGCCCCGAGGAGAAGAGGCGGCAGCCTGTTTCGGTTACCCCTCTCCTTCTGAGCATCGCTGGCAGTGACAAATACGCATCGAGATTGAGATTGACTTTTAGAGCTCTGGAAAAGTTAAAAATACTTCTGGGTGGTTATGAGCATTAGGCGTAACAAATGGCTCCTAGAAACCCCGGGTAGTTTGGGTAATGAGATACGGAGCGACGGAGGTGGCGTTTCGGGCTGGCTGTGACCGGGGAGTGGACCCCTTCGGTTACACACATGCGCCACTGTTACCGCTTCCGGCTCCCACTCACGTAAAATACCGCACTCCGACCCCCTCGTTAATGCACACCGAGGCAATAAGAAAAACAGGGGAAATGCTGGAGGGAACACACCAGTCCATCAGATCTAACTGCGAAATCGTTTCGCTAAGACGGGTCAGGGGCTCCACGGCAGAGGTCCACCGGCTACACCCTAACGACGCCGCAGAGGCAGCTCCTGCTAACCACAGCCCCTCTCACCGAGATCGAAGGGAAACCACTTTCAGTCGGCGGCCGTTGCAGCCACGGCCCTGCGCCACGCATGTCAGTCTCATCGTGTGGGAAAGCAAGCTGCCCTCCCTCCTGTCTCTCTGCCCTTGACCAGCAGTCAAGGCGGAGGGGGCTGCTCCGCTTTGCGGGGATCCGTGTGGACGCCCTCTGAAGGGAAAACAGATGCGTGTGGACGGGACGCCCCTTCGCCCTGTTGCCGCGTGGAACCACTGGCAGGGGGACGAGCGAGGGTGGCCGTTCAGCAGGGCTTGCAAAATGAAATTCACCCAGGAGTCAGCAGGCTGATGCGTCTGGGGGGAAATGGCCCAGGCCAGTTACTCGGTAGGCTGGACGCTGGCAAGCCAAGGGCGAGAGATTCGCGTAAGGCCTCAGACAAGGAAGCCGCCCGAGTAACCGTGGGGACACGTGACAGACTTTGCGCACACAGAGCTGGGGGTGGAAGGAGGAGTGAAGGACGGGGGTGGGGAGGAAGCAGAGAGGGATAGGAGGCGAGTCCAGACCCCCGACCCCTTGCTCTGGGTAGAAGGTTCACTTCACAACCAAAGACCCAGCAAATTCATTCCAGGTCAGGAATTAGCACAGACCAGTAGTGGGAGGGGCAAGAGGGTGGGCGGGGTCTGCTTCCTGCCTTTCGGTGGGGCGAGGTATGTGGCAGGACTTTCTCTCTAGGACTGATCCCCACGTCCCACTTGGTGGAGGTGGGCTGAACGGCACTGCTTCCACTGTACAACGTAGTTCTTGTCACGGGGGCCCTGGCGGCAGCCTGCCTGGGCCCGACCCTCTGCCGTGTGCTGAGAGACCACGGGCCTCAGTTCCCTCCTCTGTAAAGTGGAGCTGGAATAACCTCAGAGACTTAATGTGCTCACCTGTTTGAAGTTCAAGGCATAGATCCCAGCTCTGGGTCCATGCTCAGCCAATGTCAGCTGTTACCACGAGTTACACTGATGTTTTAGTGGCTTCCAACACGCCAGTGCTCCCCTAGGTTCTAGAAAAAACAAGTAGAATCACAGACACCTGCACAACTCCTGACGTTTCCTTAGAGACCCCCCCCCCACTGCCTTGACCTTCCCAGCGTCTCCACAGCAACCCCATGAGGTAGGGGCAGTTACTTCATTCCCACGTTACCTGTGCGGGGGCTGAAGCGAACTAGGGGCCCACCCCACCGCGTCCCCGACTGCTCCTGGTGCACACGGGAGCTCCAAGGCTCACCGCGGCCGCTGCGCAAACCAACGGCGCTCACTTCTCTAAGACGCTTCAGAGAGGGGCGCGCACAGGGCACCCGGCGTGCTGGTGGCGTCCGCCGGGGCGTGAGCCGTGCGGACCTCGCTCTCATTCCGAGACCGGCATTGAGCTCCTGAAACGTGGGTGGTGCAGTAATGACGGAGACCGCGTCCCCACGCACTCGCTGGTGTCCAGCAGGGGGAGCAGCGCTCCCCGTGCCCCTTTGGGTGTGAGCTGTGGCCTCCTGGAGCTTGGCCCGGGGCCAGGGCGCCATTGCCGGTCACGAATGCTGCTCCCAGGGCACCTGGGACAGCCCCCCCGCCCCGTTGCTCCCGTTACCATTGCTGTGTGACCTCAAAGAAAATCTAATTTTCGAAAAAATAAACCTTAGTTTCAAATACTGGCTCGTTGGCCTTTAGTTCAGCAGATGGGGGGCCCATCTGACCCTCACAAGAGGTGTGTGTGTGTTCACTGTGGTTTAAATCTGAATTCTTCACCATCACCGCTTTAAAGGGTCATCGGGCAACCCGGGGCCAAATTCCCAAGCATCAGGGCGGTGGGCTTCCTTCCCCCAGGCCCCCAGCCCTCCGCACTGTCTTCCAACCTGGAAGGCAGGCATTGGTGGCCCTGGTGGCCTCGAACTGGCCTCTTTTTTATTGTTTCATTACCTGCTGGGGCCCTGAGGACACCTGAGTGTGTGACCCCTGGTGCGGCCCCATCCAAATCCCATCCAAACCTCTGCATCCGGGTTGTCCTGAGCAGTGAGAGGGCCCGTGGGGGGTGGGCGTCACGGACTGAGCAGCACCCCTGCACTGTGGGTCACGTTCCGTGCCCACGAGCCTCGGAGCGTTTGTGCGAGGAGGCGGTCCAGAGGGGGCTGAGAGCGGTGAATGACAAAGACCAGATGGACAGCTGGGAGGCGGGGAGAACACCGGCAAGGTGGCCAAACGGTGCGGGCCGCCCTGTGCCTGTCCCTGGGCCCCCACCCCCACTGCCCCCCACCCGGCCCGGTGCCGGGAACCGCGGTGACGCCGCCGTCCCTCTCTGGCCCCGCCCAGGCTCGGAGGACTACCGCAGCAGGCTCAGCAGCGAGTGCTTCATGGACCTCGTGTGCCCGGAGAGGTGTCGCTGCGAGGGCACCATCGTGGACTGCTCCAACCAGAAGCTGGCCCGCATCCCAAGCCACCTGCCCGAATACGCCACCGACCTGTAAGTGCTGCCCGGGCGGGCCCTCCGTGCACGTCCCCGCACGCCCAGGCACCCCCTGGAGCCAGCCCCGGCAGGGGCTCCTGAGCGGGGCCTCTCCTGGCTCAGCCACCTGGGCGCTCCTCGCCTGTCCCCTTGAGTGGACTCCCGGCATGCACTGGGGACAGCTTGCCCACACATGAAGACAGTCCGTCCCTTCTGCAAGCGTTGTCTGAGCACCGGCTGTGAGCCAGGCAGTGCGCTCAGCCCGCCAGCTTTCACAGGGAACAGAGCGGACCGTCTGTCCGCAGGAAGCTCACAATAGAACCAAAAAGATGGACAGTGAGTCATTGTCCTAGAGCAAGAAAGCAGCTAGGAGGACTAGCGACATCTGAGCCTCCGATTATGCTGATAAAGGGGCGTGTCCCATGGTGGGTGTGCAGACGCAGCATGGGGGCCGGGGGCCGTCAGTCTTCCTGCCCCGGGCCAGTTGCCTCCCAGATCCGAGCGTCCGAATCTTCGCTGAAACCCGGAGGCGGTGGTCCGCCCTCCGAGGTGGGTGGGGAAGACTGAGTGAGAGGAGGCCAGCACAGAATTCCCCTCGGGTCCCGGCACAGGGTGCGGCCTGCATGAGTGAAGGTGGTCTTCGTTATGGTCACCATCGTTCTCTTTGCCGTCACAGATCTCAGGCGGATGGGACAGGCCCAGGCTTGCCGGCCCCCCTGCTGTCCCCAAGCTCGTGGGAGGGCTGGGCACAGGCTCCCCGAGCGGCCCGCAGCAGAGGGAAGAGGCCAGGGAGGAGCCGAGGGCCTCGGGGCATTGGGAGAACGTGGGGGAGCCTCCCTGGGGGAGGTTCAAGCTGTCTTGGGCACCCTGCACACTGAAGGCAGATCATGGCAACGGTTTGGGTGCGGAGGTTTCAAAAACCCCAACCCTCCTAGTCAAAGGGGCTTCCTCAGGGAGGAGGAGCCGGTCTCCTCCCTCTCCTGCTCCTCACATGCCCGCCCTTTTCCTGCTTCCCTCCACCCCACCCTCACCCGTGGGCTGGAGGGGCCCACACTGAGTTTTCCGTGGCTCCGTTGATCTTGGCTGAGTGTGAGGTCCTGGCGGCAACTCAGCTGAAGCCAGGGGGTGCCGGGGAGGTGCCGGGGGGCAACAGAAGGTAGGGGCAGAGGCACCCCATCTTCAGCTAAGCTGCCGTCTCATCTGCTTGCTTCCCGTGCAGGCGACTGAACGACAATGAGATATCTGTTCTAGAGGCCACCGGCGTCTTCAAGAAGTTGCCCAACCTACGCAAAATGTAAGTCAGCTGGGGCAGTTGGCAGACGAGGCGGAACACCAGGGCAGGGGTGCACCCCCCAGCCTCCCCCCGCCCCTGCCACGGGCATGGACCGGGAGGCAGGACACTGTCCACGTAAACACGGACCAAAACACAACTTCTCTGCTTTTCAACGGTCGAGTATTGTGCGGAGCCTGAGTGTCCCGAGCCCTCCCTGGCCCTCATCCCGTGTCCCCTCTGCTCACCCCGATCAGTCCCCCCACACACAACCAGAATCTGCCCCGAGGGCAGGTGGGAGGGACTCGGGAAAAGACCAGCAATGGGATGGACACGGACGTCTAGGGTGCATGCCACTTAGTAACGTTTTCAAGGTGACACTTTAAAGGTTTGGGGGGGGGGTTGCCACTTTTTTTCCCCAATGACAGTTGACAGTCAATATCATATTAGGTTCAGGGGTACAGCATAGCAGTCAGACATTTCCGTAACTCACGAAGTGCTCCCCGATAAGTCTCGTGCCCCCATGACACCGCACCTGGCTGTCGCAGTATCACTGACTGTGTGCCCTCTGCTGTACTACCCCCCCACCCCGGCAAGTGTGAGGTCGGAGTCGCTCGAGAAACCAGAGGGACGCAGTGCACTAAGGACCAGGGTTTATCAGCAGGGAGTAAGAGGCAAAGTGGGGCTGACCGAGGGAGGTGGGGGAGCCAACCGAGGCAGGTTAGGACTCGCTCGGTCGTTCTCAGGGCAGGGTTGTTGAGTGCAAACACCTGAGAAGGGTAACCGGTTGGGGCGCCAGAGTCTGGCTAGAGCTGGCTGCTGGGTGCCGTTCCTGCTGACCGTTGTTCCTGATACACCTTGCCCGGCTCCAGTTAAAGCTGCAACCTGTGATGCCGGATCGGCCAACCCCAGGCCCCAGGCTCAGCCAGGCATCCGTGTGTCCTGGGCAGGGTCGGCAGGCAGTGCCCCAGGCGGGCATTTCCCCAGGCTGCATTGCCCACGGCACGGTCTTCCTGCCCAGTGATTTTCCATCCCTCCTGGGCCTGCCTGGGTCTGCCAGCAGCGACTCTGTAACTGCCGACTCGTACTCCTTAATCCTTCCCGCAGCCCACCCGTCTGTCCTCCGTATCTCCGCGTCTGTGTCTGTTTTGTCTGTCCCTTTACTCTGTCCTTTAGAGCCCACACATACGTGAAGTCACGTGGCGTTGGTCTCTGACTCACTGATCTCACTTAGCATAGTGCCCACCAGTCCATCCACGCTGCTGCCAGCAGTAAGAGTTCGCTCTTTTCTACGGCCGAGTCATACGCCGTTGCACGCCTCCGCCACCTCTCCTGGGTCCAGGCTGTGTCACTGGACGCACAGCTTGTTTCCACACCTCGGCGCCTGCACGCGATACGTGGACGCCAGGCCTCGGCCTCCTTGAGGCATGTTGCAGCCGAGGCACCAGCGGCCTCACAGCCTCTGGGCTTCAGCCTGGGAGGCCTGGGATCTGACCGGGGCCCGAGTTCAAGCCCAGGGCCCACCCGCCAGGTCTGCCTGTCGTCAGAACCTGGTCCCTGCCCAGGAGTCGGGGCCCAGTCACGGAGACAAGGGCAATGCTGCTGCTGAGCTGGCCGAGCACAGTCCTGGGCCAGGCGCCGTGCTCCTTGTCTCCTGGGCCTCGTCTCACTTACTGCTCGCTCACCCGCCTAGGGGGGGCGTCTCGGTCCCCTTTGTGCACATGAGGAGGCCGTGGGGCTCCGGGAGGGTCCACGGCCGATACACGTTGGAGCTGGCATCCGGCCTCTGCTCACCTGTAGTCACTGCCCCTCCTCTCCTTCACCGGTCCGAGAAGGAGCACCAGTCACCCAGCTCCTCGCCTTCTAATTCCTTCTCCCGGGCCCCTCGCCCTGCCCCCGCCCCACGCCCCACATGTCCCGGCCTCAGAGGTTGGAGCAGCCCCTGGAACCAAGGAAACACAGTCAAGCCTCATCATTCGTGGGTCCCGCATTTGCTCATTTGCCTACTCGCTCAGGCTCACTTGTACTCTCAAAATCAATGCCGCGAAGCTGTCACAGACGTGGACAGAGCGGCAGAAATCGGAGTCGCCCGCACACGTGGTCCCAGCTGAGATGGAACAAGCCAGGCACATTTTTTGCATGTCTTGCATGTCTTTTCCCTGGACACCCGACTGTTTGAAACAGTGCTGCCTGGTGATCCTGAGCGCAAGTCTGCGATGCGCCCTCTGCGCCCACACACGTGGGACATCGCTTTGGTCCCGAGCTGCAGGGCTGCTGGCTGTGATACGACGTAACTGAGTCAGCAGCACACATTAGGTGAGGCGTCTTTACACAGAAGCCCACTTCAAACAAGGCTCAAGCCTCAAGTCCGTGGGACTGGGGCGAGAAGGTGCCGGAGGCCAGGAGAGGTCATCTGAGCTGAGTAACCAGGGCACCTGGGTCTGTGTGTGAACAGGAGTGGCAAACACAAGCACTTTCGGAGCACAGCTGTGGAAGGGGCTGGTGCAAGGCTGTGACAGCAGCAGCTGCAGTAATAGTAGTAGTAGTAGTAGTAGTAGTAATATCAGTATCAACCGTAACAATAGCTGGCCACTATCACTTTACTCTTAAATGCTTTACCCTGTGCCAGACAGAGCTGATGTTAATGTAACCCTCATCGAGAAAAACTTAGCCCCGGCCAGCGTGGCTCAGGCAGTCAGAGCGCCGCCCCCTAGACCGGAAGGTCGTAGGTTCCATCCCAGGTCGGGACACCAACGAGAAGGCAACAGATCCATGCTTCTTTCTCACGTCGATTCCCACCCCCCCTTCCTTTCTTTCTAAGAGCAACTTTTTAAAAGTCCTCAGGTGAGGATTGAAAACAACTACAAAAAGAAAGAAAAATTTTTAAATACTTCATTTGCACATGAGGAGGCGGAAACACAGAAAGCCACTTGTCCAAGGTCAGAGATCCGTGGGCAGCCCGGGAGCCAGGCGTGGGGACAGGCCGGGTGAGCTGGGGAGCACAGGCACCGTGCAGAGGGGTGACGTGCGTGTGCACTTGCGTGTGCTCAAACCCGTACAAGTGATGCCAGCCGACCCACCCAATGACCGGAAGGGGCAGATCCAGTCCCAGCAGCCACCAGCTGCAGCCACTTATGCAAAATCACTTGGTGGCAACTCCTTTGGTGAAGGAAAGATTCCCTCCCCCGCGCCCCCTCCCCGAGATGCTGGGACCATCACCACCCCGTGCCCTGCAGAGGCACCGGGGCGGCTGGATTCTGCCATTGGTGGATGAAGCCAGCTGTGCCTGTGCCCGGCTCTGCTGAGCGTCCTCCGGGACAGTGGGGCCGGGGCCCTACGGTCACACCCTGACTCCACCCTGCCAGCCACGTGGGCAGAGGAGAGGGACCACAGAGTGGGGGATGAGTGGGGGGTGATCCTCTGCCGTGCCCTCGGAACCCCTCTGTGCGCCGTTACCTGTCATGTCGCAATAATGAGGTCCTCCTGAGGTCACCTGTACTAAGGGATGCGAGAGAAGTGCGGGTGGGTACCCACGGGGGTTCTCAGCACTGCGGTAACTCAAGGCCGCTTTTCGAATGACATCACATCCCCAGGGAGGGTTTGGTGACTCCCAGGTCATTTCTCTCTGCAGGAGAGTCTCCACCAGGGGCTGGAAAAGGGCAGCCCCATTGTCAGGTGCTCGTGGGTGGCTGTGTTAGCTGTGGCCGTGTTTTTCATAAGAAGGAGTTGCCCCCTTTAAAAATCCAGAGCTTCCACCGCCCAAAAGTCTGCACCTCTGGCGTCTTTGGGGAAACCAGAAGACCCGGTGTAACTGAGCCCACGTTCCCAAATGGCTCCGACTGAGTCGCACTGAGGAGCGGCCACCCCTTTAGGTGGGGCAGGCGCCTTCCTGACCGTGTCCCCACTGGGCTTGCTTCCGGCAGTGAGCCACCTGCCTGGGCCCTGTGGGCATTCGGGCTTGCAGCCCCGTCTTCAAATAGAATTTCCACCTCCTGGGGCGGGGGGGTGGGGGGGCGAGAGGCCCACAGGAGCTGGACAGGCCCGCCCCGGCCTGGCAGCATGCCAGAGTGCCTCTGCTCCATCCCAGCTTTCTCCTCAGTTTCCAGAAAAACTCCCTTAGCTCTCTCCCCGCTGCGGGGCCCTCTGGGGCCGGGCTTTAAGCAGAACTACAGGGCCCCGAAGAGAGACTTTCCAGAGCCCTCTGTGCTTGTGAGGGTCTGGAAGTCTCACCTGGCAGCTAACAGCGGCCACAGGGCCAGTGCTAGGTTTGTCCTGCCCCCACTCCCCACCCCACCCCCACCCCACATTTCTCTGAACCACCCTGGGCCTGGGTTGGGAATTTCCAGACCCTCTCCGGTGTAAGACCCTCGATTCTCATGAGACACAGAGTGTGGAGCAGGATCTTTCCAGGGCCGGAGGGCCCGACACACTCATTCCGTGTCCCGAGTGCTTGCCCCAAGCTGTGGTCCCCCTGAGGCCCAGCCCAAGCTGCCTGCATTTTGAACAGCCCTTCAGTGGCTGCAGAGTGAGCAGCAGCCCGGGCTTCTGGAAAAGTCCATCCCCCTGTTGTACTCTCCTTCTGGTTTCCACCCTCCAGCCCGAGGAAATCCAATTCACAAGCCTTGCGGTAATGGGATGTTAATTGTGCTCATTTAAAGAAACAGATGTCAGGAAGTGGGAATAACTCCTCTTCATTGCCCGCCCGAGGACTTGAATTCCCCAAGAAGCCTCACTCCCTGGAGCCAGACCTGTGTTCCCCAGCATTAGAATGAGTGATAGCTGCTGGGAGAGCCTCTGGTGTCTAATTTGGGGGTCATTGGCAGTCTCCCCGAGCACTGCCTGCATCCCCGGGCCATCCTGGACCAGGGGGAGCAGGACTGATAAGAAAAAAATCGGGCTGAGTTTAAGGAGATCCCCGCCTCTCTCTGACCTTGGGGGAGGGCTTCTGAGAAGTTCCCTCCCGCTTCCTGGGAGGATGGAAGTTGGGGGAGGGGAGCAGGTTGGTGACAAGGAGGAGGACGGAGGGAGCAGAAGGTGGGACTGGGACACCGTCTCTTTCCCCCACACCTGCCCACAGGTGCGGGCATTGCAGCAAGCACCCTGCAGGCCCGGTCTTTAGAAAGGTAGCAGGCGGCCTGCACGCGGCCACGCAGCCCCAAGGTACCCAGTCCCACCGCCCCTGAGGCTGCTGGGCCCGGCCAGGAGCTCCCTCGAGGAGGGCGCCCGGGGAAGCGCAAGTAGCAGGACGCTGTGGTGCTGCCTCCCCTTCCCCTTCCCCTTCCCCTTCCCGTGCCCTGGGACCTGGAGCAGTGCCCTCTCCTCTCTGGGTCTCGTGTGCCCCGAGGCCGCGGGCCAGCTGCCCCAGCTCTCGTGCACCCTCAGCTCTGACGGCATCAGGGTGCTCGGCCAGCCACAGGCTGCTCTCCAGTGGCAGGGGTCACCAAGGCCGGTCCAGGACAAGGCTCTGACCCGCTGTTCCTCCCTCAGTTTGTGGTGACGCCATCACCTTCCGCCCCACCCGTCCTGCCTGCCAAGCCTCTCAGGACTGAACTCAGGGGCCCCGCGGAGGCCCCCCCTCCCCGGTCCCTCTCAGCCCCTGGCCCCCCTGCCGGAGGGCGTGGGCGGGAAGGGCCTGCTCCCAGCCCCTGGACCGAGCCCACCATAGGAAAGCAGAGCACCGCGAACCCCAAACTCCGCAAAGCAGTGGCGTGTGCAAGCTGACGTCCACATCACCAAAGGAGTGTCACTCCGCGAGAAGGCGGCTCCCTGGAGGCCTCCCTGTGGGCCCGAAAGCCTGGCTTCGCAGCCCAGGTCCCTCAGCTGTGTGGCTGTGGGCGAGTCGCTTAAACTCTCTGGACCTCAGTCCTCGTATCCGTCAAGTGAGGCCATGATAAAAAGAATACCCGTCTGGTAGGCCTTGTGTTGCAAGGGATCTGATGGGATTCGGTTGGCCAACCCCCTCCCACGGGCACAGTAACGCCATAGAAAGTGTCCGCTACATCTCGGGTCTCAGCCAGGGAGGAGCCACAAGTTCTGCACATGCCCAACCTGCATGGGGGGGAGTTTGGTGTCTATTTTTCTCCCGCCCCCCTCTTGAAGGGGGATTCAAGTTGAAGGAAGAAGGTTTGGGAATCAGTGTTTTCAATCTGTCAGTCCCCAGGGCATGGAAAAGACACTGAGGCTGAAAAGACTTCAAGCCCCACGGCCTGTTTTCACAAAGGTGGCCCCACCTGTGTGGACTGGGGTCCCTGCCGCCCCACCCCAGGCACAGGTGCTGAAGACAAACGTCCAGGAACCCGAGACTGAGCTCCCCACCGCCCAGTCCTCACTCCCGGGGCGGGGCACTGACCCCCTCCCTGCGTCTGTCCTGACGCACCGCCCCCCCTTCCCAGAAACCTGAGCAACAACAAGATCAAGGAGGTGAGAGAGGGCGCCTTCGACGGGGCAGCGGGCGTGCAGGAGCTGATGCTGACGGGGAACCAGCTGGAGGCAGTGCACGGGCGCACGTTCCGCGGCCTCAGCGGCCTCAAGACCTTGTAAGCGCCAGGGCCGGGGCCGGGGCCGGAACCAGGGCCAGGAGGGAGAAGGGTGGGCCGGGCGTCAGGGGGACTGCAAAGGCGGGCGGGCGGGCGGGCGGGCGGGCGGCAGACGGGCCTGGCCTGCTGAGTCCCTTCCTCCTGCGGCCGGAGAGGCACCGGCCGTTCCCCGGCCCTCGACGGGAAAGGGTGCAACATGGGAAGCAACACACACACTCACACTCACACTCACACACTCTACTATTGAGACACGCATAGATTCATGCCAGAAACATGCTGGTAGAGGCACACAAATACACATTTACCCATGAGCATTGACAGGCACACATGCACGTAAGGTGACATGCATGACCTGTAGATGAAGGTAGACACATGCAGACACACACAAGCTGATGTCCCGTCTCCTCCCAGAAATACACACACTAACTCCACACAACATGCATGCCTATGCACACGTATGTGTGACCCCTACCCCCGCTATAAATAAGGCATGCATAGACAAGCGTGTACATGCGCACTTACAGGTGGCCCCCGTGGGGACCCAGGCCCTGCTCTCACAGCACAGACCTCAGCAATGCGACTGGACGGGGCTTGGAGCCGGCACATGCTTCACACGCACACGCACACCACTGCAGCCCTGCCCTGGACAGGAAAGGATAATGCCTGTGCTCTCTCGTCCCCACCCCTCTCTCCACAGGATGCTGAGGAGTAACCTGATCAGCTGTGTGAGCAACGACACCTTCGCTGGTCTGAGCTCCGTGAGACTGCTGTCCCTGTATGACAACCGCATCGCCACCATCACCCCCGGAGCCTTCACCACGCTTGTCTCCCTGTCCACCATGTAAGCCCTCCTGGGCCCGCTGCACACCCACGCTGGGCCCCCGCCCCGCACACCTCCCCTCCCAGCTCCCTTTGGCCAAGGTCCTCTGTCTGCCCACTTAATGAACACTCGTCAGGCTCCCTTCACGTGCCGGGCACCGCCTAGGTGCCGAGGACACGCAGGCGGGTGGCTCCTGGAGCTCAGGGTGTGGAGAACCACCCCGGAAGGGGGCCAGCAGGGGTGCGAAAACCCAGCACGGCTCGGTCGGCAAGCACGGACCTGGGTTCTGAAGCCGGCCTGTTCAAGGAAGGGGGAAGCGCGTTTCCCCCTCGCGGAGGAGCTTGTGCTCACAGTGTCTCGTGGGGCTCTGCTGAGCTCCTTGCTGGTTGATTCTCCCTCTCTCCCTGTCCCCAGGGGCCCCACGGAAAGGCCCCTGCGGTGTGTGTGTGAGGTCACAGCGCGTTAAGGGAAGCAGCATTGACACAAGAACGTGCCCATCTTCGCACAGCTACTGAGGGTCAGAGCCAGGGTTCAAACCCAGGAATGTCTGACCCCCAAGCCCTTCACTGCCTTGGGATACCCCAGCCTCTCGAGGGCCTTTTGGCCCCTTTATGCATCCAATGGACCTGTACAAAGTGCCTGTGCTGAGGTCCCGGGTGCCGGGAGACCCAGACATGGACAGATAGCCGTGGGGGCCACCACTGGGCAACCAGCTCTGGTGGGTGCTGCGGAGGGAACACCGGCAAGTGGGGGGGGGGAGGCAGAGGGGAGCGTTCCAGTTCCCTTCCGAGGAGGGGCTCGGGAGAAGCTTCTTTGCTGAGGGCTGAGGGCTGAGGACAGGAGGATGAGGAGGGGCCGGCCAGGCAGACGCTAGGGGTCCACCCCCACAGGAGGGCCCCGTGTGTGAAGGCTCTGAGTGGGAGGGAGCCCTCTGAGGAGCTGGCGGCAGCTCCCATGGCTGGCTGGGGCCCAGCAGACAAGGGGGGGACCCCGGTCATGTCCATCAGCCAAGGTCCGGAATGGCCCCCGCAGAGGCTGCGTCTGGGTTTGAGGGGAGAGCCTGCGTCCCCTTTCCCTGGAGACCTGGGCCCAGGGTTGCCGCATGGGACCCGAGCCGGCGCCTGCGGGGGAAGCGTAGCCGCCCAGAGACGCCCTCCTCTCCTCCCAGAAACCTCCTGTCCAACCCCTTCAACTGCAACTGCCACCTGGCCTGGCTCGGCAAGTGGCTGCGGAAGAGGCGGGTGGTCAGCGGGAACCCCCGGTGCCAGAAGCCGTTCTTTCTCAAGGAGATCCCTATCCAGGACGTGGCCGTCCAGGACTTCACCTGTGAAGGTGAGGAAGCTGGGCGGGGGCGGGGCGGGGTGGGGTGCAGTACCTGGGAGTTGGGGAAGACCCAAGAGAGGTGGGGAGGGTGCGGCAGGTGCTGAGTGAGGGCCAGCACCCCTGCGATCGGATCCCCCTGTGAGCCCGTCAGCCGGCAGCGGGAGCTCTGGAGGCTGCGCCGGCGCACACGGGCCGTCAGTGCCTCTTCCTACAGACATTTCACCTCCCTCGGTCAGAGGTGCGTCACAATGCGCGGATTTTGTGACGACAGTGAGGTACCGTACAGCCGTCTATGAGACACTGTGGGACCAAATGTCCTCACCTCCCACGTCCACAGTGAGACTGGCCTCCCCGAGGTGACCCGGCACCTCGGGGCCGTGCACAACCTGCACCACCACTGTGCGTGGGCGCCCCGGGCCCCAGAGTCCCTGCCGGCGTCGGGACGAGGCTCGGACAGGCGGGGCACATGCCCACGAGAAACGGGCTTCTCGATGAGCCCCCGGAAGCTTCCTGTCACTGGGCGGGGCATACGCGCCCCGGGAGACCAGGGCGCTGAGCGTCGGGATTGCAGAGGGCACATTTGTTTGCGTAAATTCAAGCCGTAGAGGTTTTTACTCGGTCGACCTGAGATTAGCTAGAGACAGAGGAACTGGTTTGTCGGTGCACTGGGGTCAAAGGGTAATGGAGGCGGGAGGGAGGGGGCAGAGTCGCCAGCCGGAGGCACTGAGTTGTGGGAAGAGGGGAGATGGGGACGAGGAGGAAGAGCGTGGACAGGGCTCCGCCTCGGACCCCGAGCACTCCTTGGGTCGGTCCGTTCGGTCTGTTTCCCGCCCGACACTCTGGTCGCTCAGGGTTTTAGGTCTTCATTTCCCGTTCACTGCGGTGGAGGTCAGGCAGCCCTGCCGCCCCTCCCAGGCCCACAGTCCTCCTCCTCCCACCACGAACGGGACCAGCAGGCTCCCTGGTCCTGCTGTGGCTCACAGCTGCCCCTTCCCTGGAGGCGGTCCCCACTGCGGGGGGTTGCCACCCGCCTCGCTCACTCTCGGGCGCCCCACAGGCAACGACGACAGCAGCTGTCACCTGGGCCCGCGCTGCCCCGAGCAGTGCACCTGCGTGGAGACGGTGGTGCGCTGCAGCAACAGGGGCCTCCGCGCCCTCCCCAGAGGCATCCCCAAGGACGTGACGGAGCTGTGAGTACCCCTGCGGGGCACCCTGAGGTGCCCCACCCGCGCCCGGCACCCTCTACCCCCGTGTCCCACACAAGGCTGCCTGGGGGAGCCCTTGGTGAATGGGCCCCAGCGAGATGGCAGCAGAGCCTCCACCGGGGGGGCCAGCAGCAGCTTGCACACAGGACAGGAAGCATCCCCCACCCACCATGCCTCTGCCTGGCAGGTGACACGGGGCCTGGCAAGTGAAACGGAGCAGGGTCAGTGTCGTCTAGCTTCCCCGCCAGCCTGGCAGTCCGACAGCAGACGCAGCGGAGGGAAATCGGGGAGGCACTGTCCGGCAGGCACAGGGGCTCAGCACGCACTTGCTGTGACTTCAGTGTGAAGGGCAGAGGAGGCTGCCCGGGGAGGAGGTCGGAAAGGGAGGGGCAGAACACAAGGAGGGCAGGAGGGACCCATCCACACCCAGAGCCAGCCCCCGCCCGCCCACCCCTCCGGCGTGCGCTCCCTCCAGGCCTCAGGCACGCCGCCTCCCCCTCCCCCACAGCCCAGCCTGTGCCCTCGGACCCAGGCAACAGAAAAGGGCTCAGAGGCCTCCCTCTGGGGAGCGTCTCTCTGCCAGCTCTCCTGCTGCCCCCGGAGTGGGACTTGAGTGCCCCAGTGTCTCAGAGAGCAGAGAGGTTCCCGGGTGAGAGTTGCGGCTCCTGGCATCCCCTGTCCCTCAGGGAGACGGTGAGCAGGGCCGCCAGCCCCAGGGAAGGAACAGAGGGCTTGACCTTCACTAAGAAGCCCCCGGCGGCCCTGAGTCTGGGTCAAGGCCGTACCCTTGGAGGTGTGTGTTGGCAAAACCACCTGTGCAGTGAGCCCTGCGACCTTCCTGGGCTGGCTGCGGTGGGGGGTGGGGGCACAGGTCTGCGGAAAAAGGCCCAGGTACGCGCCTCCGTCGTGGGCTGACTGAGTGCCAAGCAACACGGGTCAAGGAGAAGAGAATGTCATGGAAACAGGCCCACGGGCACTTCTCCCCCCAGCTCACGAGACGGGGATTGAAATAACACAGATAATTGGCTGTAATTGTAAAGTAAACTTCGGAGCTTGGGGAGGAGGCCCGATGTCCTGCTCTGGAAATCATGGCCCTTCCCTGGACCAGACGTGGTTTGCAAAGGTCGCCAAGGAGAGCAGCCCCCGCCTCTGTCCCCACCTCTGCCCCCGCCACCTTCTCCTGGTGGGGAGGGCGGGGGGTCAGGGAGCAAGAAAATCGATCCCAGAGGACGCGAGAGCTGGCAGGCCCGGACTCGGTGGCCAGGAGGCCCAGGGACGTGGGCTGAGTCCAGATTCAGGAGTCACTGGTTCTCTGGGGCGGAGCTGCCAGCTTCCCAAACAAAATCCAGTTTAATGCCCTGAGAAGGAGAAAGGGCAAAGCAGGCCGTGGCCTCTGTCACAGCCAAGGGAGCAGGGCAGCAGGAATGAGGAAGGGAGGAGAATTTCATTAGCCTTTCTGAGTAACTGTAAATATTCCTCTCCAATATCAGCCAGCGCCACACAGCGCTCGTGTCTGAAGGGCTAGTTGCAGGGTGCAGCGCGAACCCAGGCCCATGAACCCCTCACGCTGCCGGATGAAAACCCACTCACTACTCTGTGCGCACTGGGAAAGGGGCTTCCCCCGTGCGGGGCCTGGTGACGGCACACACTGCCCGTTGGGACAAGACTGGCCCCCCGAGTGACGCAGTCCTTCCCAGGGCCGACACACCGCACTGCACGACATCAAACATGCCACAGCCATCATTATCGCCACCGCACACCTCAGAGAAGTCTCTGCATAAGGGGACGCTGTCCAGCCCCATGGGGCCGTTACAGGTTTTCTGAGACTTCAATTTCACTTTGGAAGCTCAAATCTGAGCATCACCAACAACTGGCAATGCCGCTTGTTTTTCTCGAAGGGACAGGCTCGCCCTGTTCATTCTTGAGAAACCGTCTGCTAAACACCCATTTCGGAATAACCGGCCTGCTAGTCATTCTTTCCAGCACAAACCTAGGCGGGTGAAAGGCTGGTTCAGCTCGTAACTCCAGTACACGGGTACCTTTCCTCCACCGTCCTCCTCCTGCCGCAAGAACGCCTCATGCACACTTCCCGTTTGTCACGCAGAATGTTACAAAGATGAGTGCTCAAGAGTGGAGAGTCCCTGCAGTTAGCAGTGCTTTAGCCCTTCATCCGGGGCATTCTCAAATGAAACTGGCGTTGACCCACTCGGTGCCACTGCCTGGGTCCGTACTAAGGCACCAGCCATTTCGCTCACACAGTCCGAAAGGACAGCCCTGGTTTCATGTAACTGCAAAAATAGTTTTAGCCTCCTAGACCCCTGGGGCGGCCTGGGGGACTCCACCCCCTGGGGCCCACGGGCCCCACTCTGAGAGCCACCCAGGCCACCGCACACGGGCAGGCCGAGAAAGCACAGAGACGCCCGCCGGCACTCAGCGGCGAGCTCCTGGTTCAGACGCAGGCCCACCGTGTCTCACTGAGCACTGGTCAGAAGCAGACGCTGCGCATCGAAGCCCCCAAGGTCACTGACACCAGCACTCCCTGTGGAGCTAGGGCCTTGTCCGCTTCTGGAGGTCCCATGACTGCGGAGCCGTGAGCCTTCTGGACTGAGGATCGTCTTGCTGGAAGAGTTTAACCCTAAAAATCTGTTGGCTCCCATCAAAGGGAGTGTTTGCTAACGTCAGGCCTTCCGGTCCTGGAAACAAGTTCTGCACGCCCGCATCTCCCCGGAGGCCAGGGAGGCGAGCCGGGCTCCAACGTCCCCGCCGTCCACTGCTGGTGAAGGGCCAGGCAGTTCCGATGCTGGCTCGGGTCTGAGGACCATGATCTTGGATTTGTGGTCCTACCACTGATATCCCCGGGACGGGAGAAGAGAAGGATGACCACTGTCCCCCAGGCACGACCGCTGGAAGAAGGGGTTTCTGTGGGGAGTGTAGTGCGGTCTGAGGACATCATGGGGAGAGGCTGGCAGTGCAGGCACATGCACACACATGTGTACACACATCGTGGACCTTAGCAGCCCAGCGAAGACATAACCACACAAATAAATGCTGGATGACAAATGCAGCGTGTGGTGTGTGCCTTGAGGGAGGGGAAGCTATGAGAGAGTAAACCGAGGACCCGACCCAGCCTGGAACGTCTGGGGCGGTGTCTCGGAGAGGAAGGGAGAACGCGGGTGGTGCCTCTTTGCCAGACGTCACTCCGCACCTCTCTTTCAGGTACCTGGAAGGAAACCACCTAACGGCGGTGCCCAGGGAGCTGTCCGCCCTCCAGCACCTGACACTGATGTAAGAGGCCCGGCTCTGGGTGGGAACTGTCATTCTCTCTCCTGGCGGAGGTTGGGAAGTGTGGAGAGTGGGGGGGCCGGTGCTGCAGGCTCTCAGCCTCTCTGCACTGCCTCCCCTCCCAATGGGGCGGGGGACAGGCATCTGGCAGGAACGGGTGCCCGATGTGCCCAGTCTGGTGCAGTGAGAACCACCGGCAGACACCCAGCGCCCGGCACTGCTGCCCGCCACACCCCCTTCTTCCTCAGCACGGGGGGAGGGGGCTGAGCCCCTGGCCTTCCAGTTGCTTGCAAGCCGTGTCTGCACTTAGCTTTATCAAAAAAAAAAGGCACATTTCTTCTTCCTTTCTTTCATGGCCCAGAAAATGTTCTAAGTAGATGCTTCAAATCGACTTCCCCTCAGGTGGTGGCTGCTACTGGCTCCAAGTCAGCCAAGACCTGGGAGACCCCCAAAGGAGGAGCAGGGCTGCTGGGCATCGGGGCGGCCCCAGAGGCCGGCCGGTCTGTGGGCTTCAACCCTGGAAAGCTTCCCCGCCTCACCCAGGAGGGACGTGGAGGTGGGGGGCGGGGCACAGGGAGCCACTCCGCTGGGGGACAGTGAGAGTTCTTTCAGAATGAAGCAGCGTCGCCTTTAGGATGGGGGCGGGGGGGGGGTGGGGACCACTGAGGAAAGGTAGAAGAAAGCCACCTGTCACCTTACTCAGCCTGGCTTCCCAGAGAAGCCGCAAATCAGCCTCCAGAGGAGACTTTCCCGGCCTCAGCCCTGTGGGTGTGGGGCAGCCAGATAACTCTTGCCTGTGGGAGCTGCTGTGGGCATCGCGGGAGTTTTGGCAGCATCCCTGCCTCTACCCACCCGATGCCAATAGCTTCCTTCTTCTGGTCGTGACAGCCAAAAATGTCTCCAGACGTCGTCAAATGTCGCTAGGGGGACACAGGTGGAGACCTACTGCTCTAGAGAACCTTCTGCTCCAGGGCCGTGGCTCTCAGCCTCAGCTGATTTGGGGAATCACCTGAGCAGTCTGTTTGCCTTCTTGCACCCTGATGCCCCAGCCCACGCCAGACCAATCACATCAGACTCCTGGTGTGGAACCCGGGCCTCAGAGGCTGCAGAAGCTCCAGGTGATTCTCGTGTGCAGCTGGGGTCGGACACCACTGCCCCTGCCCCGGGGACTTGTCCCTGCGGAGAAGCTGGAGGTCATCGTTGACAGAGGACCACGCTCCCACCCACCTCAGCCCCCTGAGAGACAGTCTGATAAGGGGAATTAAATGAATGCCAGGCAGGAGGGAAGGCAGAGGCACAGCAGCGAAAGAAGTATTGATCAGGGGAAGAAATGTGCTAGAATCAGAAAAGATTACTATCTTCTGTGTTCTGTTTTGCTGGTCGAATGAATGGGTGGATAGACATGGGACAGGATGACTGAAGAGCTAAATGAATGAGTAGATGGACAGATGCTGAACAATTGCTTGAGTGATTGAATAGACACTGGATAAAAGAGCATCTGGATGCATGGATACATGGGTACATGGTGGATGGGTGGATGGGCAGAGGGGTGGGTGGGTGGAGGGATGGGTGGCCTGTGTGACAGTTGGGAATGACCCCCTGCACATGCAGCCAACAGCAAACGGGACCCTCTGTCTCACTTTTCCCAGCGACCTGAGCAACAACAGCATCAGCGTGCTGACCAACCACACCTTCAGCAACATGTCTCACCTCTCCACCCTGTGAGTGCGGTGGCGTGCCGGCGTCACGCGCCTGCGCCGTTCCTTCCCCCGTCCCCTCGGGCCCGGCCCTCTGCCTTAGCGGCTCTCAAAGCTGTGGCTGCCCCTGCACAGGGCAGACCACCATCATCGGGAGGAAACTAACGTGGGTGTGAAGCCCCCTGCCTGGGCAGTCAGGCCAGACCTGGCGCCTAATGAGTTCCGAGGGAGGCCCTCCATGGAACACCTTCTGGGCCTTGTGAATTCCTTCCCCAGCGGAACGCTCCCCCACACAGTTGCCCTTCGCTCAGACCCATCCGTGTCCGGTAGCTCTGCGCATTGTGGACACTCAGACTGACAGTGGAGGGAGGGGGTAGCTCAGCTGGTCGAGGAGCCAGCCTGCTGGGGGGGAAACTAGGCACAGTGAGCTTCCTGGGGTGCCGGGAGGTGATCCTCTTCCCACTGCGGTTAGGATGCTTCTGCCCATCCTTTCAAATGGGGAGGATAAGCCTTGGCTTTGACCGGGCGCAGTGTGGACAGCCCCCACCCCTGGGCAGCTGAGGCAGGAAGAGCCAACCACTGTGCTCTTTTCCGCAGGATCCTGAGCTACAACCGGCTACGCTGCATCCCCATCCACGCCTTCAACGGGCTGCGGTCCCTCCGAGTGCTGTGAGTATGAGCCGTCTCCTGCGCCGGGAACCGCAGGCGGCGCCGAGCGCTCCTCCGATGCCACACACACTCTGCCCCAACCCACCACCTCCTTATTTTCCTGGCCCATTATTACTGGAACAGTGATAACCGTATTTTGGGGGGGCTTCTCATGGCCATTGCCTCATTTAAACTTGTGCAACAGTGCTGTGAGGTGGAGAGCCATGTGCCCATGTTTGAGATGGGGAAACTGAGGCTGGACTGGTGAAGTAAGTGGTGCACAGTCCAGCAGGCAGGGGTAGCAGGACCCAGCCTCCGGGCTCGGAGCCCTGGGAGCCTTCCCAGCACCCAGCAGCAGTCAGCAAACAGCGCCCAGCGCCTGGCCCACTGGAGAGCCCCCAGGCCGGCGTGATTTACACAGGCCCACAGAACGCCGGTGTCAGCGACAGCTCCGCCACATGTCATCTGCGCTGTTATTAAAAATCAATTCTCTGGGGGCAGAGGAGCGCCCGCGCCGACAGTGTGCCATCTGTTATTGTCACTTATTTATTATCCACCTTCTCTGGGGACTCGAGAATGGAAACATCAGCAGAACCGTGTCCCTGCTTCCCGTTGAACACAATGGGACGTGGGCTCACCCCGTCGGCCAGGGCTGAGGCTGGACCCACTCCCCCACCCACCTCCCACCCACCTCCCCCCACAATCCCAACCTGTTGTCTCCCATCTCAGTCTTCCGGTTCCGTGCGTGGGTGTGCCGCCAGGGGGTGTGGCCGGCCAACTTGAATGGGATCTCTGCGCATGTGTTCATAATTAGGGTAGTTCTGGGCAGCAGGCGGGGGGTGGGCAATGCAACAGGTATGAGGCAGAAGGAGAACGCTTGCCTGTCCATCTGTGTGTCTGTCCGCCCGGGCAGGGGGTGGGGGTATGAACTTCACCCTGAGTTCTCCTTCCTCAGCACACAGGGCGTCTCACTCCGGAACCTCCACAATCTCCAGTTCGTCAGGTGCCCGTGAACATGTCACACGCCGTGCCTGCTTCTTGAATTAACAACCAGTAGGGCTTGAGCACCATGATTTTATTTTTATTTTAAGATTTTATTTATTTTTAGAGGGAGGGGAAGGGAGGGAGAAAGCGAGAGGGAAACATCAATGTGTGGCTGCCTCTCATGCGCCCCCTACTGGAGACCTGGCCTGCAACCCAGGCATGTGCCCTGACTGGGAATCAAACCTGCGACCCTTCGGTTCGCAGGCCAGCGCTCAATCCACTGAGCCACACCAGCCAGGGCAGCGTGGTGATTTTAGCATCGTGGGCTAGCATAACTGAAAGGGGCCTCGGGCCCTCATTCCAAACAGCTGCCTCAGTGGGGAACAACCATTTTCTGCATGAGGGCCAATCCAGGGAAAATCTAAATGTTTACAAGCTCCATTTCTTTTACGATATTTGTATCTTTTCTCCCAGTAACTGCACACTTAGGAATTTATGCTCGAGAATAATCCAAAATGAGGGAAAGGCTCTGTGCGTTACGATCGTGGCCGCACTGTTATTTTCCACCTAAATTTTAAATAGGGCCTACAAGGGCCTCCTTGGGGGAGTGCTGGAGGCAAGCCGGTCGGTGAGGTGCGGTAGCGCGGTGGGGAGACAGGAACCACACGGCCGCGTGGGGCAGCACTTACCGCGGAGCGCCACGTGGAAAACCAACCCTCGTGTGTGTGTACGTTACAACAGCAACTTGCAAACAATCATACGTATGAAGGACTATAGGGAACGTGGACAAACAAAAAAAGCGATTACGGCCAACGGTTCGTGCTGTCGTTTCTGTGCTAAAGGAAGGCGGAGCTGAGGAGGAACGAAGACAGGAGCTGATTTGCCATTGAGGGAGTGAGGGCAAAGAGATAGGGGCTTTGTTGGTTTTTTTGGTTTTTGGAAATCAGGAATTGCAATATTTGCAACTGCATGTAAGCATCTGTGTATTTTCTCATTTCTAAAGGGTTTCATTCTTTCGATTACAATTTCAGAAATAACCAGAGACCCAGAGATGCTGGCAGTTTGGGGTGGGGGAGGAGAGTGGGCCTCAAGATTCAGCCACAGAGAAAGGCCAGAAAGTGCTCGGGAAAGCAGGAGGAGAGGCCTGGTGCGTGCGCATGCACACGTGTGTGTGTGTGTGTGCACGTGCGTGTGTGTGCGTGTCTCGGTGGGGGGATTTGAATGCATCTCAGAGATGTGACCGGGTGGTGGTCAGGGGACCCTGCATGAGGACAAGCGTTGTGTGAAAACAGCTTTTCCCACTCGGCGCCTAATCTAAAAGCAGCTAGGTGAGAACATTCCCGTGGACGTCCTCCTCGTTCTTCTTCAGGGCTCCACGTGCTCCCTGACCTTTGCCCCACACCAAGCTGCGCGCCTGGTGTGCGGGTGGTCCCAGCGGCCACTCCCAGCCCCCGCCGCAGGGGAGCCACCCGGAACCGGTCGGCGCTGGGAGGGCTGACTGGCGCGCGCTCCGAGGGAGCGGGTGGGTCACCGTCCGTCACGCTCCGCATGTTCCGCTCCCAGTCCCTGCAGTGAGGCTGCGTCTGCCGTTTGTGCACGCGGGGCTGTCCATCGTGCCCTGTGGAATGCAGAGGTCCTCCCTACAGCATCCCCTGAAGGGCTCCTTTTGCTTGATTTCCTTCAGAGACCGAGAGCTCACTCCCGTCTCAGCCAGCCCCATCCCGTGTCTGACCAGCTGTTGAACATTGGACGATTCTGGGGAGCCCAAAGGAGATTCCTTTGGACCTCGAAACCGTGGTCCTGGTTTGGCCCTTTAGTGCCCCATTCGGCCTCCTTTCCCAGCAGGCGGTGCCCCCTACTTGTACCGCTCCCCATTCAGGCTTTGCCTGAAGATCGGAGGGACATGGCCTCTTTAAAAATGACACGTTGCCTGCTTGCCCAGAGGCCGCGGATGAGAAGGAAAGAGTGGGTGGAATGAAAGACAGGAGAGGAAGGCGAGGGGCACAGGGTCGGGCTGCCCAAACGTGGGTGTGTTCTCCCCACCTGGGGCCCCGTCATGGGCTCGCGGCTGCCTCTGAGGCCTGCGGGCTGCACACCTGCAGGCTTCTGCGGCACGTGGGTGCTGCTCAGAGGCTGGCCCCAGGACACGTGCACGAAGGGAGGGGGCGCGGCAATGCTAACAACAATCAGAGCCGACGTGAGCGAGGGCTCCTGATTTGCTGCCCTGCCTGGAGCCCTGAACCATTGGGACCACTGGCATTGCACCTTTAATCCTCACGCTGCCAGTGCAGGAAGCACCGAAGCGAGCAGATGTCTCCCGCCCACGGGGAGGGAAAGTCAGGCCAGACCCCCTCCAGCGTAGAGAGAATTCGGCCGAGGGTAATGGGAAACGTCAGCGGCAGACCTGGGGCTTAAGGGCTGGGTGCGGGTGCCCCGAGGCCACTGTCAGAGAGGTGTCTCTCTCTGCCTCTGTCCTCACAGTCCCAGCCCAAGCCCCAGCAATGTCTCTCACTGGCCCACAGAGGTCACAGACGCCACCTCATGCCAGTCACTGTGACGGCCACTGGGCAGCCCTGGGCCGTAGCGCTGCCCGTGAGGCCAAACCCCTCAGACTGTGTGGGCGGGGGGTGAGGCCCCCAAGAACAGGGAAGAGCGGTTACAGAAACTGGGAGAGTGAAGGGAGTCACCCACGGCCCCCAAAAGACAACCACAACGCGTAAATGCTAAGAGCGACTCCACGTTAGAGATGACGAAACTGAGCCGCAGAAAGACGGTCTCGGCTCAGGCAGCCAGGGATGGTCAGCGGGAGATCTGAACCCAGGCAGCCTGACTCCGGACCTTACCCCCGCCCCAGCCGCCTGGGAGGGCCCAGCACACGCAGAAGGGAATGCACCCACCCAGACCCACACGTGGAATGAGGCCGGTCCCTGGCACCCAGCACACGCACGGCGTGCCTGGGGTGGTTTGAGGCAGCTGGGAGCTGACACAGATGGTCCTGTCCTCCCCATGCTCAGATGTAGCCACATCAGCAACCCCCAAGCCCCAAGTTTGCCCTGAACACCCCCAAGAGCCAGGAGGGGAAACGGAGCCTCAGGCGTCCGAAGTGGAGCCTGTGGGAGCCCAGCCCCTGGGAGGTGGGAGGGAGACGGGGCGGGGAGAAGGGCAGAGCGCTCAGTGCTCCTGGGAGGGCGCGTCTGCCTCGCGTCCCCGCATCCTGCAGGATGGCGGTTAGACGTGCGAGAGCCCCTCTTCGGGGACCACTCCGGGAGCGGGAACCTGCAGCGCAGGCAGGTTTCCGTGGCGCTGTCGTCCCAGTAAATCACGGCCCCGTCGTCACTCCGCCGTTTCCAGAGACCTCGGCAGCTCCGCGCAGGATGAATGGGAGCGTGACTTGCAGGAGCCCCAGCGCCAGGGCTGCCGTTGGCCATCGGGTGTTTTTGAACCAGGGCTCCGTGTCCCTCCAGGGCCCGGGCCTCATTCAGAGATGATTAACAGAGGTTCTGGAGCATTTGCCAGAGAGCAAGCAGCAACGAAGTCCTCCAAGTTAAGAGCAGGCGGGGGCTGGTGCAATTCATAGACACCCATGTGAATTAGACTCGATGATGCTGACAACGTGCTGGGAAGTGCTGGACGCTCCCTGAACACCCGGGGACCGTTCACGCTCGTCCTGCTGTCCTCGGAGGGGCCGGAGCGGCGGCTTCGGGAGAAGAGGAGGACGAGGTGACAACCTGAGGCAACTAAACGTGGTTCAGAGGACCAGGAATGTCGGCGTCCCCCCGAAGCTTGTTAGAAACACAGCCCCTTAGCCCCCGCCCCCACCCCCACCAAGCCCCGTCTCAGTCTCTGGGAACCGGGCCAGAAACCTGCCCGTGGGCGAGCCGCCACGCTCGGCCTGCTCCGCAGCCTCTGTTCCAGCTGCCGGCCGGGCCGGCTCACATTAGGGGCAGGAAACGAGAGCAGAATCCTGCGTCGTTGCCCTGTGTACGCCCCCAGAGTCAAGGCTAGTCCCCCTTCCGTTTCACTGGGGCTCCCTCCTCAGTGCAGGGGTCTGTGCCCAGCAGCCACTCAAGACGCCTCGGAGCGTCTGTGAGTTTCGTTTCACAGGCCAGACCCCAAGGGAGCCGTCAGCCTGGGGACTTGGGGTGCGCCGTCGGTGCTTACGCCCTCAGTGGGGGCACGACCTAGGAATTGGGGACTCACTCCTGTGGTTCCTTGAGCAGCGAAGCCACGTTCATTAGGTTCATTCCTGGACCCGTTCTCCAGGCGTCCACCAAAAGCTCAGCGTATGCCAACCCCCCGCAGGTGCGAATAGCTCCTGGCTATTGCAGCGCAGGGCGCGGAGGGGTGTGATTAACACCGAGCAGGTCGCCCGGGCCCTCAGACGAGACGCTAGAAAGCACACGCAGATGCACACAAGTGCCGGAGCCCTGCGTGTGGGTCCCCACTGGGATGAGGGCCAGGCCCCCAGGCAGGTTCCGCAGCAGCCGAGGGCCCACCTTCCTCTCTCCCCTGAGCCGGGAGGATGGCACTTCTCCGTCCCACAGATCTCCCCGAGCGAATAAAAGGGAACCAGTTTCCCGATCTGTTCCAGACCGCCTTCAAGGCCCGCTCACGCATTGTCCAGGTTGATCGTTTGGCACCTAGAAAGGGACGGGCTCTTGTGGACTCACACACCCACAGCCACCCTCGGTGGCCAGTCTTTGTACTTTGGTTCCCGTTTGACAATGAGAAGCTGAGGCACAGAGAGGGCAGTGACCCTGCCCTCAGTCACACAGCTGGTAAGGGGCAGAACCAGGGTCTGAATGGAGGCAGCCCGGCCCCAGAGCTTACGGTCTCACCCACAGTTCTTCACGTTGTCTCTGAGAGCAGGCGGACACCTCTCCATCTTTCAGGCGCAGAAACGGAGGCCCAGAAAGTAAAGTGACTTATCACGTGTTCCACAGCCAAAGGGACAGGCTCCATCCTGGGCCTGTTCGATTCAAAAGCCCATCTTCTCCTTTCCCAAACCCTCTACCCCCAATGTCCTGGTGCTGAGCTGGGCGTGGAGACATCCACGCACCAGCCACAAGGACATGCACCTGTGGGTGCTGGCGGAGGGCTCCGAGGGAGACTCCGTGGGGGGCGGGGGAAGGCTGGGCCAGCCCAGGACGCCGGGGGAGCGGAGATCAGATCTGTTCTATTGACCCCACCTCTGTGCTTCTGCCTCAGAACCCTCCACGGCAACGACATCTCCAGTGTCCCCGAAGGCTCCTTCCACGACCTGACGTCCCTCTCCCACCTGTAAGTAGCCGTGCCCGTCCGGGCCGCGGGCCCACTCGGCACAGAGCACCGTCAGAGGGCCCCGCTCTCGGTGGCCCCGCTCGCGCCCAGCGGCTGTTCTTTCTGTCGCGGGGAGCGTGCTTTCCATCGGGGGGCCCACGCGGCGCACGGTGCGTGTTCTCTGCTGCAGCCACCTGCAGAGGCTTCATCCGCCGTGTGAACGACGCAAACCCAAATTCCGCAGGAACCGAGATCAAACTCCCAGCAGGCGCCCCACACTTCAGATGAATTCTCTTACCTGTTTCTTGCAGCAGCGAGCCCTTGTCTCCCCTTATTACACACGATGACACCGAAACAGACGGGCTAAAAAAACTGTCCCAGGAGCGCCCAGCTCGTGGCCTGTTGCCCAGGCTCCAGAGCACACAGTCTCCACCTCTGCCCCCTGCCCCTCACACACGGGGGACGCCGCGGCCCCTCACTCTGGGGCACTGCTTGTCTCTCCGCCAGGGGACGTGTTTGAGTGTGCAGCCCACTCCACGTGGTCTCATTTGCGTCACCTTGCACGCCTATGCTGACAGGTGTGCACGTTGTGAAACACTGAAAACAGAAACGTTAGAGGATATGATGAAAAGGGAAGTTCTAGGGTCTTCCCCCTGCACGCCTCTCGGGCGGGGTGTGCTCGGGGCAGCACTACGCCCGCCCCGCAGCTGCAGGCGGAGTGGGCGGGGAGGAGATGCGTGCTCCTCCTCGCAGGTTCCGGCTGGCCCGCCCGCCAACCTGCCCTGAGACAGGTTCAGAGGAGAAAGGCATACTCGTGTAGTTCATGTTTTCACGCGCCCATGGGGGTCTCCAGAGGGAAACTGACCCGAAGAAGCCCTTGGGCCCAAAGAAGCTTCGACACCTTTTGACACCAGGAATGATACACTGGGTGGCTCTGGGAAGATAGAGGGGCTCGAGCTGGGGGCCACAATCTGTGGGATCGTGCCTAGGAAATGCGTGCGGGAAGCTTACTGGAAGGTCAGGGTCATTTCAGTGGGTCTGCTGGTGCAGAGACTCCCGGTCTCCGGGGCGGGGAGGCACCTTTCTCAGGGAAAGGGGGCTGCTTTTAGGTGGAAAGGGGTTCGTCAGAGGGCCCTTCCTGCATCCGCTGTCTCTCCAGTGCCTGCAGTTTGAAATAACCAGTATCCCCCCCCAGAGTGGCTTGTCGGAGGGCGGTGTGCTCCGAGCTCCCTCAGTGTGGCTGGGCGTCACAGCCTCTCTGCAGAGTGGGTCCCCCGGCGGGCCCTCCAGTGCGGGGGAGAGCCGGGTAATGAGATGAGAGGCCCAGGAGGCTTCCTCGGGGCTCCAGGGTTGAGGCCGAGTTCAGGGTTGCTTGCTGGGATGGGTGAGAACCAAGCCGAGGTGGGAGGGGCTTGGGGGTTGAAACATCTCCAGGGATCAGAGGTACAGTCGGGAGTCCACTGGTCCTCAGGCCAACCCCCGCCCCCCCAGTCTAGGCAAAGTCCGAGAATTCTGCTTTTCCAGAAAGCCAAGGATACGGAGCCCACGGGCCAAGCGGGCGGGGGGACTCTGACGTCCTGCTCTGCCCCCCAGGGCCCTGGGAACCAACCCGCTGCACTGCGACTGCAGCCTGCGCTGGCTGTCGGAGTGGGTGAAGGCGGGCTACAAGGAGCCTGGCATTGCCCGCTGCAGCAGCCCCGAGCCCATGGCCGACCGGCTCCTGCTCACCACCCCCACCCACCGGTTCCAGTGCAAAGGTAGGTGCTGCTGCCGCCCGCCCTCCCCCGCCCCTCCCCTCCCCCTCTCCCTCCCAGGGCCTGCCCTGCCCCCGGCAGCCTGTCAGAGCCGGCCATCTCAGCAGAAGGCACCCCGAAAACTGTTGCCGTGTCTGCTCCTCCGTGGGTCAAACACAGAGGCTGGGGCTGAAATTGACGTGGACCTTTGTCCCTCCCTCCCCAAGTCCCTCTGGTGACACGTCCCCGCCGCTGACTTCCTTCTCTGCGTACTTTGGCATAATTGAGAAATTCTTTAAGCTGCATTTTTTTTAATCCAACATCCCTAAAGCACATGAATTTCCCCCGCAAACTTGCCCGTGTGGTTTTGACTGACCACATCACCGCGAGAACAGACCACGACTGGGCACTTCCTGTGCAGCAGGCGCTGTGCTAAGCGCTTCTCCAGGTGTTGCTTCTTTAAATGTACACTTTCTATGCATTAATTTATCTTCTTCTCCAGCACCTCTGTGGGGTACACACTAGAATCACCCTCATTTTTTTAGTGTCATTTCTTTTTTTTTAAGATTTTATTTATTTATTTTCAGAGAGGGAAGGGAGGGAGAAAGAGAGAGAAACATCAATGTGTGGTTGCTGGGGGCCATGGCCTGCAACCCAGGCATGTGCCCTGACTGGGAATCGAACCTGTGACACTTTGGTTCGCAGCCTGCGCTCAATCCACTGAGCTACGCCAGCCAGGCCTGAATCACCCTCATTTTTTAAAAGGAAAACACTGAGGCCAACCGAGGTTAAATGATTTCTCAAGGCCACGGTCAGCAGGACCCCAGGTCTCTCGGACTCCACGGCGCACACGCCTGAGCACCAGGCTGTGGCGATGTCCCCCCACGGCCCCTCTGACCAGCTCCTTCTGAACCTGCCGGGTGCTCCCCGTGGTTTCCCTACCGCCGGTGCATGGAGGTCTTTGTTTGTAATTGTGCCCTTGGATGACATTCAGAGAAGAGAAGCCACTGGGCCGGAGTCCAGGACGGTGCTTAAATGTGTTGCCAAACTCGTCTCCCAAGAGGGCTGTAAGCAGCTCCCCCACCCCCCGTGCACCCCTTGGGTGCATTTTTCACCACTCTTGTGTTATTTTATCTCATTTCGTAATCATCGCTAATTCAACAGGTGAAAAAAATCTCTTTATGTTTTGTCTGTCTTTGACTGTTGGGGAAACTGTTTTGTTTCTTGTTTTTTGTTTTCAAAATTTTACTTTCCAGATGTATTGCACACCTCTTAGAGCCTTAATATTTTTTTTGTTTTTATCGATATGCTTTAATTACCCCCTAAAACGTCACTGGGTCCTTGGGACACACAGCCTCCCTGTTCTAGTGTGAAGCCAGGGCTGAGCCCTGGATGCAGCCCCTCAGCCGGGCTGTTCTGTTCCCCCAGCTGGAAAACGGCCACACACACACCGGCTCAAACCTAGCCCAGTCTCCACATTGACGACTGCTGTCTCAGGGCCAGTTAAAGCGCTAACATTAGCCCTGGCTGGTGGATGGAGCGCCAGCCTGCGAATCAAAGGGTCGACAGTTTGACTCCCAGGCAGGGCACATGCCCGGGTTGCGGGCCAGGTCCCCAGTAGGGGGCATGTGAGAGGCAACCACTCACTGATGTTTCTCTCCCTCCTTTTCCCTCTCTCTAAAAATAAATAAATAAAAATCTTTTTTTAAGATTTTATTTATTTTTAGAGAGGGAAGGGAGAGAGAAGGGGAGAGAGGGGGGAGAGAGAGAGAGAGAGACATCAATGTGCGGTTGCTGGGGGCCATGGCCTGCAACCCAGGCATGTTCCCTGACTGGGAATCGAACCTGTGATGCCTGGTTCGCAGCCTGCGCTCAATCCACTGAGCTACGCCAGCCAGGGCGATAAATAAAAATCTTGAATAAAAAACAAAAAGTCCTAACACTAAATAGGGCCTATTTACAAGACCAGGACCCAGGTGAAACTGCCGTGGGTGTGGAACGTCACCGAGCACAGTCTGCCGTCCGCTGTCGGTGCCCCTGCTGCCCGCTGTCGGTGCCCCTGCTGCCCTCTGGGGCTGTGTCTGACTCCCGCTGCCAACAAGGGCTCTGCAAGCAGGACCTCTTGGGCCCAGACACTGTGTGCTTCACTTGGCACAGACCTGCCCACTGTGGGGCGGAGCAGGGCGTTTCAGGGGATTGGAGAAGTGCCAGGTCCCAGTGGCGCCTAGAACCAGAGCTTCCAGAACAAAAAAAAAAAAAAAAGATACACAAGGGTGTTACTAATTACGGTACATTGTTTGCAGATTAGCACCAAAATCGGATCAGGCTAATTACGGTAATTGATTTCACTGCAGAAGTGCCTCTGCATGCTGGCCCACGTGCATTCCCCCCGCTAGACAATGGCGGAGTGCACGGGACTCTAGCGGGACGGCATGGACTGGCTGGAGAGGGCCAGCCGCCCTCTCTCTGCGCAGGCAGGTGGGGAGGAGCTGGCAGCTGGCTGAGGAGGGGTCCGAGCCGAGGGGGAGGGAGGGGTGACAGTGAGCCCTTTGGGGGACCTGCCACCAACGCTCCGTGGTTTTGCGGCGCAGGGCCGGTGGACATCAGCATTGTGGCCAAGTGCAACGCCTGCCTCTCCAGCCCGTGCAAGAACAACGGGACGTGCAGCCAGGACCCCGTGGAGCTCTACCGCTGCGCCTGCCCCTACGGCTACAAGGTGAGACAGGGCACTCGCCCGCTCCGTTTGTGGCCCAAGGAGGGGCCCTGTGCCTCCCAGGACCCCCTACCCCCACTGTGAAATGGTGTGTGCCAGGTTAAGGAGGACTCCACTTCCCAGGTGACCCCAAAGTGGCATTTGCCAGCCACACTCCTGTTCTACTGGGCCTCGGGCTGTTGAGAGGGCTTGACTCGTGTCCCCAGGCCCGTAAGCAGAAGGGTTAGGATGGGACCCAGGACTGTATGACTTCAGAGCCCTGCCTTTGCCCCGGAAGGTCTCCTGGTGAGCTGGCCCCTCAGGCTCCCACCCTGGGGTCGGCAAAGCTCTTTGTTGGGACCCTCCCGGAGTCCAGCCTCCGGGGGCGCCCATTCCCATGCACCGGACAAGCCGAGAGTTTCAGGACCGCCCGTGCCCGTCGGGTGTGCAGCCCTGGCACCGGCTGAGAGGGAGGGAGCCAGCCTCCTTGGGGGACTGGTGTGTGCAGTGACCAGCTGAGGGGCAGGCTCACTCTGGGGGGCAGGCTCCCAGGTGGAGTTCTCAGCGGCAGCTGTGCCTGCAGCCGACAGTGTCAGAGTGCCACCTACAGGCCGGACAGCAGAGCCAATGCATTCCCTGTGACTCTGGCCGGCCAGCCAGTCCTCCCCAGGCAGCTGCCCCCAGGGCCTCAGACTCACTGGAGTCGCAAACCCATGCGCCTCACCCACACACACACACATGCACACACAACATGCACACGCAGAGGACTATTGCAGGGCAGAGCAGGCATTCGGCAGGCGTGCTCAGGCGGCCTGAGTCCTCAGACTGCCCTGCACCAATTCAGCGGAGAGAACTCAGGCTGTGGAGTGACAGAGCGAGGCCTTCCCATTCACTAGCTGTGCGGCAGGTGCCGGTGGCTTCATCTGAGCCTCCCCGCCGGTGCACCAGGACCTGCCTGACAGGTTTGCCGTGAGAATAAAGTAACTGCGGACGGTACCTGGTGTCCAGGAAGCCCTTGGTAAGCTGGCACATGCTACCTTTTACCTTAAGCGTTACACCCTGGTCCCTAATACCAGGTGCAGTAACAGGTGGCAGTTGCTGGCTTCACCGGGGATTCTCAGGCTGTGACACACTGAGCTGTCACACCACCAGCTGCTCCCCTAGATCTGTGATGTCCACCTCTGTATCACCCCCACCCCCGCTGGTGTGGAGCTGCCTGTTTAGCATTGACGTGGCCCGGGCGCTCGACCAGACCTGATACACGTGCTCCCTCCTCCAGTTTTTGTAATCACCATATGAGGCGGGTGGCGTCGTCTGAAGACTAAGACGAACCACTTCGCATCCTGAGCCCGGCTTCCTCCTCTCCCACTCTGGCCTGAGTCTGGAAGTGGTGGAGCCGCGTCTGAAGGTGCAGGCGTCTTCCGGCCGGCCACACCTGGGCCACCGCGAAGCCGGCCTGGCCCTCGGCGTCGGGGCAGGAGTGCCCCCAGGGGGCCTCTACCGGGCGCACCGCATGTTTGCACTTTGCCCTCTGGATTCCGAACATCCTGTAGATTCCAGGTGAATTGGAACCGAGGCTTTGACCTTTAGGAAGCTGTTGGGCCCAGGCAGGTCTGGGGTCCAATGTAATGATGGTGACAGTGGTGATGGTGGTGGTGACGATGACAACAGCCATATTGGCAGCCCGAGTTTTTTTAGTGACTGCTGTGCACTAACAGTGTGTTAAACAAGGCACACACATTACTTTGCACACTCCTCATCAAAGCCCTGGGAGGCAGGTCCTGAAGGGACCGCCATTCTACCACTGAGAAAACTGGGGACAGGAGGTGAGGGGTTGGGATGCAAAGCTCCGAGCCGACTGGTTCCAAAAACCACGCTCTCATCCTCTGCATTCACTGCCCATTGGCAAGCTCCGTGATCGTCAGGGGCGAGGGTCCCGGTCTGAATTTCCAGGACAGGGCAAAATAGGGTGTGGGTCGGGAAGGATGCCAGGCGGGGCGCCCTGGAGCCTGCTCCCAGCTGACTGTGCCACCTTGAGCGGCCCCGCGCTCCTGGCCGCAGGCCCCTCGCCTGTGAAGTGCATCCCGCTGGACCCAAGGGCTCCTTCCATTGTGGGTCCTGTGGCCGCCCGCCCCGGGCCTGTGCCCCCGCCTGCCTCTCTTCTGGGCGTGGAGCTCACCCAGGCGGAGGGACTGAGGTGGCTCTGGGTGAGGCAGCAGCCACCAGACACCCACAAAGCCAAGCTCACAGTTCAGGCGTTTATCTGTTTCCAGACACCACAGTTATTCCATTGACTGGCTGGGTGACAATGGGAAGCCACAGTGCTACAAAAAAAAAAAAAAAGGCACAGCAGCCATGGCTTCCTGTTTATTGGCAGCTACTGCTCACGTCGGCAATGCCAGGCCTCTGAGGAGCAGTAAGCCCATTATCTCACACGATGCTGTTAATCATCACCCTCTGAAATAGGTCGTATTAGCCCCTTTTGATAGATGAGAAACCTGGGGTTCAGAAAATCAAATAACGTACCCAGGCTCCCACACCCGGGAGCCAGGCGCTACCCCAGAACCCAGCCCTCTGCTGCAGCAAAGCCTGTGCTCACCGCCCGCTGCACCCGATCCCCACCCCCGCCGCCCCGCCCAGCTGCTAATGGGAGTAACCACACTCACCTGCAGAGCTCTTGCAGGGATTAAAGTGGCCGCACATGTGCCAGGATGCAGCGGGGGCCTCACACAGGGTATTACTTTACCACCAGTCTGCGGCACAGGGAAATGAAATACATAGTTGGGCTGATTCTTTTCAGCCGGTTTAGCTCCGTGCACATACGTGCTCAGTGTCTCAGAGCAGCGCCCCTCGCACCTTCCTTCCTGGGCACAGGGGTCACCCGGGGGTCTCACTGAAACGCGGGTCCCGGGTTCGTTCACACCTGGGATCCGGCCAAGCTTGTGCGTGTTTAGCAGGGTCCCGGGAGTGAGGCGTGGGGGCAGGGGACTTGCTGCTGGACCAAGGACCGTGCTGTGAATGGCAGGGTCTCAGAGCAGCCTCCCCGGCCCCGTCTCAGAAAGGGGTTTCCAGTGGGAGGAGCTGGTCCCGAGCCCAGCCATGCCCTTCACACACACACACACACACACACACACACACACTCAGCAGGGTGGGCGGGGGAGGACCAAGGACCATCACGAAGCTGGTGGGCTCGAGCAAAGGGAGGCTGAAGGAAGCTGAACCGGGCTAATTAGCCAAAGCTCTGGGAACGGCCGTTGTTTCCCAAGGATGCGTACGACGGAAACCCCCACTCCAGGCCGGACCGCCGTAATGTCAAGTGCGAGGCTCTGCCTCCCGGCTTTCTGCGCCTGGCCCCGTCGCCACAGGAGGGTCCCATCTGGAGTCCCTGGCACTTGAAAGCTCCTGGAGCAGCAAGGCTGGCGCAGGCAGGGGCTAGGGAGTCCCTACCGTGACCTGCTCAGGGTTCTCCAGTCCGGACCTGCATGGCCCATTCATTCAACACACGCACCCCACTACCACCACTCCCCCCTCTGAGCTAATCAGCACCCACCGAAGACCTGCAGAGTCCTTTAATCACCCACAGTCAGCCCTGCCTCTGACCCCAATCCATCATCATCGTCATCGCCGTCATCACAGTGGCTCTTACTTACAGAGCGGCCATGACACACCATGGTGCTGGACATACATGCGACTTCTAATCGTCTGTCTACTGTGCAGGGAGGGTATAGCTAGCCCCTTCGTATAGGTGATGAGAACAAGGCTCAGAACTAGTCACTTCCTCGAGGCACACGGCCGCCAGACTAGCACGGGCCCCCAGCTCTGCCTGGCTCCAGGGCCTGAGCGGGGAGGAGGCAGTCCAGTGGGGGCTCGGGACTGGATGCCGGGCGCCGCTGCCGTCGTTGCCTCTCGCTGTGATCTTGGATGTGCCGTCTCACTCCCCAAGCCGGCCTTCCCGGGCTGGGAAGACCAGGGGTCGTGACCGTCGCACTCGCCTGCCAGGTTGCTGTGAGCGTCACCTGTCGTCGTGACGACAAAACCCTGGGCACGAGGCCCGGGGTGGACACTGCTCAGTGCCCCTGAGTGAGAGTGAGGATTGCCGTTCCCACCCCGCTTGCACCTCCCAGAAGCGCTCCCGGGCTGCTCTGGTTCAGGATGAGCCCAGGCCCCCGCCCCATCCCACCCCACCTGCAGTCTCCGCCCCTCCCAGAAACCCTCGATTGGCCCGTTAAGTGCCACGAGGCAAGGCAGGAGGCGGCTGAGACAGTGGGAGGCAGGCAGTCCGCAGCACAGCCCTGAGCCCTTTGGCAGCGACACCCCCACCAGGACGCCCAGTGCACTCCGTCCCAGGCCCTGGAGGCAGCAGAGGGAGAGAGGATTTTCTTGGGCAGACGGTGAGCAGGTGGCGTGGCGGTGGGAGGGCGCCCGCGGTCACCCCTGCCCGGCATGGGGCCCGCAGCCCAGAAACCACACAGCAGGGGCCTCCCCGGGGCCCATAGGTGCCCAAAGGGGCTGTTTGCCAGGACTGAGGCGTGGTGCCGGTCCCTGGGTGACCGGGGAGTAGCCGGAGCCCGGGGACCAAGCTTTGGGCCGCTCTCTGGGATGCCGGGGTCCGTGCCGCAGCCCTGCTTGGGCCCCGCCCCCTCAGCGCCCGAGTCCCCCTGTCCCTTCTACTGCAAGGCTGGCCCCGTCTCAGCTCCAACGTCCCCGTCGGGGGAGCCTGCTCCGGGGGATCCCCACGCGCCCCAAACCCTCTCACCCAGGGCTTCTCCAGCTGGCCTAACATTAGAATCACCTGCGGGGCTGGGGCATAAACACCAGCACCTGGGCCTGCGCCCAGACGGGTCAGAGGTGAACCTCGGGCGTCGTCACCCAGTCGGTGGAGGTCTGCCGGCCACGCCCAGCTGGTGTTTCCGAGCCCCGGGGAGGCGGCCAGCAACAACGTCCGCGAGCACGGGCAGCGCGCCTCCTCTGTGCCACATGTGTTACTTGACGCTGAGCACTTCCTTATAGGAAAGGTCTAGTTTCATTCTCATGACGACACTATGATCTAGGCTTACAGGGGTTAAAAGGCTTATACAAGGTCAAGCTCAAGGTCCGCCAACCAGGAAGAGGTGAAGCTGGAGCGTGAGGCCAGGTGTCCTGCACCCTAAGCCCACGCTCTTGCCCCATGGTGTTGAATAGAGAGGACGGCAGGAATTCTGGGAGCCCGGACTCCCAGACCCCCCACATCCCTCCCCTTCTCACTACGGAGTACCCAAGAGCCAGGGCTCCCCGTGCCTGTCTCCGAGTCACACTGCAGGCGTGCTCCAGGGCCTCCCGCCGTCTCCCCAGCCTCAGCCCAGCGGTGCCTGAACTCCCCGGGGGTCTCCTGGGTCCTGGCAGCCACTGACCCCCCGCCCCCGCCGGGGTGCTTCTCCCTCTTCCGCGCAGGGCAAAGACTGCACCACGCCCATCAACACCTGCATCCAGAACCCCTGTCAGCACGGAGGCACCTGCCACCTGAGCGAGAGCCACAAGGATGGGTTCAGGTAACCGCTGGCCCTTGGGCCCTCCCTCCCCCGGGGCTTCGCGGGCGGGCTGAAAAGGCTCAGCTGTTCTCTGGGGCGCCTGTGCCCACGCTGGGCCGGGCCCCTGCTGGACTGTCCCCCGGGCAGGGCAGGACGTGGAGGCGTCCCGGAGATGAGTCCTTTGCCCGAGGCTGCACAGGCGTAGTAAGCGTCGGGCAGGGCCCAGACCCGGCTAGTCCGTCCCTGCAGCCAGGAGCACTCTGGGCTGCAGTTGCTGGCCAAAGTCAGGGAAGAGGGGGCGGCGGCTCAGAGACCCAGCAGCCTGCCAACGCCCCTGCTCTTTCCGCTGGGTCGTGAGGAAGACATCCATTCATAGGAGGTGACACTGATCGCCTGCTCCTATGTGCCAGGTACTAGCTAGTCGTGCATGACTCATGTAAATCCTCCCAGTGGCCCTATCTGGTACTGGCAGGTACTGTCCCCATTTAACAGGTGAGGAAACTGAGGCACAGAGATTGATTGGCTCTGGGACACATACCCTGACACTCGTTCCTGAGTCTTCCCACCCCACCCCTTTGGTCCCTGCGCTCAGAGCTCGGGAAGGAAGGGGACAGAGGAATGGGATGGGACGGTGTGATGTGTACACACAATGGAACATTAGCCGTAAGAAGGAGCGCAACCCTACAGTTGCAACAACGTAGATGGACCTAGAGGCTACTGTGCTCGGTGAAATAAGTCGGGCAGAAAGAGATAAACACCGTATGATTCCGTATGTGGAGCTTTTTTAAATCAAAAATGAACAAATAAAACAAACACCAGCTCACAGAAACAAAGAGCAAGCTGATGGCTGCCAGAGGGGAGGGTGGGGGAAGGGAGAGGAAGGTGAGGGGGAATGTAGTCGGTGATACCCTGGTAACGCTGGCGGTGGCGGTCCCTGGACTTAGTGTGGTCACGTCCCTGTGCCGTAAACATCACATCACCATGTTGTACACCTGAAACCAAGATGATATTGAATGCCAACTGTAACTCAGAAAAGAAGGGGGAGAGTAAAGAAAGGAAAGAAGGAAAGGGAGGAAAGAAAGAAAGGAGCCCTGGATGGTGTGGCTCAGTGGATTGAGTGCCAGCCTGTGAACCGAGAGGTCACCGGTTCGATTCCCGGTCAGGGCACATGCCTGGGTTGCAGGCCAGGTCCCTACTTGGGGGTGAGCGAGACTCTCACACATTGACATTTCTCTCTTTTCCTCCCTCCCTTTCTCTCTCCCTTCCTCTCTCTCTCTAAAAGTAAATAAATAAAATCTTTAACAAAAAAGAAAGAACTAGAGGGAAGAAAGAGAAAAGGGGTACAAGCCATTTAAGTTTTCCTCATCCCTGTCCTAGGAATGGGCCTTCTGGACCCCTGCCAACCCCAGGGCACCTTCCTGCTCCCCGCCCCTCCCCCGCCCCTCCCCCGCCCCACGCTGCTCTCACAGACGCTCAGTTTTCCAGCCAGGACCCTCCCTGGCAGAGGGAGACCGGCAGGAACCGGCTCCTTCGGCCCCCCAGTGAGCCCGCGGGTTACGAGGTAAAGGGGGGAACCGATGCCCAGCTGTGTGCAGACATCTCAGAGCTCGGGTTGCAAATAATTAGTTTCCAGAGGCGCCCCAGCCGGGGCTGCTGTGTGGTCCGGGAAGGAAACCAGGTTCCGGGCTCCAGGTTCTCCTCCCCAGGGCGCCAGCCCACCTGCTGGTCCACCTGCCAAGCCAGCCCCATCAGACTGTGACTCTGGAAAGAGAAAATCAAGGCAGAGTTTGTTTTCCCGCCTGGAGCGGGCCAAACCACCGCAGCCTCTCGCCGACAGCAGGGTCAGGGGAAGCCACACGGGTCTCACAGTGGGGGTGTCCTCCAGGCCCCCACCAGGAAGCACACCTCCAGGGTGCAAGCTGGGCCCTGCCCACGCCACTGAGGGATGGGGGTCAGCAAGAGGGAGCAGCCGCCCCCGCAGGGAGAGGGGACACCCCTATCAGGTTGGCAGAGGGAGGGACACCTGTCTGGGAGGCTCTGCCCCTTCTGCCCACCTGCGTCCGTCCCCAGGTTGGCCCCAACAAGCACCACAGGCTGGTGGCTTGGAACAAGCGCACTCTCTCACAGTCGCGGAAGCCGGAGTCCAAAGTCAAGGCGCCGGCAGGGCCCAGCCCCCTATGAAACCCTTAAGGGAGGATCCCTCTCGCAGCCCCGGGTGGCTGCCAGCAGTCTCTGACACTGTGGCTCGCAGCTGCCTCGCTCCAGCCTGTGCCTTCTCAGGACCGTCACCGTCTCAGAGGGACAGCCGTCCCGCTGGATTAAGGGCTCGTGTGACCCCAGTATAACCTCATCTTAATAACTAACTACATGCCCTGGCTGGTGTGGCTCAGGGGGCTGAGCGCTAGCCTGCAAACCAAAGGGTCAGCGGTTCTATTCCCAGTCAGGGCACATGCCTAGGTTGCAGGCCAGATCCCTAGTGGGGGGTGCACAAGAGGCAACCACACACTGATGTTTCTCTCCCTCTCTTTCTCCCTCCCTTCCCTTCTGTCTAAAAATAAATAAAGTCAAAATAAAATAAAATAAAAACTACATCTGCGATGACCCTGTCTCCATAGAGTAAGGTCGTATTCTGAGGGCCTTGGAGTTCAGGCTTCAAAATTATCTTTTTGAAGGGACATGATTCGGCCCCAACACCCCTTACAAGTCCAAATTCTAGAAGCATCATGTACCTCTTCGTAGAGATGTTTCTTCAGCCTTGGTCATGGTCTGCTCACCGGAAGAGCAACGGCTGGCAGGACAGGAGACCAGGGCCAGGGAGACGTGGCTGCCCTGCATCCTCACGGCTGACCTTGACAACCCACCCCCCACCAAAGGTTTCCAGGGTGGGCAGAGGGCATGTCAGCCTCCTTCCCGCCTCTGTCTGCTCCCTGAGCAGCCCCGTCCCCCCGACCAGCCACCACGCTCCACTTCCGCACAATCCAAGGCTCAGCGGAAGTCATTTCAGGAAAACAGACGACACCGTGCTTTCTGACCTTTGAGAACCTACCTCCTATGTGGCTCTGGAGAAACAGCCTCTTTCACCAACACCCAGGGCCCCTAACAGAAAAAAGGAACACGTCATCTTGCTCTGCCCAGAGCTCAGGCCCAGCGACGCCCTGGCCCATTGTAGACAACGTGACCTGGTTTGGGGTTTGCAGAGCAAAGGCGGGGAAGGAGGAGCCTAGAAACCTACTTCCTGTGAGTTTGCCTTTCTTGCTCAGCCCGACCTGGAGCCGTCTCTGGAACAGAGACCCGGAACCCCAGGAGTGAGGCTGGCACACACACTCACGCGGGTGTGAACGCCCGACTGGGAGTGTGGCCACGGGGAGAGCGGGCCCCACGGCGGTGTTCACTCACTCAGACCCCAGCCCGCCTTCTTCCTGCCCCCTGCCCCGCCTCTGTCAGTTCTGATTTATTTCGTGCCTAATCCTGGGGACCTGACCAAGGTTGGGTGGAGGGTGGTGAATTGAGGTTTTTATCCAAGAGATTCAACCCTTTGGAGACAGGTTAAGGGAATGCACCACGCCGATCTGTGTGTGAGGGTTTTTTACATTCAACATTATCTTGCGTTAGTTTCCGGTGTACAGCACGGTGGTCAGACAATCACGTAATTTATTCACAAGTGATCCCCTCCCAGTATTTCCAGGCCCCACCTGGCACCACACATAGTTTGTACAATACTGTCGACAGATTCTCTAAGCTGTACTTTACATGCATTTGGCTGCCTGGTAACTGCCAGTCTGTGTTTCTCAGTCCTTTGTCACCCAGCCCTCCCGCCCCTCCCTCCTGTTCCCTGCGTCTGTGAGTCTGTTTCTGTTTTGTTTGTTCACTTACTCTGTTCTTTAGATCCCACGTATGAGTAAAATCATGTGTCTTTCTCCGTCTGACTTATCTCACTCAGAGTGATAGCCTCTTGGTCCATCCATGTTGTCACAAACGGTAAGGCTTCATTCTTTTTACTACAGCCGTGTAATATTCCATCGTATGTAGGCGCCGCCTCTTTTTTATCCACTCGTCTGCTGAGGAGCACATGGGTTGCATGCATATCTCGGCTACTGTCAATTATGCTGCAGCAGAAGAGGGGTGCATATATTCAGTCGAGTTAGTGTTGTGGGTTTCTTTGGATATATTCGCAGAAATGGGATCACTGAGTCATAAGGCAGTCCCATTTCTAACTTTTTCAGGCCCCTTCACACTGTTTCCCGCAGTGGCTGCACCAGTCTGCAGTCCCACCAGCAGTGCACGAGGGTTCCCTTTGCTCCACGTCCTCGCCAGCACTTGTTAGTGGACGTATTGATGGTGACCGTTCTGACAGGTGTGAGGTGATGTCTCACTGTGGTTTCAATTTGCATTTACCTGATGATGAGTGGCATAGAGCGTCTCTCCATATGTCTCTTGGTCATCTGTCCTCTCTGAAGAAGTGTCCATTCAGGTCCTCTGCCATTTTTTTCATTTGCATTGTTTGGGTTTTGGCATTGGGTTATATGAGTTCTGTTTGAGTAAAGTTTGGATACCAACCCCTCGTCAGATGTCTCTCTGGTGAATTATCTTCTGCACTTCACTAGGTCGTCTCTTTGTTATGGTTTCCCTTGCTGTGCAAAAACTTTTCACTTTGATGCAGTCCCATTTGTTTATTTTTTTTCTTTTGTTTTCCTTGCTCGAGGAGATGTATCAAAAGAAAATGTTGCTAAGGGAAGTATCCAAAATGGTATTGCCTGTGCTTTCTCCTATTTTGAGTTACTCTTGTATACGGTATAAGAAGGTGGTCTAGTTTTCTTGTACATATCTCTTCAATTTCCCCAATGCCATTTACTGAGGAGACTGTCTTGACCCCATTGTGTGCGCTTGCCTTCTTTGTCCAATACTCACTGACCGTTCAGTATTGCTACCCCAGCTTTTTGTTGTTGTTTCCATTTGCATGGAGTGTCTCTTTCCATCCCTTTTCTTTCAGTCTCTGTGTGTGTCTTTCCTCCTGAGGTGGCCTCTTGTAGGCGGCATATATATGGGCCTTATTTTCTTAACCATTCAGCTACTCTGTGTATTTTGATTTGAGTTTTAACCCATGTACATTTAAGTTGGTTGTTGAGAAGCATGTATTTATTGCCACTGTATTCCTTATAACTATGTTTCTCTTTTTTTCTTCTTCTTAAAAAAGTCCCTTTAACATTTCTTGCAGTACTGGTTTGGTGGTACTGAATCCTTTAGATTTTTCTTGTCTGGGAAGCTCTTTATTTCTCCTTCAGTCTTAAATAATAGCCTTTCTGTGTAAGTCTTAATTGTAGATCCTTGCTGTTCATCACTTTGAATATTTTGTGCCAGTCCCTTCTGGTCTGAAATGTTTCTGTTGTGGAATCAGCCGACAGTCTCATAGGAGCTCCCTTGTAGGTAACTATTTCTCCTGCTGCTCTTAAGGTTCTCTGTTTGACCTCATGTTTTGCCATTGTAATTACAATGTGTCTTAGTGTGGTCCTCTGTAGGTTCATCTTGTTGGGGACTCTCCGAGCTTCTTGGATGTGCATGTCTTTTCCCTTCACCGGCTTAGGGAAGTTTTCAGTCGTTATTTCTTCAAATACCATCTTTTTGCCATGTATAATGCACACCCATGTTTTTGTGTGGATTATACATGAGATTATTGTACCCATGGTACGTAATCATTATATCCATGAATAATGTGCATCCTCAGTTTTCCCTGAAAAATCTGGGCAAAATAGTGTGCATGATGCATGGCAAAATACAGTAAGTTCTCAATTCCTAGCTCTCTCTTCTTCTTCCAGCACCCCTGTGCTCTGGGTGTTGCCCCAAAGATCCCTTAAACGATCTCATTTTTTTAATCTTTTTTCTTTTTGCTGATCTGATTAGGTGTTTTCTGCTCCTTTGTCTTCCAAACAGTTGATTCATTTCTCTGCTTCGTATAGCCTGCTGCTGATTCCTTCTAGTGTGTTCTTTATTTCATATATTGTATTCTTCATTTCCGCCTGGTTCTTTTTTGTGGTTTCTGCATCCTTTTTTATGTTTACAACCTCTTTGTTTCGGTTCTCACTGAGCTCATCTGTTCTCTCCCCAAATTCCTTGAGCATCCTCATAACCGTTGTTTTGAACTCGGTATCTGGTAGATCACTTGCCTCTGTTTCATATAGTTCTTTTGGGAGTGGGTTTCTCCTGTTCTTTCATTTGGGGCCTGTTTTTTTGTGATCGGTGCTGTTTTAAGCCAAGCTCACCAGAAAGCTTTGATGTTGGCAAGAGAGTGGTCCCCCCAGCCCACCCCCTTGTCCACCAGACGCTGGAGAGGGCCCGGAAGTAGCAGGAATTCATGAGGGAAAAATGGCGTCTCTGGGGAAAGGTGAAGAGGGCGGGGTTGTCTTTTCTAGGATAAAAGCTAGCTAGCATGTTCTGAGCGCTGTCTAGGTGCCATGTATCTTTCTAAGCTTTTTACTTAGACAGTCTCCTTTTATCTGCACAACCACCCTGGGGGTAAACCACGTTATCCTAGTCAACCTATGAGGAAACTGACACTTGGAACTTAAGTCAATTTCCCAAGGTCAAACTGCTGGGAAGTGGCAGAGGTGGAATTCCTTCCCAGATCAGAGAGTGAATGAGTGCAGAGCCTGGTCTCGGCCCCTGTGCCCTGCTCCTGCTGACGACACACGGCTGTTCTCCCACAGGAAGTCACTCAGAGGGGGGTGGTTGCTGTATTTTCTTTGTCTGCAAAAGAGACTGTCCACACATGAGCCCCAGGAAGAGAGGTCTAGAAGACAGCTGGGGATTTGAATTATACCCAGGAAAGCACGTCCACCTGGAGGAATGGCGAGGGAGGCAGTGCCGGTGGGAATCGCCCCCAGGGACAAGGCAGCCAGCCAGGGCCAGGGGAGGTTACCTATTTCCCGGAGACACGGGGCTCAATGAAATGACTTCTTATGCTCCTGAGGGTCTTTCTGCTCAGGACCCCAGGACCTCATGTGCCCAGAGTGCTGCCTTGGACCTCCATCCAGAGAGAAACCTGACTAACGACACACCCCCAACCTTCCTCTCTGCCACTCAACCCACCCCACCCCCTGACCCCCCCTCCCCTCTTCCCCACTGTCTTCCCCCCCGAAGCTGCTCCTGCCCCCTGGGCTTCGAGGGGCAGCGGTGTGAGATCAACCCGGACGACTGCGAGGACAACGACTGCGAGAACAATGCCACCTGCGTGGACGGGATCAACAACTACGTGTGCGTCTGCCCGCCTAACTACACGGGTAAGGCCCCGGACGCCCGAGTGGGGGTTGGTGTGCTGGGTGGCGGGGCCGAGCGTCATGTACTAAATAGCACCATGTCCTCAGCTTTTTCCAGGGTCCCCACCTCCTTCCCTCCACAGACAGAGGCTTGACTTCCTAAAACCCTCCAGGGGCTTCCCCAAGGCCCTCTTTGTTGTCCACGCTCCCCCTTCCACCCCAGCAAAGCGCTAGCTCCTTCCCCCTGTGGAGCAGGCACCCAGGGCCCTTTCAGCTGTCTGTTCGTGTAGCTGGTGGCCGTCCCCCACCGGGGGAACCTGGAGACCCAGAGGTGCTTGAGGCCAGCAGGGAGGCACTTGTGTTTATGCATTGTTCAGGTCCAGTCAGCCTTCTCTGGAAATCTGCATTTTCCAGAGCTGGGCACACAAAAATGAGCAAGACAGAGTTCCTTCTCATAAGAAGCTTCGTCACCGAGTAGAGAGGGAGATGAGTTCAGTAGAAGGGGAATGCGAGCCCTGCAAGCCCAGGGGCTCATGGGATCGCAGGGAAGGAGCCTAACTGGGTGGAGAGTGCAGGCCCCGCCCCCAACACGACCCCTTTGCTTCCTGTGTTAACAGCCCCTGGTGAGCACAGGTGAATGTACATACCAGCAGTTGTGAAGCAAAATGCAACCAGGTCATGCACACACAGCCTGCTTTGTTGTAGGACCGACCTGACGTGGCCCATGGCACACTGGAATTCTATCAATTCCATACATTCTCCTGCGTGCACCCCTCCAGGCAGCCTCTGGGCTCCCCCACATTCACCGGTCACCCGTTCCGCTCCCAGCTCTGTGTCGTAACCACCTGAGTATTTGTAGATCCAGGCCGTGGCAGGGATGGGACTGGTGCTGTGTGTCCGCAGCCCCTGGCATGGTGCCTCCCACACGGGAGGTGCTCAGTCAACAGTGTGGGATGAAACCCAAATAAATGCGCACAGCCCAAGGTCAGGGCCTGGCATCCCGTGGTTTCAGCAGCCTCTGAAGGGTCAGGCGAAACGGCCGAACGATGGGGCTGGGACGGTCCCAGGAGAGATCCCGGAATCTCCCCATTGCCCCTGATGGGGAAACTGAGGCAGAGGCGGAGGAGAAGGGAAACTCCAAGAGACTGAACTCAGGGCTCTTCACGTCCACGGCCAGCTGATGCCTGAGTTCTCTGTCCGCCCCCACAGGTGAGCTGTGCGACGAGGTGGTCGACCACTGCGTGCCTGGGCTGAACCTCTGTCAGCATGAGGCCAAGTGCATCTCGCTGGACAAAGGGTTCAGGTAGGGCTGGACCGCATGCCCCCAGCACGGGGTCCTGAGGACTCTGCCAACAGGCTGGGTTTTCAGCAGAGGTTCTGGGGCCCCTCCCTCTCCCGCTCCCGCCTTCCCCCACCTCCGCACATCTTACTCTCCACAGCGAGTAGGGTAGAGCGATCCCACTGTGGGGAAGCCACGTCAGCGCTCTCGGAGCCCAGGTCTCCCCCACAGGGGAGGAGCCCCCGCGCAGGGTGCGGGAGCCCCCCCCCCGGGGGGCGCTCAGTGAAAGAGCTCCGCTCCGTGCCAGCGCAAAGCGGGCACTAAGCCTCTGTCCGCTCTGCAGGAAGTGCAGACGCAGGCCCAGGTCTGCGATTCCAGCCCGCGCCCCTCAGCCGGGCCCCACGTGAAGCAGGCACTCGGGGGTGGGCGTGCAGAGGCCAGACTTCGCGGAGCCTGGAAGGCGGGGGGTGGAGAGGCCGCCCGGGAGCCCCGGGGCGGTGGGACAGCCGGGCTGTGCTGTGTTCCAGGTGCGAGTGTCCCCTCGGCTACAGCGGGAAGTTCTGCGAGGTGGACGTCGATGACTGCGCGGCCCACAGCTGCCGCCACGGGGCCCAGTGCGTGGACGCCGTCAATGGCTACACGTGTGCCTGCCCCCAGGGCTTCAGGTAGGGTGGCGTGGTGGGGGGACCACAGGGAGGAGCCAGCCTGGGTCCAACGTAGGGGCAGACCCAGCCCCAGGGGCAGCCCTGGCCCGGGGTCTCCACGGCACCCTGACTCCCCACACTTTCCCCGGCCCTTCCGGGTCCCTGAGCAGGTGTTGCTCACCCCCTCCCCCCCCCATGCCAATGGGGAGCAAGGCTACCCAGGCCAACCCCACGTGGAAGTTGGGCCAGAGGTTTGTCCAGCTCGGGCGTGGTTCCGTCCGACAGAAGGTGTCACTGCCTGGGAGCCCAGCTGGCAGGGCCGGGGGAGCCATGTGGCCACACTGGCAGGAACGTGCGTTCCGGCCTGCAGAGCAAAGCCAGGGTGGCGTCCCCAGGCAGAAACACGGAGGTGAAGAGCAGGGCTTGGGGCCCGTCAGTGGAGCCAGGGACGCCAGAGGAGAAAGGGGAGATGGGAGGCCCTGGCCCGGCGTCAGGAGACGCCTGTGGAAAGAAGGGGCCGCCTGGGCTCCAGCCCAGCGCCCACGCTGCCTGGACAGGATGGGCATGGGGCGACTGGAGGGGAGGCAGGGACCACACTGCAGAGGGCGGGACTGGGGGAACAGCTCCGTGTACAGCGGTGCCCATTGGACGGCTCAAACCCAACTATGCAGATGAGCCTGGGGACCGGGAGCCTGGAGGGAAGCAGACTTTCCGAAGGCCAGTGGCCCCAAAGCCCAGCCGGGACCGCCGGCGCCGGAGGCTGGTGGAAGGGAGGAGGTTCCCGAACTGCACCTCAGAGCTGTGGCTGAGGGCTGGGACTGGGCTGTCACCCCTTCTCACCCCCGTGTCCCTGCCGGCAGCTCTTTAGCTAACTCCCCCCTCCCCCCTCCCAGCGGGCTCTTCTGCGAGCACCCCCCGCCCATGGTGCTGCTGCAGACCAGCCCCTGCGACCAGTACGAGTGCCAGAACGGCGCCCAGTGCATCGTGGTGCAGCAGGAGCCCACCTGCCGCTGCCCCCCGGGCTTCGCTGGCCCGCGCTGCGAGAAGCTCATCACCGTCAACTTCGTGGGCAAGGACTCCTACGTGGAACTGGCCTCCGCCAAGGTCCGGCCCCAGGCCAACATCTCCCTGCAGGTGAGCCCCGCCCCCCGTCCGCGGACGGACCCGGCTCTGCGTGCTGGAGGGCAGCCCCGAGGCCCAGGTCCTCACCATCCTGTGCCCTCCCCTGCGGCATCGTTCGGGACGACCCTCAGCTTCAGGGGCAGCTTCAGGGGATCCGGCCGGCTCTGCAGACTAGTCAGAGAGCCCTGCCCTGCAGCGGCCGCAGACGGGTTGCCCTGGGCAGCACTGGCGGAGAGCGCCCCCTGCTGTCTTTGCCTGGGCCCCGCCCCAGAGACTCATGGGTAATTGGCCTGGGGTGAGGCGCAGACGCTGGTGGTGTAAAAACCTCCCCAGATGACTCTCAGCGCAGTGCTTAGCCTGGCTCCTAATGAACTGAGTTAAATGGCAGTACTTAGCCTTTAGTTTATAAATATTATTGCACTTTATACAGAGTCTGAGGCCGAGAGGGGCAGGAGCTTGGGTGCGATCAGTCCGTCAGTGGAGGAGCTGGATTAGCGCTCAGGGCTCCTGGCAGGGAGGGAGGGAGGGAGGGAGGGATGAGCGGATGAGCACCGCACGCTGGATGCCGAGTAACCGTCTGCTGAACTGAAGCGCTCCATCGCATCTGCTGGGCCCTGAGGCCGGGCCTGCCTTCCGGGAACCAACAGCCCAGACCCGGGAGGACTCTGGGCAGGAGAGATGAGGTCCTTCAGGAGACGCCACCTGGAAACCGTCTCTGGGGGAGAGGGGGCTGGGCAGGGGCGGCCTCCGGAGAGCCCTAACCTACGCCCCTCTCCCCAGGTGGCCACCGACAAGGACAACGGCATCCTGCTCTACAAGGGCGACAACGACCCCCTGGCGCTGGAGCTGTACCAGGGCCACGTGCGGCTCGTCTACGACAGCCTGAGCTCCCCGCCCACCACGGTGTACAGGTGAGGCGCACAGTCCGCCACCGCACGGCCACTCCTGTCCGCCTGCCGCGGACCCCGGCGACGCTGCCGCGGGCAGGAGGGGGGCGTGGTCTGATGCCTCTTCTCGCCGCCCCCCACATACACACTCTTCCTCCAGGGGGCGCGGAGGCAGAAAGGGGTGCTGCAGGCAGGGGCAGGAGATGACACCTCATTACCATAAGATAAATGGCCAGCTGGCTACTGCAGGAGCCCGCGCTCCAATGGGGACGAGGCTGCTTAATGAGATGCCCTTTTCAAAATGTCATCCTAATCTTTTATTAGTTTAAGAGAGAAAACAGGGGCAGACTAGCGTGCAACTCAAGGGAAGACCTTCCAGAGCTGCGCAGGGGCGGGGCGGCTCCTTGCAGTGACTTTCAAGCTGCTCTGAAGGACAGTGCCCCCCCCCCCGCCCCCAATCACATGATCAGTCTGCGGCCGTGCGGTGCGGCGGCCCAGCACACTGCTTCACGGCAGCGGCGGGTCTGCTCGCTGTCCAAGTGCAGCTTCATCTTAGTGATGCCCGTGAGGTCACAGACACACTAGTTCCCTCTGTTGGCCTCCATGACCTCTTTTGGGTGGGTACCTGGCTCTGTTCACCTGTCCCCACGGGAGGAGAGGGGCCCTGGGCAGACACACAGACAAGCCCGCCTGAGCCCCTCCCTGCCCCAGGGGGGGACAGACTGCACCAGGCCCGGGTCCCCAGTCCCCAGGCTTGTGGGTGGGGCTTCAGGCATGAACTCATTATTTCCTACCCACAAGCCCAAGGGGCTGAGGAAGGTGACAGACTTGGGGAAGGTGGGCTGGGGGCCAATAGGGACTGGTGGGGACTGCGGTGGCCTCCAGGGTACCAGCCTCGTCCGAAGGGACAGCTGACCTCAGCTCCAGCAGAGGCTGCCGTGTGGGAACGCACAGTCTCAAGAGAAGCTAGAAATTCGGGGTTTCTGTGTGAAATACCTCTGAGTTTAAATGCTGGCCACTTTGAAACACCACGTGCGAGCTCTACCTGGCCGTTCTGCCTGCTCCCTGAGTCTTTACTACTCAACACCACCACCCCACCCTCTGCCCTCTGCCCTCTGCCCTCTGCCCTCAGTCTCATCGGGTTCTCACCACGAGCCCAGGCAAGCGCCTCCCCTCTTGAGACAGGGGCGACAGGGATAGGAAACCTGACTCTCAAACGAAGGCCTGGCCCCGCCCCCAAAGGCACACGAGTTAGAAGTGGGCAGAGGAGGCATCCAAACCCAGGTCAGGCTCCCACTGAACCCACTCCCGCACGTGCTGGGGCTCAAAGGGTGAGGCACGGAGAAAGACAGACAGACACCCTAGTCCAGGAGTGGGGGACGCTACAGGGCAGCTGCGGTCCCGGGCTATTGACTAAAATCCCGGAACTCTCGGTTCCCATGACGCTCTGTCGCCACCTTGTGGCCACAACTCAGCGTACAGCAGAGTGTGCCCAGCCCCTGGAAGGACTATTCGTCCCCCAGGGGCCTTGGGTTCTGTGACTCAGGGGCTTGGGTTTGGGTCCTGCCTCTGCCACGTCCACCACAAGACTTAGGCCTGGTAAGAATAGGTGAGAGAGAGTTCAGCCTGCTCACAGAGCCACTTTCTTAGGGAAGGGGCGCCTCATCCCCAAACCCCTCTGTCCCTCCCAGCCCCTGCCAGGAGAGAGCAGTGGGAATCCATAAGCCCATGGATTCCGTCTCTGGACCCTACCGGCTGGGTGACCTCAGACAACTCACTTAACCTCTCAGGGCCTCAGTCTCTTCATCTGTGAAATGGGGTCATACGATACCACTTCAGAGAATCATCCTGAGGTTGAAATAGCAGAAGAAAGCCCGGGTCGAGGGGCCGCTGGCTCTGTCAGGGGCAGCGGGGGAGGGGGATGCAGGTGGGGTCAAAGCTGGGGCAAGTCCCCCCCCCACATCACTTGGCAGCTGTGGGGCCTGAGGTCAGTTGCTTCCCTTCTGTTCCCTGGGTGGTGTGATGCAGATAACACGCTGACCTTGCAGGGGCGTCCTAAGGCCTCTCTCCCCAGGTGAGGTTTGCACACGGCTTGAGGCTTGGGGGGTGCTGAGTGGGGACAGTCAGAGACACTCCGAGGACATTGCAATTACGAGATCATTTTTCTCATCCGAACTAGAAAAAAACACAAAAGTCACACCAGAATAATTTCCAGATTATGTAAGCATTGAAACCGGGCGCTTCATTGAGATGGTCTGTGATCTGAGAGAACAGCGGGCTTGCACCCTAACAGACCACCTCAAATTCCAGTTTCGGCCGACACTTCTCAGGAGGAGGAGAACAGTGTCGGTCAGGGGACTGGAACTCAGGGGGGAGTGAAAAGTTAACCAGATGAAGAGCTGCAGCGTTCTTGCCTCTGAGCCCCGGTCTCCCCCCGGAGCACAGCGCCTCAGAAACTCTGGGGTCACCTGGGTCCTCCCGGGTCCTCCTGGGTCCTCCTGGGGCACAAAGGCGGGACAGCTGAAGGTCCCCTGGAGTCAAGTTCGTGGAACAAAAGCTTTTTATCTCACACTGAGTACTAAGCCTTGTTAGCCAGTACCTGAAACTACAAATTCTCCAGCATGTGAGTCCCTGATCAGTATGGTATCAGAGTTAAGTTTGCCAAAACAGACGTGTGCTTAGGAAGGGGAATATCCCCGTCCTTAGGGAATGCACAGGGCGTATCTAGGGTTAAAGGGCTACGATGGGTGTAACTTACCTTGAAATAGTGCAGGGAGACCCCACGCACACGCGTGTGCAGGTGGGTATATATGCATACACGTGCTTGTGTGTGGTGATAGAGAGACAGAGCGAGAGAATGAATGTTGAAGCGAACGGGCCAGCAGGACAATCTGCCTCTGGGAGAGGTGTGCTCCGTTCTGTTCATATTTTTGCAGCCGGATGTAAGTTTGACGTTGTTAGCAAATGAAAGGTGAAAGGAAAGGCGAGTACCGGCGGTCCGGCGTGGGGCCCGGGGCCCAGCCACGGGGGGCACTCAGCAACCCCGGCTCCCCTCTCTCCCCTGCCCAGTGTGGAGACGGTGAACGACGGGCAGTTCCACAGCGTGGAGCTGGTGATGCTGAACCAGACCCTGAACCTGGTGGTGGACAAGGGGGCCCCCAAGAGCCTGGGGAAGGTGCAGAAGCAGCCGGCCGTGGGCATCAACAGCCCCCTCTACCTTGGAGGTAAAGCCCCCCGCCCCTGCCACCCCTACCACTCCCACCTCTCACCACCTGCCCTCTGGGCTCAGGCCCCCGCACTCAGGCCCTCTGGCTGGGGTTCCCATTCTCACCGAGGCACCCACTGCCAGAGCCAGTCAGGGAAGGCTTCCTGGCAGAGGTGACAGCCAAGCTCAACCCTAAAGGGTGAATAGTTAGCCAGGGTGTAGGGAGGAGAAGATGACAGGACAGAGGGCAGGGCTCCTTCTGAGAATGACAAGCTGTTCAGGGGCGATGAGGGAGACAGGGAGATGGAGGCAGGCTCCGGGCCCTTCGGTCCACGGGCGTCAGGGCACGCTCCCTGTGCTCTGCCGCTGCCTCCGGCACTGCGAGCAAGGCTCAGCAGACGCATGTGGCAGAGGCTGTTTGCAGCGAAGTCCTATCGTGGCCAGAAAGAGAAGCAGCCGCCAGGGCAGCCGAGCGGGGGCCTGAAATGGAGCCCTGGGCTGGTAGTTCTCCAGGGGTTGTATGTGTGGGGGGAGGGGAGGTTGTCACCAGAACTGCTAGTCTGACACACAGAATCACAGAAGGCCAGAACTTCCCCGCACGGAGCCCGCTCCAGCTGTTAGCAGCCACTCCGGGGAACGCCCTTGACCCAGAGCCGCCCCAGAGGGGACGCAGCTTCTCTCTCAAAGCCCCACAGACGAAGGCTGCGCCCCAAACCCTGGCCCGCCCGCCGGGTTCCCCTGTGGGCACGTGACACCAGCGGAGGCCTGGCGGGGACGGAGGGAACTGTGTGCCATGCACCCCTGCCCGGCGCCGAGCCAGGGCGGCCACGTGCCATGGGCGGCCGGCTTGTCTTTCTTTCCCTAGCAGCCCGAAGTACGGATTTCTATGGGATGTGTTCTGTATTTAAATAACAGCAACAAATTCCAGGGGGTTATTTTTTAATTTATTTATTTTAGAGAGGGGGGGAGGGAAGAAGAGAGGGGGAGAGAAACAGCGTTGTGTGGTTGCCTCTTGCACGCCCCCTACTGGGGACCTGACCAGGAATCAAACTGGTGACCCTTTGGTTCATCGGCCCACACCCAACCCACTGAGCCACACCAGCCGGGGCCGAATTCCAGTTTTTCAGAGTCGCAGGCAGGAGGACAGAGGGTGCACATCCTTGCGTGGACAAGGTCCTGGGTTCTGGCCCGCTCCCCATGTGCACAGCGGAGGCCCAGAGCTGTGAGCGCTCAGCCGAGGAGCTCAGGCTCTCGCCCTGAGGGGGGTCTGGGCTGGAGGGGGGCGGGCGGGCAGGGGCGGGTCCGCAGGCCCGGCCGGCATCCGGCATCCGCCCACAGGCGTCCCGCCCACAGGCATCCCCACCTCCACGGGCCTCTCCGCCTTGCGCCAGGGCGCCGACCGGCCGCTGGGCGGCTTCCACGGCTGCATCCACGAGGTGCGCATCAACAACGAGCTGCAGGACTTCAAGGCGCTCCCGCCGCAGGCCCTGGGGGTGTCGCCCGGCTGCAAGTCCTGCACCGTGTGCAAGCACGGCCTGTGCCGCGCCGTGGAGAAGGACAGCGTGGTCTGCGAGTGCCACCCCGGCTGGACCGGCCCGCTGTGCGACCAGGAGGCCCTGGACCCCTGCCTGGGCCACAGGTCAGTGCCCCGAGAGCCCCGTCCCACTGGAGAGTGGGCGCGGGTGCAGCCGGAGGGACCGTGTGGGACCGTAGCAGGGCCTGCACAAGTGTGACTGCCGAGCAGGTCCACTCGGAGACACGGTGGGCCAAGGCCGCAGCATGTCCACCCACGCTGCCCCAAGGATCAGAGTAGGGCGCTGACCCACAGTTACCGAGGGCCTACTGTGTGCCTGGCGTACTGTTAAGCGTGAGAGGCCCAGAGGCCCAGAGCTGAAACATCTGAATCAGCCCAAAACAGCGCCAGGGCCCAGACAGGTGGTTTGCTTGCCTGGATGAGGGGGGAAGAGACACTTTAAACCAGAGCCCTGGGCAGAGTTCGAGGGCTTGCACCTCCAGAGCAGCTCCAGTGGGTGGGGGGGGTGTGTGGCCAGAGCGAGCGAGTCCGCAGTGAACCCTGGCCCCCACCACCACCCCTGGGGGAGGCGAGGAGAACACGGGCCTGGAACCAGTTTCTGTGCGGGGGGGAGGGGGGGGGCGGGGGCGGGGAGGACGGCCCTGGCTGCCGTGGGAGCAAGCGGCAGCACTGCTCCCGGTGGAGGTGATGTTACCGGCATCAGTGAAGGTTGCGGGGCGGTCGGAATGCTTAGAAGACGCTTACATTCTCCCAGATGCCTGGTCTGAGCCCAGCCAGCCGCGGGTCGCAGCTGGCAGGGGCACTGGGCGGTGCTCGTTGGACACCCGGCTCCGACGACACTGGGCAGAGTGCTTGCTTAAGGCAGGCCTGGTGCTGGGCTGCTGGGCCGGACCCACCGGCGGGGCCCCCGGCCTGAGCCTGGTCCCCTCCTCACCCTGACCTCCGCCCACAGCTGCAGCCACGGGCAGTGTGTGGCCGCCGGGCCCTCCTACGTGTGCAAGTGCGCCGAGGGCTACAGCGGGCCCCTGTGTGACCGCAGGAACGACTCCGCCGGCGCCTGCTCGGCCTTCGGGTGTCACCACGGGCAGTGCCACGTCTCCGAGCAAGGGGAGCCCTACTGCCTGTGCCAGCCTGGCTTCGGCGGGGAGCGCTGCGGGCAAGGTGGGTCCGGTGTCCGTCTGCGGCCGCGGGGGGGGTGGGGGGGGCCTGCCCTCTCCTCTCCTCTCACCTCTCGCTCCCCCGCTCCCGCTTCCCATCCGTCCCACTTCCCTGCCTTCCCCGGCCCCTCCAGTCTGCCTCCTCTCCCATCTCCCTCTGCTGTCCTCCCCTCCCTCTCTGCTCTTCCTGCCCTCCTCTGCCATAACTCCTCTGCCCCCCATCCCTGCACACCCCTCTCCACGCCCGGCTCCCTCCTCGCCACCCCACTCCCCGCCTCTCCCGTCTCCACTTCCACCGCCCTTCTCCCCTCGTCCTCCCCCCACCCCACTTCTCTCCTCTACACCACAACTCTTCTTTTTCTCCTCGCCATTCCGTTTCCTCTCCCTGCTCGTCTCCCCTCTTCCTTCTCCCCTCCCTTTCTTCTTCCATCTCCCTGCTCGACTCTCCTCTGTCCCCACTCTCTCCCTTCTTCCCTCCCCACTCTCTCCTCCCTTCTAGCCGATCCCTTTGTCCTTCTCCCTAGCCTCTCCCCTCCCTCCCAGTTTCTCTTTACGCCCCCGCCCTCCCCAGCTGTGCGCCCTTCAGATGCCGTGCTCTCAGAGCCTCCCTCCCCCCGCCCCCAGCCACGTGGTGCGTGAGCTTCTTACCAGCACCCGACTCACCTGGGAGCTCAGACCCGCGGCCCAGACCTTCCGAGTGGGAACCTGCAGAGCAGAGCGGCTGAGACTCCCTCCTCCCCGCCCCCAGACGTAGGGAACTATTTCACACACCTATACTTGAAATACTCTGAATCAAATTGTGTTTTAAATGTATTAGTGTCCTTAGAGGTAATTCCAGACTTCACAGCACAAGGTGCGCAGCGCTATCTCCCTCCAGCCGGCAGCCCCGTCCCCCCACCCCACCCCCCCAGCCCCTGGACGGTCTCGTCAGCTTGCAGCACCGCATCAGGCCTGTGGCTCACCGTCGAGCACATGAACCACCTAAAGCTTTAAAACGCACACGGCCCTTTCTCCGAGGCACTATGAAGGCGTGGGAAGGACGGGGAAACTGAGGCCGAGGGTCCTCAGAGGGTCCCCCAATGCGGTGAGGACAGGAGAGGGGCCGTGAAGGGTCCAGAGGATTCAGGCAGCTTTAGAACCCCGCCCCATTATTTCTAGGACTCTGGGAAGAGTTTCCCCAGCCCCCAGCTCCGTGGCTCATTAACTCCAGTTCCGCAGCCCTCTCTCCATCCAGCACCGCCTCCCGGGAACACGCGTGGCCCACGGCAGGCTCAGGGCCCCGTGTAGACTCGCCCCACTCCCTCCCTCCCAGCAGCCTCTCACTCCCCGCTGCTGTCTGGAGCCCACCACAGGGAGGGGGAGGGAAGCCCCCCTCCACAGTGCAGGGTGGTGGGCTCAGCCCTGCCAGAAATCCCAACTATAGGTGAAATCTCCCGGGTTTTGCTTTTGTGGTTAGCGTTCCATTTGGATTTCAAGCATGCAAAGTGGTACAAAGCTTGAAAACGGTCTCCCTGTTTGCCACATAAAGCTCGGTCTTGAAGTTCCTTGAAGGAAGGGACCGAGCCTGCTGGGCAGACACTATAAGGCTGGGGGGGCAGACGAAATAAGTGGGTGGGTGGGGAGACGGATGCACAAGTGCGGGGCCTGGGGGGAGACAAATACCCGGGAGGCCGATGTGGAGAGACTGCAGTGCGTACGGGCGAGCACGTGCAGGGCGGCTGCGTGGGCGGCTGAGCGCGGTGAGCAGCTGAGTGGGCGGGAGACGCGCGGATGAGGGAAGGAACAGGGACAGAGAGCCGTGAGGCCTGTGTCCCCCGACAGCCTCCCTCCCGCGCCGCCCCCGCCCCCGGGGCCCTGACCTGACCTCCTCTGCTGCCGCAGAAAACCCCTGCCTGGGCGAGGTCGTCCGCGAGGTCATCCGCCGCCAGAAAGGCTACGCCTCCTGCGCCACGGCCTCCAAGGTGCCGGTCCTGGAGTGCCGCGGGGGCTGCGGGCCCCGGTGCTGCCGGCCCACCCGCAGCAAGCGGCGGAAATACGTCTTCCAGTGCACGGACGGCTCCTCGTTCGTGGAGGAGGTGGAGAGACACTTGGAGTGCGGCTGCCGCCCCTGCTCCTAAGGCCTGCGGCCGCCGGGGACCCCTCCCGGACGCCCTCGAGATGCGGAGCCAGACAGCGGAAGCTGGAGAGAACAAGAAGAGAATATTAAGTATATTGTAAAATAAACTAAAAATAGAACTTATTTTTTATTATGGAAAGTGACTATTTTCATCTTTTATTATATAAATCTATCACACCGTCTGAGTATCTGTACCATACCGTGAGTTATTTTTACTGAGTGTTTTGTGTTGTGTATTTGTCGTGTTTTTATAAACAGCTGTTAAAAATTTTAAGAGAAAAGACTAATAAAAGTGTTTTAAAACAAAAGGGTGAGAATAAAGAGGCGCAGGCCTGTCGGAGGGGGGCGGGAGGCGGCGGCAGCTGGGTGTGTGACACTCGGCCCAGGAGCAGACGCGACACCACCCCTGAGCTCGGGGGAGGGGTTAGGAGGGTGTGAGAAGGAGCAGGCTTTACTTGCCGTCTCCTCTAGAGGTTCTCCAGTCCTGGTGGTCCTTGTCCAGGACGCTGCTTTCGCCCAGGAGAGGCAGCTGGGCCCTGGCCTTCTGGGACCCCAAAATCTCGGCCGCCGTCTGCCCAGCAATCCCCTACAGACCCAGCTCCCTCTCCCGACCGGCCCAGGGCCCCATCACAGAACTACCTGAACACAGGCTTAACCTGGGCCTGGTTCGCCCAAATGTAAAGCAGCTGCGCTTCTCCTGCCCGCCCCACCCCCCACGCCCCAGGAGCCGGGTGCCCCAGGTGAGTGGCATGAGTGGCATGAGGGGCGGGAAGCAGGCCCCGCTGTGTCCACAGGCCCTTCCCTGAACATTGTGAACCGCGCCCCTCCCTCCCCTCGCCTTCAACTGGTTCTGTGACCCTAGGAGGGCGGGAAGCCAGGGCCCCGAGCCACGCCTACCCACAGCCCTGCTAAGAGTCCCATTCTGGAAAGTCCTTGGAGGGTCGTGCTATGGGACAGACGGACCTTAACCCGGTCCTCCAGGCCACTGTCACAGTGACAAAGACCCCTTGCTCGTGCACACTGCCCAGTGCGTACAGCACAGCGCCTTGTTTTGTCCACTAGCTCCAGGCCCCCGGGAAGGGCAGAGCGGCAGAGCCCTCCTCTGGGACTTGCCCCAAGCCACAGGTCTGCTGGGCGGGGGGAGCCAGGCCCAGTGCTCCAGACTCCTCCTCCAGAAAACGGCATGAACACGGGGGAGCCACACAGAAAGGGAAAGAGGAAGTTTTCTTCTGTTTTTCCTGCTGTCTTGTTCGTCCCTTGTCCTGTTTCCAGAAAGAGCCTAGACAGAGGGTCCTCCGGGAGCAGAGGGCCCTGACTGCACCCCGAGAGCTGCCCGCCCTCCCGAAGGGGACCTGCCCCGCCTCTCCTCCACCGCCCGTCACAGCACCCTCCGGCTCAGCCCTTCACACCGACGGCGACGGACGGCCCGTCTCCATGCGCCCGCCTCTCCGTCCAGGGGCCTCCCCTGCAGAGGGCCAGGGACGGGTGCGCCCCTCCCGCTCTGAGCATCTGCAGACCAGCCTCCTGGTCCCGGGGCCTGCTGGTGGGCCTTCTGGGCTCAGAGTCCGGAAGGGAGGAAGGAGAGGAAGGGGGAGGGCACGAGGCGAGTGCAGGGGAGGGGAGGGAGGCATGGAGGGAGGATGGAAGGAAGGATGAGAGGAAGAAAAGAAGGAAGGAGGGAGGAAAGGACACGACGGAGCCATTTACTTAAAAATACGCATGTTCGCTAGGTTCCAGGCACTTACAGGACCTGGTTTCAAATATTCACAGGGAGATTTACTTAGTACTTACTACATTATGTATCAGCTACCATGCTAATTTTTTTCATTTACTTCTCAAACAGCTCTGTAGGAGAGACATCACCAACCCATTTTACAGTTAGGCAAGTTGAGGCAGGGGCAGCCAGCGAGCCTACACAAGAGCGGGTGTCTAGGTGCCGGGCCGGCTCGGGCCCAGGCTGCCTGACCCCTGAACCCACTCCCCGGGGGAGGGGAACCTGTCCTGGCCCGAAGGACCCCCCAGTCAGGGCAGCGGCAGCTGTGGGAAGGACAACTGCCTCATTACCCGAGTTTCCGAGCGGGAGCATAAACAAGGGGCGTACATGGCCGACCGGAGCACAGGATCCCCAGGCCCGGGTCTTGGAGGGTCAACAGGAGCTTGCCAGGGGCGGCCCCGTTAAGAATCAGCAAAATAGGAAACGGCCGGCTTGTTGGAGCCGGCAGAGGCCCGGGGTGGCAGGAGGGTGCTGTGCACACCGGGGAGCAGGGAGAAGCGGGGGACATGCAAGCCAGGCTCTGCTTTAGGACGAGAACTGGCGACAAAGTGGAGAAAGGCCTAGCAGAGGGGACAGGGCTCTGCCCCCAGAAGGGCTTTGGGAGCTCCCAGCTGGCCACCTGGGTTGGCTGTGGCTACGGGATGCTGACTCCAGGTGGGTCACAGCAGTCTGTGGCAGCTCAGCAGTGCCGCCCTGGAAGGGGTGTCCCGGGATCTGCCCACACCCCTCCCCGCCCCCTGTCCCGCCAGCCCACCCCACCCCACGCGAGCAGGGAGAGCTGAGCCTCACTCCACCAGCAGCACTCCTCACGAGCCTCTCCCCACGCGCACAGGGTCCCTGGCTCTCCCTCTGCTGCCCCGAGCAAGCAACCCGAAGCCTCTCCCTGCCGGGCCTCCTCGGGCTCAGCCCGAACCCAGCCACCCTCAGCCTAGCCAGCCGCAGCACCAGGGTCTTGCCCGCAGAGTGGCCTGGGGGGATCTCGGGCCTCCCCCTCCATTTTGGAAGCCCTGACTGCAGACTGCCAGAGTCGAGCCCATTGAAAAACCCACCCCCAGTGAAGTTTCTCTGACAAGCGGAGGTTGACATTCTCCTATCTGAGCAGCCAAGTCCTAGGGACAGGACGTCTCACGGGGCAGGAGGAGCTCGGCCGGGTCGTGTTCTTGCTCCCGTGGCCAATGTTGGGGGGGGCACGCAGGTGTGCAGACAAGGGGTTCAGACTGCTTCCTCCGGAGCAGGGTTCAGGGAAAGGGGCAGGGAGCGCCCCCCACCAAGGGGCCCCACCTCCACTGATGGGAGGATGTGCTTAAAGGCTCTTGTAAAGTGTAAACTAAAACCCTTACGTGTGAGACGCTGTGGTGTTTGTTGCTGCTGTTGCTGCTGTTGTTGCTGTTATGGATGGGCCGGAAGGTCCTGTGTGTGTAACGTGGCTTTGCCGTTCAGTCCCGTCAGAGGGACCTCAAGGCTGACACTTCATGACAGAGAGGAGAGCGAGGAGGAGAGGGGCAAGGAAAGGACGGGAGACCGCCCAGGGCCAGAGAAAGAGGAGAAGGTCCCCCGGGATGACCCGGGGACCCGAGAGGGGTCAAGGCAGGGAGTGAGCTAACCTTGCCCTTCACCACATACACCCCCGTCGCCAGATGAACCCCAGGCCGCACCACCACTGCCTCTGCTGGGAGCAGAGGTCCCCAGTGTAAACGGGCCTGCCCCTTGGACACACTCACAGGGCCCAGACCTCAGAGCTGGGGACCCAGGGGGCCCTGGTGGGCGGGAAAACTGAGAGTCAGAGGAACAGTGTCTAGACCAAAGACCAAGGTCATGCAACAACTTAACGCCGGAGGCAGGAATAGACCCAGGCGTCTCCCCGGGTCAGTTCTTCCTGCTCCTCCACGGTAGGCCTCCACGCAGAGTAAGGCCTACGACCTGCCCTCTGACGCCTGCTGGGCGGCCAGGAGAGCGTCCCCCGACTCCCCACAGCCGGCTCCCGGGCACATGGGTGCCTGGGAAGCTGCGCATTGTCTGGCTCGGTGGCCTTACCCGTATTTTCCACTCTGGGTACGACGGCGCCCAGGAAGTGCCCGGGAAAGGTTGACAGGAGATGCCAGCTAGCGAGGACCAGCAAAGACAGACACGGGCATTCGGCAAAGCTGTTTCTCTAACTCAACAATAGGTTCTAAGAGGGAAGATATTAAGATGTTTTTAAAAACGATGTTGTGGTGCCACTTCCCCAGTATGGGATGAACAGTGTGATTTCCCCCAACAGACTGTCCTATTCTGGTGTCGTGCAAATAAACGGAGGAGCCACAGGAGAGCTCTCGGATGCTCCTGGGGACACCCTGAGCTCAGCCCTGCTCTGTGATGTGTTTTATTTTTATTCCAGACCTTCAGGATCCCTGGGGAAAGATGGCTGCATTTATGAAGTTTGGGCAAGTCTGGTGTGGAGTTAGTGAAAAAACAAAAACAAAAACAAAAAACTGGTTTTCTGGACGATGAAGTGGGGAAAAATGGCTCCCGGAGTCCCCCAGAGACACGGGAGAGAAGAGCCCGCCCGTGGCTTCGGGTCCTCGGGGCGTGGGGTTGGCGGGACCGCAGACTGGCCGCCGGGGTCACGGGGGGAAGCCACTGCAGGTCAGAGGAGGAAGAGTCCCCTGCGCACGCCAGTGCTTCCTTGTTAAACTTCCTCCCCTGTTCACTCCTTGCACAAGTATTTCTCAAGCATCTACTACGTGCCAGGTCCTAGGCTAGGCGCTGAGCCCCCACGGATGATCAGAACAAAGTCCTTGTCCTCCTGAGAGTCAATCAAATAAGCAAATAAAGAAAATGTCAGATTACAGAACAGAGGGGCCAGGACAGCATGGCTGGGTGGGCACTTCCCAGGGTGAAGGCAGGGAGGCCTCTGTGAGGACCTGGGGTGGGGGTGGGGGTGGGGGTGCGGGCGGGCGTGGGGGTGGGGGCCGGGGTGGCGCAACACCACGAAATGGAAGGGGGAGGGGGCCTGACCCACCGCCCTCGCTGGGCACCCGCCCCCACACGACAGGCCGACGGGCACGTGAAAAGGTGTCCAACCACGCGAACCCCTGGGGGCATGCCCATCGGAACCCCAATGAGGTACGACCTCGCAGCTGTGAGAGTGGCTGGCACCAAGAGGGAATAAGTGCTGGTGACACGGGGGGAGAGAAAAGGGAACCCTTACACACTCTCGGCGGGACAGTAAACTGGTGCAACCACCATAAAAGCGATATGGAGCTTCCTCGAGATAGTAAAGTATGATCCAGCCACTGCACTTGTGGGAAGGGACCCAAAGAAAATGAAAACATTATGTCAAAGGCATCTTCACCCCCACAGCATTGTTTACCACAGCCGAGACATGGAAACAACCTAAGTATCCACCGACAGATACAATGGATAAAGAAGTGGGGGGGGTGTGTGTGTGTGAGTATTATTCAGCCGTAATGAGGAGGAAATCCTGTCATTTGCAACAACGTGAATGAGCCCTGAGGACGTTATGCCAAATGAAATAAGTCAGACAGAGAAAGA